TTGTGAACTCTTGGTGATTAATTGCTATTTTTATTGCGTATATTCCCTCACTATGTATTATACTTCGGAATCATGCAATTACTATAATTGCATTTGAATTATTTACAGCAATTACAAATAATTGCACTAATGTAACATCAAGTAGAGGATAAACACCCAAGGGCGATACGTGAAATCAAGAACCCAGATACATGTTCATGAAGAAAAGTTTAGTTCAGCAGAGAAGTAACAGGGGAAGGGGAGAGCATGCCTTTTGAAGTTACTTTCTTACTGTAGTATCTTAATTGCTAATGGCTTATTCTGTGACCATCACTGACGAGTAGGGAAGGATTCTCTTTCCTATTATACTCTCTTGGGTAACTGAAGGATGGAGTAACTTTGGTCTCAGGTTAGACACTCAATGTCTTTAGTGGAGCCAAGGTATTTCAGATAGCTTTCCAGAGTTTCCATTAAAAATACAAGCCATTATTTTTCAAATGACAGTCACGACATGAGTCTTTCCATCCATATTAATTTAAAGATACAGAAGTTCCATTATCCAGTCAGGTTCCTTTTGATCATTAGTTGGATCTTTATTCTTCATACGTAATTTTTTTACTGGTAGTTCTTCCCTTCATTTTCCCACACATTTTATCATAAAAGCTGGGGGAAAAAGGCCGATGGGTAAACTATATATTGGTTTAATGGATTTGCACTTGTGTATGCCATTCAACTGAAAATACATGTATTAAAGAAGGGCATATCATTCCAGTCTCCTTTATTCTGGAGGTATACCCTCACCTGAAAGCTAGACATATGAACCTTGTGCTGAAAGAGACTTACTGCCATCATTTAAGATCATTGATCTAAGTAATGCTGAGGCAGTACATTGAGGAAGTTTGAGAGGGGAGAACAAAACAAAAAAACTTCAGCAGTTGATTTTGTGACTTACAAAGTTTATAATAGTATTTTTAAAAGTAAGGAGGGATTACTTAAGTTATTAAAAATAGTAAGTAACAGACTTAAATTATTAAAAATAAAAGAATTGGCCTGTACTGACCTAATCCCATTTTTTCACTGGTATCTGTTATTGAGTTGCTTCTGAGAAGTCTTGCCCTTGATCATTGACCTCTGTTCCCTGGTGCCAAGAGCAGCATGCATTCTTGGCTGGTATGAAGTATGGATTTGAAAGTTGTGTATTGCTGCTTTGTTTCAGTTTGTCTTCCGAGGATGCCCAACTTGAGCAGACTGTGCGCCTCTTGCCCCCTAGTCTCTTCGATAACTTCTCTGAGGATGATTCTTCAGCAGCTCATGTTGACACTGTGAGCCAGTTTGGGGAGGGCTTGTTAAAATGACACTGTGTAAAGAAGAGTGGGTTTTGCAATGGTGGGAGAAGTTCCAAGGCTGGTGAAAAGCAGAATTCCGAATGGGGAGAGTAATAAAGGAAAGATGAAAGATGTCCAAAAGGATTTTGCATTCTCAAGATTGAATATTAAGACCAGGTGTAGATTCCTTTGGTACTGTGCTAAAAATTCATGCTGGCTGCATAAGTCAGTGTGGATGTGAGTTACGCCTGTAGACGTCTCCATTCAGCAGAGTGGAAGAGCCATATGAAAGTGCAGTGCCTCCTGCGCTGCTTCCTAATGGGACAGCTCATCTCCTGTCGTTAGCTGAATGGATGTCAAAGCTGTAGCAATGAGTATTTTCCTACTCACTGCTTATGAGAGAGTGTTCATAGCACTGACTTTTCTTCATGAGGAAAGCCCCGGTTGGGTGGATCACTTGGGGAACAGAAAACATTTCTTACATGCTGAGGCAAGGAGCTTATGTCTTCTGAGCCTCTTTATGAACTGGAAGCAGCTTCTATTTATTACATCTAGTCTGAATGCTGCAAGTTCATAGAAACTGCAGCTTTGGTGAGGAGGATGCTCCTTCTCCTCTGGCATTGTCTTTCATTGGCAGCTGGGCTCTTTCACTGCAGCTCTCACCAGCATGCCACAGATACATTTATGTCTCTGGGTGTGCTTAGGGTGAGGATTACCCACTGGTACTTAAAGTACATTGTGGCTTTTTTCACTGGATATGATCCTGAAACAAGGTAACATTTCAACAATGCACAGACATTCAAATGATCTTTGAAGCAGGAATGTTCTTCTGAATCTTGACCAAGTATATATATATATATATATGTGTGTATATATATATATATAGCAAGTAATCCTGAATTTGTAGCCTGCTACATTTGTAGTATTTTTTTTTCTTTTTAAAAATATGTGAAAAGAATGTGTAAAGGAGGTTGTCCTGGTGTTTTTTCTCTGCCTGAAATTATCTTTGAACTCTCATTATTAGGGAGGATTCTCAGAGCTGCTTTGGATTAGCATTTTTGTGACCATTTTAAGTACTGCAGTATTTTGGTTTTTATCTCCGGCAAAAGACTGGGTTAAAATCCTATTTAGGAATGCCTGTCCTTGATGTGCATGTGTGTGAATGTCAGTTACGTGTTTGCAGAATGGATATCATCCCACTGCTTTAGGTAGACACTGGGAATTTCACAGTGAATGGCTATTTTAAAAAGGCTTTTTTGTGTGAGTGAATATTATGCGTAATTCAATGGCCTTATGAGGGATGTACGAACTGAGAATAAGATAATAACATAAGATTTACCTGACCACAAAGATAATTATGTTTGCTTGAGTTTAGGATTAAAGCCATATTTGTAAAATATGAAATGATGTGTCAGATCCTTTCTGAAGATTAGTTCATTCTCATTAGCAAAGTGTTTAATTTTACTCTCTGTCATGCTTTAAAAGCAGACAGAGGGCTCGTTCACTCACTCCCCCCCTTCTTGCCCTCCCCCTACTCCCGGAGAGACGGAGAGGAGAATCGAAACGAATGCAACTCCCACGGGTTGAGATAAGAACAGTTTAGTAACTAAGGTATAACACAGATCACTACTGCTACCACCAATAATAATAATGATAAAAGAAACAAAGAGGGAAGAGAATACAACACCTCACCACCAGCCGACTGATAACTTGCCCCCCCCAACCCAACCAAGCACCGACCGATACCTCCTCCAACCCTGCAGACTCCCTGCCCTTCTGGGTCACTCCCAGTTACATCCTGGGCATGACGTGCTGTGGTATGGAATACCTCTTTGTCTAGCTTGGGTCAGGTGTCCTGCCTCTGCTTCCTCCTGGCTTGCCTTCCTCCCTGGCAGAGCATGCGGCTCACAAAGTCCTTGGCCAAACCAAAACATCATTGCTACCAGCTTTGTTCCCAAGTCAAAAGTCAAAACACAGAGCTGCACCAGCTACCAAGAAGGAGAAAAATGACTGCTAGTGTTGAACCCAGGACACTCTCTTGGCTGGAACATGTGGAAACTGTGTAATTTCTTACAAGACACTTTTTAGACATTCTAAACCCTAACATTTTATGATCATATCTTTGTCTGTTGTACAGTTATGAGCGTGCTTAGTGTTCTGTAAAACTCAATTTGAAAGGGTAATAGAGTGTAGATAAATATCATACAGAGCCTACTGTGCAAGTGAGGTGGTTGATTTCAGTCAGCTTTGGACGAGTAGCAGGCAGCATTATAGAGCCATCTTTAAGAGTAGTAGATACAATGCAGTAATTTACTTAAAGCTTACAACTGCTTGCTTTTGTGAGGATGTCTTCAAGCCTGCTGCTTCTTAAAGACATACATGGTAATATCACAGTAGAGAGGAAGCTAGCTCTAAGAAAAGCATCACATGCCATGCTGGTGCCCCTGGGGTGAGCAGACATTGCTTAGACAACCCATCATGGAATATTTTCAGTTGGGTTTTCTTATCAGGAGTGTAATTTTGAGGTCAGGATTGCCATATTAATGCAGTAGATTGAAAAGGTTAGACTTCATAGTAATTTTTGCAATGTACATGCTGAGGTGGAGTTATGAGTAATTAACTGCCTGTGTAATACCTACAATAGACTTTGGATTTTCACAACTTTAATAATGCAGAAGCATTAAAAAACTTTTGCTAACAGAAAGTAAGTAGCAGCTGGGTATTCTTTGATACTAGTTGTTCTCTGGGATGTTCCTCTTACGATGGTTGTAATCCTTTGATCTTAAGAACATGAAAGGTAAACTCATAGGTCATCTGTTAATAATAAGTTTGATTGTACTTACTGATGTTTGTAATTAGTTTTGTAAAATTGGGCTAATACTTTTGAGACACATATGCTCATCAAAACTTCTTGTCAAGATATTCTACAGAGAGTACATATTTCTTTATATTATTCCGCCTCTGATTAGTTTCTTTTATTTTGGAAATAATTTCACAGTAAAGGATTAGGAGAAGAGAGAGTGTTCATTAGTATTGACCAATCTATTTATTAATGAAACATGAAGTGTACAGGCTTGTAGAATCACTTTCGTCTTAGAAGCTTTGCTGGGTTTTGTTGTTTTCAGAGTATTCTTTATCTGGAGAGACTGTCATCAGTAAAAAATAGTTATTAAAGAAAGATCCAAGATTTTTAGAATTCCTAACTATACAGTCATTCTTCTCTTACTACTGACATACTGCAGGGCATCTGTAAATCTGTAGAACAAACCTAGACTTGTCATTAAAAATTGTAGGTGGTGTCTTTGGGTGTGAGACGTGAGAGGAATGGCCAATTTCAGATTAATCATTAAACAGTACTTCTGGTGATAGTCCAGACTATTTTAAAAATAAAACTAATGAGAAAACAACTTTTAGTATCTATATGAATATAATTTTTATGTAAATGCTGAATTATAGTAAGCCATAATTTCATTTGAGCACTTCACAAATAAAAGAAAGAAAATGCCTGTCAGCTATGAGGTAGTTTTTCTGTCTTTGTTGACTGAGGCAGCCCTTTAAATAGCCATCTCTATATTTTACATGGCAAAATCAAGGCCAAAATATGTGCTCAATATAAACTTTAACAGGAAGTAACTTGTGTTGCACGTTTGTCTATTAAGTACAAAATTACATATATGAAATGTCTCCTTATTCCAGGAAAAACATTGATGGTTGATGCAGCTGAAGGACACAAAACTCACTTCTCTCAACAGACCACGCTTAACAAAGGACTTAGCAAATCTATGGGATTTCTGTCTATTAGAGGAACCCAAGGCGAGGATGAGTTTTTCCAGGGCATTTCCACAGATTACAGCTCAGGGCAGGAAGATGTTTTCTGTCCTCATAGATGTAAAACCAGTGAGTTTGAAAAAAAAGGTCACTTTCATACAGATGTCACTCCCAAGCGGAAAGTATGGGCTTCCTCCACTGACTTGCTTTGCACAACTGACAAAGCAGCTGAGAGGAACCATGCTGGAGGCTCTCATGGGCACAGCTATCAATGTGAAGCATTTACAGTACGAACTTCTACTACCAGAAACAAGGAAGCAAGATACTCTGATGGGAGCATAGCACTGGATGTCTTCGGACAGCAGAAAATGGACCAAATGCGCCATGTGCCTGAGACATCAACTTCTGCAGCAATATCAAGTGCCTTTGACAGGATAAGGGAGAGACAGAAGAAGTTGCAGCTTCTGAGAGAAGCTATGAATGTAGAAGGTCAGTGAAGCTTTTTGATTTTCTGAATATTCCTGTCATTAAACAAAGATTTCTCTTTATGATAAATCTGAGTTCTCATGTAGCAGCTCTTGAAACGACCAAGATTGTTGCTTCATCTTCTTTTTTTTTTGGTGAAGTAAAAACATTAGAACATCTGTTGCCAAGGAGGATAAATGTGCTTGTCCAAATTGCGTTGCTAGTGAAAGTAGTTGATTTCTCTAAATCAGGCAGTATCAAGTTCATCAATTAAAATTAGAAAAAGAAAAAAAGTTGGTAACAGCCAATTGTCAAGTAATTTTCCTTGAAGGAAGCCACTCATCTTCAGACATTAGAAATGGATTTATACCCCAGAGGAAAGGGAGAATTCAATCTCCAGATCACTCAGATTTTGCACTGTATACCTCTGGACTTAAGCCTTTAAATACGAATTTTTTTTTGACTCATGTTAATATCTTTACCTCAGTGGGAATACTTGACAACAAGTTAATTAAAAGAATGTGTGGGTGGGAGGAGTCTTTGTTCTGTGGAGACTTTTAAAATGGTCTTAAAGAGAACCCTATAAGGGAAAGTGCATACTTACTTGCTTTGCAAATGTGATTTTCAGGGATTATAAATTTGTGAGAGTTGGGTAGAAATTGAGAGCAGAGTTGGATCCTGCTTATGATGGCCAGAATGCATAACTTGGTCATCTGAGGTATATGTGTTAGGAGAGGTGTATGAACTAGCTCAGTCATTTGTTCAGGTGCATTCAAAATCCATACAGTTGAAAAGTTATGGCTGCCTGTCTGGTTTGTAACACAGGTAACTGGGGAGAGTGGGGGGGGAATCAAACCACTTTTCCCTTCTTTTCCTGCACTGTGGTGTAAACATCTAGTTATTAGGGAGAGATGATGAAGCCTTTTGTCAAAGTTGAATTTCTGAAAATGCCTGTTCATTCCGCTAGTGGCCATCTCAGAAGACGCTTATAATTGCAGTTAGCATGGGAAGCACATTCTTTCTCTCCTGTGCAGGAAGGCCTTGTGTTTCAGAAAGGAGTGTTATTGAAATACCATAGGCAGTTCAAAAAGCTACTGTGATTTCTGTACAAGTTGTACAGACAACAGCTGAAGGGGTTTTTGTGCTATCAAATTAGCATCTTCCTATGAGGGTTATGTTATAATGGGATGGAATGAACGTAGCTGGAATAACACCGTGGAGATACCATCGTTTATCTCAATAGACATTTACCATCTATCATTATCTACTGAGATGTCTGATTAGGTACAGGGAAGGTTGGTTGGTTTTTGGTTTAAGAGTCTGAAATTGAAGGGGACCAGGTCAAGTACTCGAGTCAGCTTGGATCTCTCGAGATAGGTAGCTGACAAAGTTTAGGAGGAGGCCACTCCCTGCACTAGGGAAGCTCAATAGCCTTGTTGTTCAGGAGTGCAGCTTTGTGCAGGTTTGTGTTGCACAACAGCAAAACCAAAAGCTTGATCAAAACCCAATGATGAAGCAAGAGCTTATCATTCTTATTATTGGGAGACGGCTGAAAATGTAATGTGTCTGTGCCTTGCAAACTCAGATAGTTCAGATATGTGAAACTACTTAATTCGTAAAGGGAATGGGTGAAAGTGTAGTCAAAGTAAACCTGGAACTGGAGCTTAATAGTCACAGGAGGTGAGTGACAAATCTCTATAGGGAAAATTGAGGCAATAGCTAATGACTCAGTGCCCATCCTACTGAATTTGGAGTCATTACGTGCGAGAAAAAAAATGATACTTTCTCAACAGATAGGTAGGTTGCAGTGCTCTTGCTTCTCAGTTTTCTGCTCTCAACAGGGAAAGGAGGTATGTGTCACTCTTGAATTGAGGTTAGGAGTATGTGTTCTGTTGTTTTATTTTAGGCGCTTTTTTGTTGTTGTTTGTTTAAATGTTTTGGCCCAGAAACTACTTATAAATGTGACTTTTTAATGAGAAGCAGTTTAAAGGAGTATTTTAGCATGATGAATAGGTAGATGCAGCACTTAGGTATATTGTTTAGTGGTGGTCTTGGCAGTGCCGGGTTGATAGTTGGACTCAGTGATCTTAAAGGCCTTTTCCAACCTAAGTAACTCTATGATTCTATGATTCTAATACTTTTTCAGTTAGGAGTTAGTTGCTGTTGTGCTTTACAGGGCTTGAGAAGCCTGACTGAAAGTATTCTATTTCACCTCAGTGAGCAGATTCACAAAAGCCTAAATACATAAAGTCTGCCAGACCTTTCCCTTTTTCTTTTCCTATTTTGTTCCATATCTTTTACTATTCTTTATCTCACATCTTGTTTACAACAGACAAGTCCTGTGAGATCTTTCATAAAAAGAGTGTATTGCTTGTGAAATACACAAAAAATGAAAAATACAGTCCAAGCTTTTTGTGCTTTATTATTGTGTGTAATTTTCAAGCACTTGGTGGGTATTTCCAAATGTCAAGTGTTATCAAGTGTGTGTGGAATTGCTCTTCTGATGTAAACCCAGCCTAGCTGACAGAGATGAACTATGTAGAAAGCTGAGGTAAAATGTCATCTATCTTGAGAAAGGTGGCATTTGTTTGGGCAGCACGTGACGGAAGGTTATCTTACTGCCTATAGCTGGTAGTCACATAGCGGATAGGCAGGCAACAACTAGAAAGGGAGTGCAAAGAAGTCCACAGGGAATGGCAGCAACTATTGCTCTTTCACTGTGTGGGGGACACCATGACCTCAAAGGAGAGGTATTGAAAGGAAAACCAGAAAAAGAGCATTTTTTTGAAAGCTTGTGTAGTCAAGATAAGGAATATTTTCAATTTGGTTGAGTTTAGGTCTAGGTTACAGTTAAGTCTACGTAAATTATAGTAAGCCTCTGCTTTTGACTATTTTTCAATTTTTTAATTGTGAAGTGGTATTGGACTCTCTGTGGGTAAAACTTCCCTCCTCAAACTACAAAGGAACTTAAGTGACATGTGGCTTATTTCTTCTGTAACTTATTTTGGGTTAAACTGGCAAACTTTTTTGTTATTCATAAAACCTTAAGGAGTTGACTGTCTTGGAAAAAGAAAATGTTGTCATGACAGGCTCTACTCTTCCAGGCTTTCACTCAGAACACATTTTTATCATCCAAATTTTAAAGTCATGAAAAGTAGACTTTATAGTGGAAGGAATGACAGAGCTTTAATTATAGCTGTGCTGTAATAGAGTAGTTTGTAGTGAGCTGCAGATCTGAACTGCACTATAATCTACAGTTGGAACATCTCAGATTTAGCCTCACAAGCCTTCCAGAGGCAGTGTCATTGCAAGTGTCTTGCTCATGAACTTGATGTTTTATATGTTTTCTCTTGTACAGTTTCAGGGTTGAGGTTGTTTATCTCCTGTATACTAAAGATGATTGTTTATGATTAGGTGCTGCTTAGCCAGATGGGAGAAAGGTGAAGGGAAAGAGACTTCTTTTTCACTTCAGGTGTAGCCAATTCTTAATACTGAGAACAGACTTGAAAAATATGTGTTAATCTTGCCAAGAGATGGGAGAGTAGGTTCTGTATCTCTGCTGTTATTGTTAGTTCTTGGTTTTGTTATGTCAGTTTTGTGAGCTAAGGCAGAATTATTTAGAGTTGTGAAGTTGTTAGGTGTTAAACCCAAGCAGTTTGTACCAGGAGAGCAGATTTTGGTTTTGTTGTTATTTTGCAGCTTGGAAATTGCTGCTTGGCACCAACTGATAGTGTCCAGTTTCAGGGAGAAAATAATATTCTAGCTTTTCCATTTTGCAAGCCTGCATTGCCACTCAGGAACATGAAAGAGTAACTGTTCTCCCTTGCTCCCAGCTTGCTTTGCCTTCTCACCCACAAAACTGATTGTATCTTCTGATAGTTATGAGGTATAACCATACTTTAGCTTTCATATCCAAGGCCAACTTCAAATGGCCCTGTAGTAGGGCACAAGGGTGAGAGATGGTAGCCTTGTATGTATCTCTCCCTTCTATTTGCTTAGGAAGATTTTGCCGTCCTTGTTTTGAGCGTGTGCATAATTTAAAGTGAGTTGGTTTATGTGTTACTTGAGTGAATGTGCATCCTTCTTTTTTTTATGTGCAGTTTTGCTTGCAAGGCTGCTGTAAATGAAATGCATGAGGGAGCAAGGTATAAATACTGCCATTGTCCTGGTAGTCTATAGGAGCACAAAACCAGTTAGGAGAGTAGTAATGTAGCTAGCTGTGGGTTAAATAGCAGACAGTGAGGAAAAAGAGAGGAGGATACCAGAAAGGCTGATCTTGTTGAAGCTTTGGAATGCTGAATCCAGGGGTGGGGGAATGGGGCTGGTTTGGGAATATTCTCAAGCTTTTGTTAAATGTTTTTGCAGTTGGGAACCATGTGAATCCCAGAGCCTCAAACTGGGCTTGTCTTTCTCTCTTCTTACCTTTGATTTTTTTCCAGCAGAAAACCCAGATGATTAAGTACTTGTTTTGGTATTCTGTGTTTCTAGAGATGGGTTTCTACCTCCTAAGTCTTCTATGCCTATCTCATAAAACAATGTTTTCTTTAGCTACCCTGAAGATCCATCTGGACTCTGTTTATAAAACTTCCATGCAACTGCATGCATTTTAGGTGGGGTGTTATGGTTAGCGGTACTCTAAATGTCTGGATTTTAAAAGCTCTCTTAGTCTGAAGCTTCTGTTTCGAATAAGTGAAAATTTCTGCAGGTAATCAGGCAGCTGTTGGTAGTAAATTTATCCCAACAAATCAAGCCCCAGAGATTTTAATTTGGGATTTTTCTATAGACGTGCATTAAATGGGAGGTTGGATTTAGGGCAGAAGATGAATAGCTGAGTTACAAACTTATGTCTGTGAAGTCAGTGAATTGTGCATATATTTTTTCCTCCTGAATCATGTGTGCTCAGTTCATGTGTAGGCTAAGAAGAGGAAATGCGAGTCATCTACAGTAGTGTATCTGCATGTGAAAGCAAATTAAGACTCAGTTTACACATGTCTTAGGGTCATTGTGCTGCAGTATGATTTAAATTCACTGATGGCAAAATAGATTCTCATGTAGTTGGTATGTCCGGTATGTTCAGTTAGAACAATGTTCAGAAGTTGTATTAATGAAGCTGAAGGGTAGAATAATGAACTAATACTATGTTAGGTAGAAAACTTTCAGTTAATTTTACTGAGACTACAGAAGTTGGCTTTTCAAGGAAAAAGAAAGAAATGTTTGTGGGATTTTTGTAAAACAAAAGTACTCTGACATCAGCCACTATTATTTTGTTCTGAATTACATGGTTTAACATGAGGTAGTAAAACAGCTCTTACAATCCCATAATTGCCCAGCAAAGTGGTATCTGCTTTATTAAGCTTTCAGCAGCTCACACATTTTAGTATTACCAATTTTTAGTCAACATATTACATTAGGAGTTGGTCAAAACATTTAAATTAAAACAAACAACTAACTTTATTAGCCATACTTGCAGACTTTATCTGTGTCCATTTATGCACATTATCCTTGATGGCATAGTCCAGGAAAGAAGTGTGTCTAAGTACAACCCACTGAGTTCTTACTAGACCCTGGAGTTATTTTTAATGTTGCTGTTTTCCTTTCCAACCTAGCCCTGTAGGTGTGTGTTATCTGGAATTTTAGAAGGCTCTGTTTCTTCCTGTCACTCCGATCCTGCTGGACCCTTTGCATCAGATGTCTATTAGGCTTTCTGGGGAGGCCCCTGGAGGGGTAGTGACTCAGGCTGCATGTACCATACAGATTTTTCACTTAGAATATGGGTAGTGGAAATCATGCAAGTTAAAATGAACCTGCCACCTTGGAAAACTGAATGGGTTTGCTTCCCTTATGCACTTGTTGGATATGAATCTGTACCAGAGATTTATTCTGGATCTCTGCGTTCTTCCTGTTAAACCTTTGCTGCCTTGCATAAAATAGTTTGAGTTTTCTCATAAGAAACGAGGAAGAATAAAACTAAATATGACTCTAACCTATTGATTTAACACTTGTGAGAGCAGCAAGTCCCAGACTCACCTAAAGGGCAGTTAATGTGTTTTAAGTGGTATTACATTAACACTCTTGCAAAATAGAGATGCCCACCAATAAACTTCAAAGAGCAAACAAGAGCTCCCTCTCTGTCCTGAAACTGTCTAATGCTGCCATCTTCTCTGTCCTTTTCCTTCTCTGTCCAGCCAGAAATAATTCTACCATAATGTGTATTTGAAAAGCTGTGTATCTAATGCGAGTCATGTGTTCAGGGTAATGAAATTCCAAGCTAAATGTGGTTCTCTGATTTCTGTTGAAGTTGGCTGAGAAGAGGCTTTCTGTAAATTACTTGTCTGGGCTTGCATGTCTTGCCTTGCGTAAATAGTGTGTTTTGTTATTTTATGCTGCATTAAGTGCCTGTAAGGTTGTGCTCTGCTGGCTTTGATAGGGAATTTGAAAAATAGCAGTGCAGCACAGAGATTCTTTAAGTTGTAATGCTTTATTCATTTCTGCATTGTGGTGCTACCCTCAACTTCTTAGTGCAAGTTTTATGTATTCTTTCTAGTTATGGACTCTTACAACGTGCTTAAACTCAGGTTTGTTTTTCTGCTAAGGCATGAAATGACTTGTGTTCTGGTAAGAGACTGTAATCTTAAACACTGGAATGTTAAGAAGAGTAACTGATAAAATAATTTTTGTGATAATGTGCTTGATGTTTCTAGTAGTTAAATCAATTCTGAAGTTTCTAGTCACCAACATCATAAATATGGGAGTTGTTTTACTGTTGTCTTTAGCGCTTATTAGTGTCATCTTTCAGATCCTTTTCCAGCTAAACAGGCTAGAAGTTTGTCCTCGTTTTTTAAATTTTTGTATGAAAAGCTTAACTTTAACTTGATCCCAGAATTGGGACTTTGTGACCTTTGGAAGTCAGTTCTTAATTAGATGTTTGGCTTGAGCATGATCCAAGTGCCTTCTCTGAAGTTAAATCCTAATATGATATGCTAGAATTGAGGAGAAATTGCTGGTAGAGGAGATGGCATAAATTATTTCAATAATTTTGCAAACATTATAGAAACAGGAGTCTCAATATTTACAATTTAATTGAATGTTTGCAGGTCTGCAGTGGATATCCTGTCTGTGCCCTGGAAAAGAAAAGTTTGGGTAAAAGGGGGTGCTGCGCTGGGGCTATTTGTAGTGGATATACATAGATGTATACATAGAGCAGTTGAGAACTGGAAGGTGGTTGTCAAAGAGAAGAAGCCCCAGCATCAAACAGTTCCACATCTGTACACAGTTTACCTAAAATGAGCAAAGTGAAGAAAAATTTACAGGATTTACCCCAAACTTGAAGCTGTAGCTTCTTAATTGCCTTTAACTTTTGTCTCTAGGCTGAACAGGCTGATAGTCATTGATGCAGCCCTATTTGGAAAGGTTGTAAAATGCCTCCAGAAGATGAGAAGAATACCTTTGCTTGTGTTACTGGGATAAGTTGTATGGTCTTGCTTAGGGAGAAAGATGTGACAAGAAAGGAGGGTGGTCTCATCTCTGCCTCTACTTGTGAATGCTGGGAGAATAGGTTTAAACTTAGCTGGGCCTCATGTGGAGGTCTGTGAAAACACTGAGATAAACAGTGATTGGGAATCTTGCTTTATATTTCTTGGCTCATGAACTTACCCCTTGGCCTACAGCAGGGTGCCAACTCCCACTAACAAGATGAGTCAGGAGAAGTCAAATACCCTTCAGAGTCAGGTACCATGCCACATACAAACATTCATTCTATGTTTTAAGTGCACATTTCTGTTTTGCCATTTGACATGTTTTGTAAAATTTCATGTCTTGAAGAACCAGGATGGAGCCACAGTTTGTGTAAAATTCAGGAAGCACAGGCTGCTGACTGCATGGAAAAAATAAATCTGTTTAAAGTCTTGTGTCATAATTTATTGTTCCCTCTCCATCCTCTTGCTTCAAAGTCAGTTTAGGAGCCTTAAAAAACCTACAGCTAATAAAACTACTGGGAAAGAAGAGATCTGTTTTCAGTTAAATGTTTCTGTACTGTAGCTCCAGTATCATGTTTGGATTGATGCCTCACTTGAAGGGCTGGGAGCATTTTAAAAATACATCTCCAAAAGCTACCCACTGAATTTGGTTTTTATTTCCCTTGTTAGGCAAGTAATTGCTAGATTGGCGGTAGATTTCTTTGTAGTAAAATCCAGAACAAAGAAAGCAGCCATTGTGAAAGACTGAAGGAACTCCACCCTCCACCACCACAACCACCACCACACCCCCTCCAGTGAATTCTCTTCATCTTGCTGTAGGTTGGTTTGCAAATGTGCAAACCATATTGCTAGTTTCTGAGAGTAATGTGAAATGTCCTTAAGATTAGTTGGAATTTATGCTGCTAAACTGTGCAGCTGGTATGGGCTGGCAGGAGTAGTTGGTTGATTGGTAACTTTGCTTACTTTTCCCAGTTTTCTTGAAGAATCTTGTATTTGGTGGGACAGTAGGGACCTGCATAACCCAAGTGAGTTGGTAGAAATGGGAGAAATGCTGTCTTTTGAGGAGGAAGGTTTCAGGAACAGTCCAAAACTAGCATGAATTAGCTTGTTCTACTTCATTATGTTGTATCTTCTCATCCATTTTTCCTATTTGGAGTTTTCCCTGCTTCTGTAGGAGGTCTGAAAGACTAGTGCTGTTGACTACATGCCTGACCTCTGTCCTCTGACCTAATACATGCTATGGCACAGATTTAGCGTTCTTGCAGGATTTTTCACTGGGCATTCTGTTTTCTGAATGTGGGAAGCTGGAACATCTGATTTCCTTTTTTGCAGCATCCAGATGCATCACCCATATATTCCCTATTTTGCATTCTTACATTTTATCTTCCTTGATGAAGTGATTTATAGTTGTCTTCAGCAGTTACATGTGTTTTCTCTCTATCATCAGTTTTGTTTTCAAAAACATTAACTGTAGTTGGACCAGAGGCAGCCTTCTCCTAATAGACACACCTGAATTTTTGTCTCAGACAGTGAAGCATTGGTAATCCCAAAGTGTGTGTGTTTTTTCGTTTTGTTTTCTGCTATTACTCACTCTAGTTGGTTGGTTGGTTGGTTGGCTTGTGCACAGGAAAGTTTTGGGAAATTCTTGCAAATGTCCAGTACATACTCCCTTCTGTAGAGTCCTTTGCTCCAGTATGTTATTTAAAGAATCCACTGAGGGTAGGAATTGAGACTGCTGTATTGACTTCTCATCACATGCATTTAGCTGTTCTGGCTAATTAAATATCCTGTAGGGGCTTATTAATTGATTGTTAATCATATTTTGTGCATGTTGCTTTCGACACGCAAGACGTGCACCAAGTGTTTGCATCAGTTTTGTTTGCAGGAGGGATTGTTTTTTCTGATGGATTTTGTTGGGGGTTTTTTAAATATTAGTTTTAACTTGGAATTGATGATGAAAGTGAATTTCAGAGGAGGTGGCTCTGTTAGGATAGCCAAGAGAGGCCAGGCAGACCACAGAACCTCAGGTGATGGAGACAGAATGTGACTGCACAGCATCCACTGAGTGTTCCGGTTTCAGACTCCATAGCCACAGATGTTTTGCATTTAAAAATGTTTTGAAAAGATTTCAAAAACTTCAAATGTTAATTTGTGTTTGATTTTTGCATTAGAGCTGTTGCTCTCTTACTCTTCTTATTTAAACTTTCAGAGCCTTTGCGAAGGTACAAATCTTACCACAGTGATGTTTATAGTACTTCGAGTGAAAGTCCATCTGTTATTTCTTCAGAACCAGATTTCAGGCAAGGTAAGAACTATGGTTATAAAATAATAAATAAAAGCAAAGATCAAAACAAACAACAAAAATCCTAAAGAAAAAAGTTCAAGATGAAAAAACAGACACCAGAAGTATGATGTTAAATCTTTAGGAAGAAGCTTCAAAATTACCACTTATGCAAAGTTGTAAGATGATCTCGTGTAATTACAACATTGTGTACAGTTCAGCCTAGTTGGTAGTCTGTTCAGAAATGAGTTTGATATTTAGCGTTCTGGAAGGGGACTTGGTAGGAAAGGCTGGAAGTTGTCAACTTTTTCCTGGAGTGCTTGTTTCAAGTAACATGCTGTCTTCAGAAATGCAATAATGATCAAGTTGCTAATGTACAATAACAGTAAATTGCAAAAGCTTTATATGGGACATACATAGTTTATTTTTGTATCAGTGGGTTTTACTGTGAGGGTTAAATGGTTGATAATTTACAGGCTAAGGATTTCAGTGTAATGCAAAAGTAGTACATAGTACAGGCTGTATAGTAAATTTACTGTGAAATCAGTGGATTAGAAAAGCAAGAGATAGTGTGAAGGGTTGTTTGCTGATAAATGGCAGGAAGGGTTTTCTTTACACAGTGGCAGCACAGCATGGAAGGAAATGCTTGAAGCATTTTTTGAAAGAAGTGCTAGAATAGTGAAAAGAAGTCAAGAGGAAGGCACAGTTAATGGAACAATCAGCTTCGCAGAATCATAAGTGATAGACACAAACCATTTGATGAAAATAGGGAAGAAAGCAATATTTAGGAAGTTAAGAGTATATCTGGACCATATTCTGTATGCACAGAGTTCCAACCAACCTTCCTGGGTTGCTCACTGCTCTCAACCTTATGTATCTTTGTACATCTTCCTACTTACTAAACCGGAAGTCTAAGGAGCAGTAATTAAGTAGCAAGGCTCCTGTAAAGCAATGTCCTTCATCTAGATTACATTTATAACAGGCTGTTTGTGTTCTACTGCAAAGTCAACTTCTCCTAAGTTTATACAGGCAAGAGAGCGCTGCTTTCTGACTAATAGTAATAGTATTGTTGGACTTTGTGAAATGACTGTCAGAACCATTTCTGAATCACTGTGGCTGTAATGTGTCCTGTAAGAGCTCTCCTGCTAGCTCTGTTAATTGAAGGCACAGTGAGAGGTGAAAGTGAAGTAGTCAGCAAAATCAGGCTCTTAAGCGTAGGCTCAGGTGCTGCTACAGGAAGACATACTAACAGTGAAGATAACAATTACAAAAAGAAGAACAGGGTAGTATATTGCCAAAAGAAGAAGAAGAAAAAACAAATGTATATTTATAAGGAGGAGTCAGATTCCAGGAGAAGCTCAGAACCTCAATGTATACATACATATATATATATATACTGGTTTCTGAACTCCGTTCTTGTGAATTGGATGTGTAATTGATGTCTCTGCCATATGTGTGTCTCCACTCATGGTTGACAAATAAATGTGTTACCTTGAAAAGGTGTCTGTGCAGTTGTGTAGGGTTTTTCTTCAATTGCGGTTTCTTCTAGGCTTTCCTTAGTATTCTTCAAAGGACTTGTGTAGTGCAGCTATCTTTGATGAGGGAGACTGTAAGATCACGTGGACAACAGAAATCAACTTTATAACACTAGTTTGTCAAATACTGTAACGCTGTTGTGCTGAACACATGAATCTGATTCCTTTTAAGTAATCTAATATGACTGATAAATCCTTGATTTTTAGACAGGATTACTCTGTGTGTGTTGTGTTCCAGTTTATTAATTCAGCTGTTAATTTGTCTTTTGATTTGCTAGTGAGAAGAAATGAAGGTTTCAAGAGAGATGATGCCAGCAGTGCTTTGCCGGGTCCTGATGATATCTCCTCATCAAGTCAAGCTAATTCTCAGAGGGCAAGGTAAACCCTGTGGGAACAATATGTCTTGGAGTGCTTTGTCTTTATCAAAGAAAGTATTCTAAATCCACAAGCAAAATTTTTACTCCCATGCCAGCTTCTGTTTAAGGTTAAAAAATGGCATGTTGTTCTTGAAAGAAAATAGTATTTCATAATTACATATTGAAGCCTGAAGTTAAAGTCTCATGATGCACAGTGGTATAGAGGTAGGTATACCAGTTAGGAGTACAAGTTCAGTTCCTGTATTTAATGGAGACTGGGTTGTACTCTATCAAGTTTTTGTACCTGTCAGAAGGTTTATGTTCAGCTTGGAAATATTTAAATAATTTTCTAAAAGTTTTGGAAAGAATATTCATACAGATTAATTTGCCATTTTTTCATTTAATAAGGAAATGGTAGCATGCTTATTTCTTTGAAATAAGCCAAAAGCCATACATTTGGTTGTGTGTTCTGGCAAACTCTTTAGTTTATGTTGTTGTGTTTATATTTATTTTTTTTTCTTTAATACCTTGGCACTGATTAGGCAGGTAAATTCAGTAACAATTCACGGGTTTTGAGTTGTTTTTTTTTCTGTGCTATTTACTTGAATGTTAGATGTGTTTGAGTTGTTGGGTTTTTTTTTTCAAGTGTTGTTCATCAATACTGATTTAAACAGTAGGTTCTGATTGGTACATAACCTTAATACAGCATCTTTGTACAACAGAAGTGTATCTTGACATATCTGTTAGGTTTTGAGAGTGGTTCCATTCTGGATGTTTGAGAATTTCTACTGACACCGACCTTTTGGATGGAAAATTTTTCATGTAGTCTCTGCCAGATGCTGAATCACCTTGGAATATTTTATCAAAGTAATTCAAATCATTTGGGGGGGGCGGGGGGAACAAACCCACACATGTTTTCCTCCTCTTCCCTCACCACATTACAACAACAGATCCTTCTCTCAGCAGCTTTTTGCTTTGCTTGGGGTAGATCAGAAGAAAGTTTGCTGCTGTGCTCAGTATTTTAGAATATTTTTATGGGTTTGGCATAAGTTGAGTGGGAATCCTGCTCTAGCCTATTAAGCTTAGAGATGTCCAAAGATTGAAACTGTTGCAGGTGATGTGGCAAGGCTGTCAAAAGTGTCCATTGTGTTCATTTAACATATAGGGTTATGTGCAGTGAGTAGGGCTTAGTGCCATGCATTGAACACAGAGATGAAAATAAAATAACATCTGCTTCTTGCACTATATTGTGTGCTTTAAATGGATATGGGTCTCGGGTGAGCTGTATCTGAGTGCAGATGAACAAGAGAGCAGTTACTTGGAAATCTTACAGCTTTTGGTGACCTGCTGAGCAGCAGCATTGGTTTTATTACTACTTGCACTTTGCCTGAAAAACACGGTCCTCTAGAAATGTACACATTGGTATTTCCTACAGGGGAGAAGTATTTAAGCATTACTTAGCTGGGTCAGCACTGCTTTATTGGCAGGAATATGGTATATATTCACGTAATAGCATATATGATGGACTGCAGTGTCCAAGCAGTGTTAGAAATCCAGCCTTGCTCAATGTAAGAGGATTTTGGCTAGTATCTGAGTATTTAAGGTGAATTTTGAAGGACTTAGGTTGCAGGTTTATTTTCCATGGAACCCTGTCAGAGATGTAAATTTCAGCTTCCCAATTAATGCTGTCTTAGCACCACACTAAAATGGCAAAGTAGGCTATTACTACTGTGTGTACAGAATGAGCATGCAGCTATCTTACTTGCCTTTATTTCTTTTGCTGAATACTGCTAAGTCAAACTTCATTCTTGTTTGACTTAAACCCAGAAAAGTTGCCAATTCAACACTGTAGCTATGCTTCAAAATAAAACAGCAATAATTTGTGGATGCTGATAGAGGACTTCTGTTCCGTTTACAAAACATTTCAGAAACAGAAAGTAGTATGTGGTATTTGAATGAGTTACATTGTTTTAAGTTGTTTATTATGCAGGTGAAAATGTCTTGGTAAAACAGTACGTACTTTCCCACGGTTTGTTTTACCTTATACTGCTCCGTTAAGACTGGCACCTTTAGTGGACGTAATCTGTATGTGTGAAATCTAGGAGGAAAATACTGGTTTGTAAGCGCAGCATAGACTCACCTGTTGTGCTTAGCAATGAAATTACTTTTACATGTACACAGCTATGCAGCCTTACTTCAAGGCTTAGTATTTTACTGAGTCTCCTGTTTCTGCTGGCCTTCTCCCTGTCCCTTTGTGAAAAGATGCAATTCTGTACCTACACAAAAATGCCATGTTAGGCTACCACACATAGTTCTTCAATGGCTTTCATAGAATCATAGAATCAATTATTCCTCCATTTTCATAAGGTGAAAAAGCTTTTATTTATTTTTTCTTTAAATCAAAGTACCAGACTAATAAATATATCCAAGACAAAAAATGAGGCTGAACTCCTAAAAGCTAGTTTTACAAGCTTTTTTTTTTTTTTTCTCAATAGACCTATTGAGAAACAGGAAAGCAGCCATGAGCAGAATTTGGTCCTAAATAATACTTACATAATATCTGTTAATTATGTGAACTGAATAGTGCGTGTGTGCTCTGTCTTTCTGTAACAGCTGTTAAAACTTCCCAGTGCTAACAAGTGAAAAAAAGGAATACCATCAAGGATGGTAGCTAGTTAAGCAGGGAGATTTCTAAGAAAGTAACAGAGGGGTTGGAACTAGGTGATCATAAGGTCCTTTCCAACCCTAACTGTTCTATGATTCTATGATTTTTATCCAGAACATTGAATGTTGCTGCTTTAAAATGTCTGGTGTTGCAGAAGACCATGGCTTTTGTAAGTTTAGAAACATAAGCTCTCAAAGTAAAACTTTTGATAACAGTTCGAAGGAGCATAGTCTCAGTTTACATTTTTTGGCTGGTTGGTTGATTTCAGGGTTTGGGGAAGTTTATGCAACTTGATCCGTTACTTGAATTCCACCAGCACTTGGGAGCATGTTTCAGTGCTTTTTTCTGTGTTCAGAGATACCATCTGTACTTCAATACATATTAAATTTACTGCTTCTGTAGCATGTCCTTAGAGACAGTCTACTTAATTATCCACAGAATTATCCGTGTAAACCTGAGTTGTAAATCAAATAGGGGGATTTGGATTTGACAGAGTCTGCTACCAATGATAAAAAAACACCAACCCAAAACCAAACAAAAACTAGACAGTGAAGCTGTTCAGAGTTATCAACGAGCGTGATTTGTGCTATTTCGGTGGGCTGGCCTGCTCTTAAACTAGCAGAAGCAACAGGCTTTTCAGTAGAACACTCAGTGTATACTCAAACCCTTCTCATGTTCTGTGACTGTTGTTATCCTTTAAACTTCTTAGAACGCTTTCCTCATGGCAAGGGTACTTGTGTCTATGTTTCCTCTTTGCTTCTTGTATTCCTTATTTCCCCTTCCTCCGCACCCCCTTTTTTTTTTTTTTTTTTGTTCTTTTCTTCCTTTACTATTTCTTCCTTTTTCTCTCTAGGAGCAGCAGCTGACATGGAGCTCTTCCTTCTGTTGCCTTTTCCTTCCACTAGATTTCATTTCCATATTGTTCCTACTTTACCAAAAGGCACCTGTCTTGCTCAATCTGTTCCTGACCTTTCCACTGCACTTACCATTAGAGAATGTCTACCTGCTTCCCTTCTTCCAACTTTCTTCTCTGATCCAATACTTGGTAAGTACACTAGGTGAGGAGTTAATTCACTTCTCTCTCTTATAGGAGTCAGCCTTCCAGGTGATTGCTCAGGATAATAAGTAACTCTGAAATTCTGGTTTGCAATCGGACATTGATAAAAATACATAGTAGCAGCCAAGTACTTGTCTGATGAAGTACCATAGGAAGCTCACATTTATGATCTTGACTGTTAGGAATGTAATTTGGACATCTGTTTTTGTTGGAGTAGTAATACTTGCATATTTTGAGCTTCACAGAAGAGATCTGTCAACAATATCTCCTCTCTTGTAGAATGAGAGATGCATTCCTTGTCTTGGAATCTGAAGAGTGGATCATGCTGATGCCTTGCATAGAAAATTGACAATCTGACCCAGCCATAGTTAGTTTTACTTACCCAGGATGCTGAAGTGTCCTGATTTCTGGTTGGTGACATTGACTATGTACTAGGTTAGGAAAATTTTCAAACCATTTGGGTTTTGAGCTTCTTCCCTGGAAACACCATACCCACCACAATTTGCAGAGAAACTAATAAATATCAACAAAGATGATAAACCAACACAGTGTTACTGCTTTACACAGTAACTTTTAATTGCTCCTACTGCACTGAGCCGTATGTTGTTAAAAAGGCAAGGGTTTTTTTTTCTGCAGTAGGGGTTTTCACATTAGCAAATATTTTCAGATGCAGCCAGTTGCAACATGCCTATCTTTTTCATATCATCTTTGGAAGTTTGTAGATATTTATGTTCAGAAAGTGTTTGGTTTTGTTTTATTTTAGAGCTGATCCTTAGGCCTTGATCTGAAATGTGCTTATGGGTGTATTTAACTTAGTTCATTGTGGATATTCCCACATATGTCAATCTTAATAAGCTTCCTCTTGGTGAAAAGCTAAGCATGTGCACAAGTCTTTGCAGGTCTGAGGCCTTTTCTTATTACTTTGTCCTTTTAGGTGCACATTATTAAGTCTGCTGCAGAAAAGAACAGAGAAGGGAGAAAGGAATCCATGCTTTGAAAGCCCTGCATAATGGAAAGGATAATGGGCTTACATTAATACATTTTTCTGTAACTACTCTGAACTTCCCTGATATTTCATTAGAACTTCAACACTGTTCTGCTCGGTTTGTGGTGCAGTAGTGGCACTTTATTGTTTGGACTCCCATGATAATGTAACTCTTCTTATTTTAGTGCTGGGTTTGTATGCTAACCAATGAAACTTTAGCATTAAAAAAATGTAAGAGATTGCAGTGCACTGTTCACACTGTTGGCATTCATTAGAAATTTTGCCATAAAAAGATGAAAAAATAAATCATGTCTACCATTTAGCATAGACAACTAATGTCTAGACAGGTGCATTTTTCTCTTAGTTTATTAACTAATTTGTTATTCACCAAACATATCTTTAGGTCTTTTAAAAGGTAGTTACATAAATATAATGTCTTTAAAAGTCTGTTGATTCTTTTACTGTGAAGGACTGTATGTCAGTGTCAGTGCAGGACTTGCTCTGCATTTATCTGTATTCTCCAGTGCAACGATATGCAGGCTTCAAATAACCCTTCTTTACTCTTTCATGTGTTTCATTACTCCAGTGTACCATAGAATCATAGAATAGTTAGGGCTGGAAAGGACCTTAAGATAATCTATTTCCAAACCCCCTGCCACGGGCAGGGACACCACCCACTAAACCATGTCACCCAAGGTTCTGTCCAACCTGGCCTTGAACACTGCCAGGGATGGAGCATTCATAACTTCCCTGGGCAACCCATTCCACTGCCTCACCACCCTTACAGTAAAGAACTTCCTCCTTATATTCAAAATATATACCATCTAAACTAACACTTAGCTTAGAATTGCTGGAAGTGTTTTTTTTGTGGATGGAAGTCTTGTTAGTTTCCCCTGTCCATTTATGTTTAAAAATTGCCTATGTATAGTTATGTTAACAGAAAGAGAACATTGTTTTGACTTGTTTTAGGATTTCTAAAACAAGTTGGTTGGTTTATATTTAGCTTGGGGTTTAAAGGTGTTTTTCTGTAAGAGTGGAACAGAAGAAGGGGAAGTTAGTTTCATTTTTCTTGGACTTCTTCACATTTCCTAACCTCCTGATTCTCAAATAAAAAAAATGCCTTTTGTTCATCAAAAATGGGACATGGATTTCTTTTCTTCCACAGAGAATAAAATTGGCAGGACATTTGGGATACATACCTGCTCAGCAAAGAACTGGAGAATAGATTGCTGTGGTTTTCAGACATAGTGAAAATCAGGGAATAAATAACAGTTCCGTGCAAAGAGTTTGTAAAGAATTGCTACAGAGAAAGTGATTAGAGAAATACTTACTTATATAAAGTACACTTACTTTTTTTCTTTAACAGCATGCTTTTGAGCATGCCTTTTTCACAGTCCCTGCTTGAACCGAGGAATTAAGAGATTTTCAAAGCATTAATTATTTTTCTTCCTCCTGTTCAGTGGGTTTGTACTGATTCACTGGCTTTGTAATGTCAAGTATTTTTTCAACTGCAGCTGAGCCTTTACTTTTGTATGAATAAATGACAAGCAGCTGTAGAAACTTGGCAAGTTTGCTCATTTTCTGTATTGGTGGATTACCATAGAGTGCTAACCTCCTGGCTGCTAAGTGTTCTACTTAATGATGTATTTGATAACTAGTTTTTGTGTTCCGGGTTTCTACTTAAGGACTTAAAGCAACAGAGTATTTTAGGCCTACCTACTAATGTCTTTTATCCCCTCTGACTATACCATAGGCAACATGAAGCACCATTTGAAGGCAGTCTAGTAAGTCAAGAAGTGATGCTTAAGCATCAGGAAGAAGAAATGATGCAACTGCAAGCTAGAATGGCTCTCAGGCAGTCCCGACCTAACCTCTACCCAGGAGATGCAATTAGGTCCTCCATGCTTGACATCACCAGAGATCCACTGAGAGAAATAGCCCTGGAAACAGCCATGACACAAAGGAAACTGAGGGTAATGCCCTGATCTCAGATGAACTCTTATTTGCATTGAAACAGAGCAGTATCTTGAAAACTTAATATGTAGGATTCATAGATTAAGTCCTGTAACAGTCATCAGCAGATTAAATACTAGGTGTCTGGTGTTGCCCTGATAGGAAAGACCTACTGTCACAGGGTAAAATTCTGAGGTTTTGTGGCATTAGTGGCTACATAGCCTAAAGCAGTATCTGGAGATGATAAAACAGATAGCAAGCCTTGACAAAAGATTGCACTGATTAAACAATGTGGCATCCTAGCAAAGGTAAGGTGTAGTTTTCTCCTGTATTCTGTGGTGTTTTCAACCACTTCAGTTTGCATTTATTTCTCTTTGTGGAATGTGGATGTATCCCACCAGCATTAAAAGTTATTAAATGAGCAAGTTGGAAAGGTAAAGAAAAGCAGAAAGGATTCATTTGGCCTTTGGGTTTACCCTGAATCACCATGCAAACTCCCCTTTCCAAGCTGTTTTGGTATGTGGATGCAATACAAGATTACAGAGAAAGAAGGAGACAGAGGTACAGGTAAATACAGTGGCTGGTGTTTAGACAAGGTGATGAATGATGCCCTCTGCTGCTGCTTTTAGTGAATTGGATTTATTTATTATTATTTTTTTTAAGGATGGGAAGCCTTGAGAGAAGACTCAGGTCTTGTTCATTTAACAGTTTGGATAGGTAACCTCCTGTAATTTACAGGGTGAATTAGTAGGATGTTTATTTGTCTACAAGCAGACAGAAATTTCCCAGGATCTCTACTTGAACCCAGCAGGTAGAATTAGGCTGAAATGTTTCAGCCTTCAGGAGATGAGACTTGTGTCACAGAGACTTGTTAAGGATGCCAGTGAAGAAAACCTTAGTAATGTCAGGCAATTGCTTACTGAGATAAGCCCAGATGGTCCCAATATGCAACCCCACACCCTGTATTTTAAAGAATGACTAATAATATTACAGTATCACCTTTTGCCAGCAGAGGAAAGAGCATATGCAGAGTAATAATGTCACTAACAGTGTAGCTTGCCCGTGATACCTGGCACACATGCTGGCAAGATGAGTTTTGTTACATACCGGCTCATGGGAGGAATTCAGCACAATTTCCTAGTTTCAGACTTCGGTACCTCTTTGGCATTTGCAGGGTGGAAGTTACCTGTGCCTCAGTCTGTTGTTCCAGCCACACAGTGTTGACTCATACTCTTGTGATTTGCAGAATTTCTTTGGCCCTGAGTTTGTAAAAATGACGATTGAGCCATTCATCTCCTTGGATCTGCCAAAGTCGATCTTGGTAAGGAAGGGGCTATTCAGCAGTCAGTGACAGGGGAAGTACATTAAACCAAAAAATTTGCTTTTGTCACAATTGCGAATGTTGTATTTTTTGTTTCACAAAATGCAGACTAAGAAAGGGAAGACTGATGACACTAGGCGAAAAGTAAATGTGATGCTTCTAAGTGGGCAGAAGCTGGAGCTGACCTGTGATACCAAAACAATATGTAAAGATGTCTTTGATATGGTGGTTGCCCATATTGGCTTGGTGGAGCATCACTTTTTTGGGTTGGCTACTTTAAGAGGTAAGAAAAATGATTTCATGTAATTGACAGGTACAAACTAATAATAATTGGCTACATGGTGTTGAGAAGATAAGCAGAAACTCTCTGGCATCTACAAAGTGTCTACTTTGAGTTATATTCTGTTGCATTGAGGCAAAATACATTCCTCAAAGAACACCTTTGCACTATAAAATTCTATGTTTGTCAAAGTTATGGCAGCTCATCTTGAGCAGCCTGTTTCCTGTGGTTGCTAGTTTTCTTCCCTGCTGCTTGTTGCCCTCACTCTGACTAGTACCTCTCAGAGGACATGAATGGGTTTTGGGTTCTGTTAATACGCCACAGGCATTGCTGAAGCCTCTTATGGAGGCAGACCCATTGGGAGGCATAGGAGGGCCCTAGTATAGATGGAGTTGCCTTATATAAAAAGAACTTGCTCCTGAGCAATTTAGTTTTTTGCTATTAGAAGAGACTAGAATGTTGGATTTTCTATGGGATAAGAAATGTTAGAATTTTAAAGAACCCCTAGCTCCTATTTTGTAGCTATCATGGAAGATAATTTTTGTATACAGAATAATACAGATTTATAATATGATAATGTATTATCATATTATTTATATGGTTTTATATCCATATGCTTCCCTTTAACATTCATGGCAGACAATGAATTTTTCTTCGTTGATCCTGATATAAAGCTAAGTAAAGTAGCTCCTGAAGGATGGAAAGAAGAACCAAAGAAAAAGAACAAGCCCCCTGTTAACTTCACTCTGTTTTTTCGCATAAAGTTTTTTGTGGATGATGTCAGTCTTATACAGTGAGTATATGAATATATTTTTTAACCCTTTAAGCTCTGAATTTACGGATAGAAATTGGATAGTAATCAAATACTGAAAATCTGCTGTAACAGGAAGAGTACCAAAGATGATATTGGAGTTTTAGTGGTTTTTGGTTTGTTTTCCTATTCCAGGCATACACTGACCTGTCACCAGTATTATCTGCAGTTGCGGAAGGATATTCTGGAAGACAGGATGCACTGTGATGATGAGACAGCCTTATTATTAGCATCCCTAGCTCTCCAAGCTGAGTATGGAGATTACCAGGCTGAGGTACACCATCAATTTCATGTTGGAGAAACTATGTTCTTGCTGCATAATTAAAAAATAGCCTGTGAGCTGCCACAGCTTGGGCCTGGACTAGAAGCTCAGCTGATATGGTGTTGGCTACTTTTGCTGTGGGCAAGGTTTTTTTTTCGTAGTCTAATAACACAGGGCTGTTGCAGAATCTGTTTCAAGATCTGGATGTTAAATCCTTTATTTTAAGTGGAAGTAAAGAAGGGCTTGAATAGGAAGAAACCATATGTGAAATAAAGGTCTGAGTCAGGGTTGGGATTCTTACTCGGAAGCATGTGGTTCTCCAGTTGATTTTTAGTGTATGATTCCCTGTAACATGAGTGTTCATGCTTCATTTGTGCATATAGAGCAGTATATGGAGTTGCTGCCAAATAAATATTTTGTCTTGTAGGTGCATGGCATGTCCTATTTTAGACTAGAACACTATGTCCCGGCTAGAGTGATGGAGAAACTAGATCTGTCCTACATCAAGGAAGAGCTGCCAAAATTGCATAGCAGTTACGTGGGTGCATCTGAAAAAGAGACAGAGTTAGAATTTTTGAAGGTAAGTGGGCAGCAGTTTGCTTCCTTAATCTATGATTTAAGAAATTCATTGTGGGGAATATGGGTGTGTGGACTTCAACCAAAAGCACAAGAAAACTGCTCAGGTTCTGATTAACAGAAAAGATATTCTCAAACGACATATCATTGCAAGGGAGAAGAAATTGTAAGAGATGGGAAGGAATTCCTTTCACTTTGTTTTCTGATCAGTAGTCTTCCTGCTTTAGCTCAAACTAGATAAAAGCAACTATCTATCCTTACGTTTACCCTGAAGGAAGCTATGATTATGAGGCAGCACACCCTGCTTTTCCTATGCCCTTTGTTCTTTCTGTTGAGAAAAAAAAATACTTAAATTATGAAAAGTTTTGTTACACCTAATGCTATTTATGGTGCTTGGTATGAAGCAAGCCAGAAGCATTACCAAGCAGACTTCTGTGTGCAGGTACAAGGTCCGATGATAGGAAAGCTGTAATCACAGCTATATTTGATTTATTCTAAAAGAACCCATCAAGAAATATAATTATGTGTTTTGCTGCTGTTGCTCTGAGGTAATGAGCAGGTCCTGCCTTGATACAATGGCTGCAAATGACTTCAGGAGGTGGCATCTTGGTGCTGAGATGCTGGATAATCATTACGCTGTAATTCCACAGTCATGCTGTGGTTCCACAGTCTCTTGAGAAGGTTGTGGCAAAGGCACTGAGCTGACTTTGCCCCTTCTAAGGCTTTGGCTGAAGTGTTCTTGTAACTTAAGCACAGAAAAGAAGAACAGGGGCCTTGATCCTAGCTAGACATAGTCTGACTTGGGGTGGGGAGAGCACTTAGATTCCTTCATTTGATTCATTACATCAGTCCTGTATGCCAGTACTGAAGAGACACCAAGAATTAATGACTAGGAGTGCAAAGTGAGTGAAACTTCATCTCTTGGCAGTTACGATACTTTAATGTGATCACAGAATTGCAGTGTTAATCTAATTCTACGTTTTAAGAAGTGGTTCGATAACAAGGCCATCTGGCTGGTTACAGTTGGTTTGTGCAGGTTTGATTTACTCACAGGCATTCTTGGTTCATGCTTTCATTGTCTGATTTTAATAAACGCTATTAAGTATAAAAACTTGTAATAGCCTTAATTTCATATTCTTAGATGTTTCATTGTATTGATCTGTATAGTTGTGTCAGAGGCTCACAGAATATGGGGTTCATCTTCATCATGTGTTGCCTGAGAAGAGATCCCAAACAGGTATCCTTCTGGGAGTGTGCTGCAAAGGAGTTGTTATTTTTGAAGTTCACAATGGTGCCCGCACACCTGTACTACGCTTCCCATGGAGAGAGACAAAGAAAATATCCTTTAGTGTAAGTTGGTCTCTTTTCCTCTGTCTGTACATATCTATGTTTGTATGTTCAGATACTGTGTGTTATTCCTGCAAATTAAGGTGCTATTCTCAGTGTAGTCTGACTACATTTTGGTTTGCTGAGCTGTGTTGTTTTAGGGGTTTGAAAGAGGAGTTTTGAAATTTCCAAGATTTTTTGTTTTGTTTTTTTTTTAATTAGCTTGCCTCCTATTCTGAGGCTGGAACCTCAGCAGCAGAGAGTTTAGCACCAGTGTTTTGGTTTGGCAGACCTGTAGTGATGTGAAACATGGCTCCCCTGCCTTGTGTAAGGAATGAGCCATTATGGAGATAGATCAAAGGCTACTCTTATAGGGAGAAGCTTTACCCATTGACTGCATTTCTGGGCATCCACCCATGCTCCTATATGGGACATGGGTACTGAAGGAGCATGGGAGTGAGAATCCTGCATTAGAGGACTGGGTATTGGCAAATGCCAGAACTCAGTGTAATTAACAGATTCACCTATTTCGCTTTTAAATTATTTTATTTCCAGGAGTAGTTAACTTAAACAGTAATGGTTGACAGTGGCTGACACTTGATCTGGACAATACCAGACAACTTTAGTGGGTACAGCATAATCTGGTGGTCATGTGTCAGTTTTTAATGAGGTGTTGAGCTTCAAGTACTTACCTTGGTACAGGTATTGAAAACAGGACTTCTGTCTGATAACTTACTGAAAAGCTCCAGCCTGTTTCATCTGTGATAAGATTTTTACCTAGGATTGGTAAATTGAAGTTCTAAATTTATTTTTTCAGTAATTTTTAGACTTGGAACATTAACTGATAAGATTTCATAACTGGATGGGTACCTAGTTATTTTTCTTTTGAGTGGCAACACCCTTTGTGACATCATTGGAGGCTTTTGAGAAGTCCATCCTGCAAAACATAATAGTGCTGTTTGTCATTAGTCAGCACTAACCGTAACAGAGACGGATTAAATAATAATAAAGTACCATCTCAGCTAGCCCAGAAGTAGCTTTAAAATGCTGCTTTGTAAATGTCAGATTACTTTCAGCCCCAATTTTAATAGAAATCTCTCCCATTGGTGCATTTTTGCTTCAGGAAGGTTTCAATGCTGTAAATGCACAAGCAAATACAAAATTCTTTGTAAGCTAAAAGTAATCATTGTCTTTAACTTTTTTATTTCTCTATTGTGTAGAAGAAGAAAATAACTTTGCAGAACACATCAGATGGTATCAAGCATGCATTTCAGACTGACAATAGTAAGACTTGCCAGTACCTTTTGCATCTCTGCTCTTCCCAGCATAAGTTCCAACTACAGATGAGAACCAGGCAGAGCAACCAAGATGCTCAGGACATTGGTAAGGACTGTGATGTTGTGTTAGTTTTTAATAGCAATCTATATGTATTTTTGTAAGGAGAAAACTGAACTTGAGCTTCAGTAATTCCACTGAGTGCTACGTATGTGTAGCTCTGCATCTGGAGGGTTTGAACTATAAAGAGAATCTACTAAGTAAGTTTGTTTAGGATTTGCTGGAGGGGGAAGAGTTGGCATATCACAAGAGCTGGCACACAGCAGCTCCTCTAAAATAAAAGGAGATTAAAAATAGGTCAGTAATAGTACTTTCTGATTAGATTAATGGCTTCTGGCTTTTTTCAGAAAGAGCTTGAAGATACTTAAGTAACAGGATTTTTACATTTTGCTTAACGTGAAATGAAATGCTTTGATGATGTGGAATTACAGATAAAATGGTGTGATCATGAGAGGGCAAATACAATAGGGAGCATTTCATGATGCTGCATCTGTAAGCTGTGGGTGTAGCTGTCTTTATTCCACTTAATGTTTTGTGGACCCAGTAAGGAACAACGCTGATGCTAGTCAGTTTTCCTCAGAAATGCTAATTTGTGGGTATAATATAAAATCTAAAGGTGTTCTTTTCGGTAGAAAATATTAATGGGAGAATGCAATCCATTTAAACACATTCTGTACTAATTTCTTTACAATTTGGAGCAGAGCTCACTTGACTGGCTGGCTGGAAGTGCTATTTTGGTCAGTCTGCCTGCTCATTCTTTCTTTGTTCTCTGTTTTTATCTGTCTGCATTCCAGTTGATGTTAATCCAGACTTCAGCCAGCATAGCTGGGATAGAGTTTGACCCCACTGCTGCAGAGGTTGTCATCTCTAATTTAAAAAAGAGGGGGAAGGGAGGAGAGGCAATGTGGCAACTCTGCAGCCTTTTTTTCTATTCTGTTGGGTTCAGCCAACTCAGTGAAAGGAACAGGGCCAAGCCTTTGTACCATTCTCTAGCTTAGTGCTTGCTTATCCTGAATGGCAAAGAAAAGCAGCACATGAAAGGCTTTCTTGGCAAGGCAAACTTGGTTGCTCTTACAGATGCAATATGTGTTGTGCTTTCGGAGTCTGAAAAATAATAGTTTGTTTCTATGCAGTGCAGATAACTTACAATTCAGAAGTCTCAAATTTCATCAATCATCTGTAAGCAGAAGGAAATAAGTCAGTATTATGGTTAATTCCATTACACTTGGTTATTAAAAGTAGAAACACTTCCAAAACTTTGCTTATGTCATATCTTTACTGATCTACACTGATCAGCCCTGCTTCTCTTTCCTTCAGGTATATATGCATAGAGCAATAGAGTTACTAGAATATTTTAAAAAAGAGAAAGTATTGTAATAAAGGTAAGAGAAAACAATGATGAATCAGCTAGCCAAAATAGCATATTAATTAATTAGAAGCACTGTTTTTTTTTAGAGCAGTGAAATCCCAGGCAGTATTTGGGAAGCATTATTCTTGGCCTATAGAAGCATCAAGTATTTTTGGATTGGTTTTTTTTTTTCAGAGCCCTTAAAATATCAGTAAAAATGGTGGTTAGAAGCAAAACAGTAAGCAAAAGGGAAGGTGATAATATTATTAATTCGAGGCTGATCACCACAGGAAGTGTATGTTTTGAAGGCTCCTTATATAAAGATTAGGCTAACGGCACAGTGAACACAAGCACATGCCTATAACGCTTGCATGTTCATGGGGAGAAGCAGCAGATTTCAGAAGACTAACATACTTTGGAAGATTCTTCAGAAATACAGTATTAGCATCTTGTAAGACTCACCTTGATTTCAGCCACTGAATGGAAAAAAATGTTTCAAGACAAGGGAGAAGGGCCTGGCATGCATAGTGGTGGTGAACACATTTTCATGGAACATAGCAACAGAGGATGGAGGCATAATGGAGAGCACCTTATAGCCCGTGATGTATGTACCATGACATGTTTTTCACGTGTTGCACAATGTCTTCAGTGACCTGGGAGAAAACATTTTAACACATGTAAATCAAATAGGAAGAATTAGGTTTGGAAAATGAAAGGAAACTGCCTCTTGAGTAAAATTCTTTCTGCATAAATAGAAAGAGATGAGACATAAAGTTAACTGAGCACTGAGTTTTAAGATGGATATTTGGGTTCCTGAAAGGACATTCTGAAAACCACAAAGATGGAAACAAGGGCTAGGTCAGCCTTATGCAGGGCAAGTTACTGTTGTAGTTAATTCTTGCCCTAGGTATTGGGGGAAAGAATGTCTTTTGGAATGGAAGTGCTGAGGTTGTATTTTCCAAATATACTCTTCTATGGGGAATACTTAAGCATTTAGTGAAGCTAACAGATGATGTGTACCAAAAAGTAGCATTTACCTTTTGAGTTCCAGTGCAGCTTCCTAAATCAGCTTATTTCCTAGCTGCATGTAGAGGTTAAAAAAAAAACCTACACTAGTTAACCCTAAATCAGAACTATATTTGCAGTTGGAGATTGCTTTTCCTCAGACTTCTTTGTGAACTGACTCTAAGACATCAGTGAAGTTTATGAAGGGTTCAGGTGGCCTGATTTCCTTAAAGGCTCTAACAAGCAAACATGTTGCTGCAGCTTATCAAGTTTCTGTGCAAGAGCCAAGCCACAGGAACTTAACTGCTAGCCTTAGGAGGCAGTTAGGCTAATGGAAATGAGCCCTGCTCAGCTTTGCTCTACGTTAAGAGGGGGTTAGGCTCAGTTGTATTATCTTGCATTTGCTTTCAGCTAAGAACATCTATCCAGACAGTTCCCACGACTCAGCTGACAGTAATTTAATTACAAACCCAAAACCTGTTTCCCTCTGCTGCTTGAAGGAGTCCTAGTTCATGAGTCAGAAAAGTGTGGTAGAGGCCAGTCAACACTTTCTGTTCTGTGCTAAAACATTTATGAATGTTTCTGGCAGGGAAGTCTCCAAGTGCACCTAAGTGAAGCGATGCTCTTTAACCAGGTAGAGATGCTACCCAATAACTTTGCAGCTGTATTGTAACTGTGTCAGGGGCTTAGTGAAGAAAACTAAGCAATGGGTGGATGGAAGTTGGGTGGAAGTGGGGGAGCCCTTTTTGTTCAAATACTGGAAAAGATTTGTGTGAGTAGTTTAAGGGAAGTATAGTGTTCCAGGTCACTTGGCTTGAGGACATAATTTGCTTTGCAGAAAGAGATCATGTGCCTGTATATAAGGCACTGCAGTTTAACAGGAAATATAAGTCTTCATACTAACAAGAGGATACATATTCTGCTATTCTGTGGTTTTGGACTTCACTGTAGTAGATGGTCAGGTTAGTGTAATGTCATGAACTCCAAACTTTGCTTCCTGAGCAAACTACATGGTGGTTATTTATATGGGCCTGATGATGGTACATACTTTTGAGCATCTAGACAAAATATATACAGAAAATATTTGTGCGAGTTGGTTGTTTTAAGATGCTTGCTTTACACAAGGAGGTCATACTAACTCTGCTGTATAACTTAATTTTTTTTTTTTGTTGTTGTTGTTTAAAAAAAAACAAAATCCACAGAAAGGGCTTCATTTAGGAGCCTAAATCTCCATGCAGACTCTGTCAAAGGCTTCAACATGGGACGAGCAATCAGTACTGGTAGCCTGGCCAGCAGCACTTTGAATCGACTTGCCATTCGACCTCTGTCTGTTCAGGCAGAGATTCTGAAGAGACTGTCCTGCTCTGAGCTCTCACTCTTCCAGCCACTTCCTGGCTCTTCAAAGGACAAGAATGAGAAGACTCTGTGGGAGGAAAGACCCAGGGTTATGAGCAAGTCATTTCATGATCTGAGTCAGAGCCACATCTCGGTTTACCCCCCAAGGAAAAATATCATTACTGCTTTGGACTCTTCCCCCAAAAAAATAGAAGACATAATGGGCAGAGTCTTTAAGCAAATGCCAAAATTTGATACTGGATCAGCAGCAGGAGCATTAAAACTGAGCAAGTAAGAGTCTCTCTGACCGCCCTGCAATATCTTTGTGTACAGTCAATGTACATTTTGCACCAGTTTTGATTTATTATTCATACCATTATTTTATTACATTGATCCTTCCCTCTCCCAACTTCCTCTTCCCTCTCTCTGGTTTCCCTTCTCTCCTTCTCCCCTTTAAGTTCAAAATCTCATGCAGGTTTAAGTAGAAGCCCTGAAAGAAAGAAAAATGAATCAGACTCATCATCCACTGAAGATACCGGTCAAGCCTACGTTGTAGGTCAGCATGCAAAAAAATGATATTACTGTATTTACTAACCAACCTCTAAAACTGCTTTGTGTGCAACGCCTTTTTGATATATTTATTAACTGATGGTAATATTTTGATTTTAAAAAGGAAGCAGAGTATCAGGTGTTAAATTAATGCAGGCCAATTGCCTGTTGCTCCTGAATAATTGTTGCAGTTAATCAAAAAAGTCCTCCTGTGGACAATACCGGTCTATGCACAGTACTTGACAGTAAAAGCTGCTCCAGAAAACATCTTCCATTTTGTCACTTCACAGTGACATTTTATTGTATGGATCTTTTGATAATTTGCTAGTTTTCACAGTCTGTCAAACTTGAATTTTTTTTAGTGCTTTCTGTTTAAGTGTGTAGGGAGTCCTTTTTATAAGTAGACTCAGTTTGGCACAAGCTGGCTATTGTATAGTACCTCTGAGCAGTAACTGCACAGCTCTTTCTTGTTTGTCTCATTTAAATATAATAAATGAGGTACAGTATTTTTTTGCAGTGCATTGAGTGTTTCACAAAAAAAATCTCTTGTAATGAGCTAAACCAGACCTACTTACTCCATTTTCAGGGCAAGGATTGGGTTGCACGCAAGTAGTCTTACTGTAGGCAGTGAAAATACAGAATCTGCATTTAAAAAAATAAAAATCAGAGCAGCTAGGTAGATTTAAATCCACACATTGTATAACTGTGCATTAATTTTTAATATATGCTATGTTATGGTTTCTGTTTATAGAAGGTTCCCTGTTAGAATACTAGAAATTACAATGTCTGAGGCATTTGGCAGCCTTAGCTTGATTTTGATACTTTGTTTTTGCTTAATACTAAATATATTTGTTAGCTACAGAATATCAGGAAAAGTAGTAGATTAAGGTTATAGAGGTCATATAAATGTACAAAAAAAAAACAAACCAAACACCCCCAAAATGAACCACCTCCCCAAACAAACAAACAACAACAAATCAAACAGTGTGACATACAAACACTTAGCACATCTGTCCCTACTGCTCTTGAATCCTGAACTGACTTGGGAGCCATACTTCTTCAGTACTGACAGCATAAGTCACTGAAGAGTGAGATGAGACATACAGTTTCTGCAGTAACTGGTTGCAGCCATTTACCGTATGCTTTTAGCTTTACAATTAGTGTTATCATGTGCTTACCCATGATAATTTGGGCAGCAGTTCTGATAAGGATACATATCAGATAGTCCTGCTGAATCACATTGCCTGTGCTGGGGGGACAGGCATTCTTTGCATGATGAAACTCATCAGCTGAAACTTCAGGGTTCAGAGGCTTGGGAAAGACCAGGACTGCTTTCATAAGAAGCTTGAATTCTCTTGCCTTGTTTACTTTCATAACTTAATACACCTATTATTTTACCTTCTTTAAGGTATGCCACATTTGCTTGGCATTGATCATTCCAAAGAAAATATGATTCTATGTGCAAACCAATTAAAATAGGAATACTTGATACAAATTTCTTGTTACTGTAGCAACTTATTTGTTACTGTACAAAATCTGAGAAGACCCTTGCTGGTTTTTTGGGTTAGGCATAATCATGCAATCCTATTTAGAAAATTTAGTCTTTGACTTAGTTTCTTAAAGATCCATTAATTTTATCAGAAGTTAACACTGGTTGTAAAGGCCAAACCTCTGTCCTTTGCTTAATTCTTTGCTTTTGCATGAGCCTACCATCTATCTTAACCTTGAACTACAACCACAGTATGAGTAGTTTGGCTTTGCTAATCCAAAACTACTTCTAATGTCTATTCATTTTTAAAATAAGTAATCTGATATTGTGAATGAGCTCATGTGTACTGTGTAAAGTCTGAAATAGACCTTGGTAGCTTTCATATTTAAAACAAAAGACCTAATAACACTATCTGATATTTCCATTCATGTCACAGGCGTTAGCATGAATACTTCAGAAAATCATCTGTCATCAACACTATTAAAAGAGAGTGGTAAGTGGATAAATAATATGCATGCAGAAATAATTCAGTTAGTTTGTGAAGCACTTTTCAGGTGTTCTTTTCAAGTGCTTCACTGTTCCACCTGTCCTGTTTCTCAAATACCTCTCCCGGTTAGTTGAATAGAACATTCTCTTAAATACAACTCCTTATATTTCTTTTGGTTTTCTTCTTGGGGGAGAGAATTTGACGTCTGTGTGTAATATTTTTCAAATATAAATAGTATCTGTTTAGTTTGAGACTTGAAAGGTGCTATCACCTAACATGCCATACTCTTTAAATCTCATTTCCCTTACTTTGAAGTTACAGATTCTGTAGAGCCTGAGAGGACTGTTTTCAGTTCATTTACTCTTTAGGTTTAACTTGGTTTGGGAGAAAAACTCTTCTTTCAGTGTATTGCCCTATCTTGCACACTGCTTTAGGCTTGTACCAGTGTGTAGAGCTCAGTAGGTTTCTGCTGGTTTTGAACTGCATGCTCCACTTAGGGCAAAAGTATCCCAGGTACTCAAGATCAAATGAGTTGTATCTTCTCTAGGTAGCAAATTCATGAGTTCAGACTTACCGTATGTTCCATTTTCTGAAAGTTTCAGGAAATTGGCTTTTTCCAAATCATGCTTCTGTCTCTAAAGTGTGTGGGTCTACTTCAGCCTGTTAGGAACTCTCCGGAATCACCTAATCATGTAAATCTATTGTGCTCAAATTTTGGAACAGGCAGAATCAGCAGCCTGTGGAGTTGCAAGTGTGGAAATAAATTTAAATGAGAGAGGTTTTAGTGGGTGTTTCTTGAATTGGTTGTTTCTTAATGAAGGCTCACCATTTAGAGAATTTAATGAGTAACCTTTTAGTAACTTCATATAATAAGCCTCAGTTTCACTTTCACCCAATATGCTCACATCCTGCCTACCTGAGCAGGGCATGTAAACACAGATCTAAATACTTTGCTGAAATAAGACTAATAAATCTGAAGATTCTAGAGCTCAATTGTATTGTGATTCCAAGAGACTGTGCTAGGTGCTTTTCTTAGGAGGAGTAAAAAATTTTAACTGAAGATGGGATTAAGTTATAATGATGATGTTTTTTTGGTTTGGTTTGGTTTTTTGGTGGATTTTGTTTTTTTTTTTAAATTATTTGGACATGGAAGTTTTAAGTTGGACCCACTTGTTCAGAACAGCTTTTCAGGTTATCAGAGAAGTAATGTTTTTAAATGGAATAGAATCAGAATTGTTAGGGTTGGAAAGGACCTTAAGATCATCTAGTTCCAGCCCCACTGCCATGGGCAGGGATGCCTCACCCATGTCACCCAAGGCCCTGTCCATCCTGGGCTTGAACACTGCCAGGGATGAACATTCACCACTGCTTTGGGCAACCTGTTCCAGTGCCTCACCACCCTCGCAGTAAAGAACTTCTTCCTTATATCAAACCTGAACTTCTCCTGTTTAAGTTTAAACCCATTACCTCTTATCCTATCACTACAGTCCCTGACAAAGAGTCCCTCTCCAGCATCCTTATAGGCCCCCTTCCTATACTGGAAGGCTGCTATGAGGTCTCCACATAGCCTTCTCTTCTCCAAACTTCAAGGCAAGCCTGAAGGGAAGCATTCAGATAATGTCTGTTGGCTTTTCAGTTGATTCTCTGCAAGCAACACACAACAGAGTTGCCTCACCAGAAAGAGAGATCACTTTGGTGAACCTGAAGAAGGATGAAAAATTGGGCTTAGGTAAGTGGCTTTAAAATTATTGTTGTCATGACTGTTCCTATAAGTCAAAGCTGAATTTTTCAGGTCTGTACTTATTGTAGGACTGAGGAAAGCAGTGCAGACAGTAGCTGGATGTTAATGGTATTTAACGTGTCAAAGCCTGGACTTATTTGTTAGTGCCTGCTTCTGATTTGTTGAGTGTCGTTAACTAAGTCCATTTCTTGTTTTCTTGTTTTTTCTATATAGTAAGTATAAGATAACATTTTTATTGTGAATTAGTTATCCTAAAAGTTGGCCTTTAAAGTTTATTTCTAAGTTCAGGCACAAGATTTTGTCAATGTGGACATCTCAGACTTGTGACAGCTTGAAGGGTTTAAATGAAATAAAAAGGCATTAAATAGCCATTATGTGCTAATTGCGGAGTGTTTTTCTTACTCTTATAATATCATCAGATGGAACGCTAATTTGAGGTTTAAGAAGCCTGGAAGATGAGATACTTGCATTCCATTCTTCCTTCTACCACTGATTTTTTTTCATAAACCCACATAATTTTTCCCTGTATGAGTAATGAATAATTTGGTGTCAGTATTGTGCTTTAGAGAGTCTCTGTAAAGTGTCCTTAAGGACATTGTTCTGTCATTCAGAATAGGACTTGTGTAAATTTGAAGAGGTGGGAAAAGTCTGCAAGACAATAATATTTAGTGTTTACTCTGCACAGAGTTGACCAAAAAGGAAAGAAAATCATATGAAATGCACTATTTCTTCTCTTTCTTCCCCATGCAACCTGTGGTACTTTGCTGTTTTAGCTACAATAGAGAAGACCTGATATCTTCCATTTTCTTTTTTTCATCTTGAACATTCTTTCCAGGTTTACCTCATAAAATTAGTCCACGTAGATGAAAAGTCTAAAAAGAAAACAGGGACTGGAAAAACTCAGTAGGGTCAGACATTTAGGTGAAGCATCTGACAATAGAGAAACCTAGAAATTTTTAAGTAAGAGAAAATACATTTCATCTGGTCAGAGAATGTGCATGTAATGTCATGCATTTGTGCATGTGTTTCTCTTGCCACAGTTGTCTTCTGTAACCTTTGCTGTAGTTTTCTGGGAAGCCAGCTAGACAAAATCTATAGTGCTTGCTCAAAAAGAGAGAATGCATTAAAAATGCATCAAAAAAGCTTTACCTCTTATTTTCACGTAGACTTCTCTGAGGCATATATTTTTCTTAGATTTTTCAATTATTAGAATGACTAAGGTTTTACATATTCTGTAATCATAGAATCATAGAATACAGACTTGTGTTAAGTTACACTGTGAAAACTAATATTTTTGCCTGCTTTGGACTTTTTTTAATAGGCTTTCAAATAGTCGGTGGAGAGAAGACGGGGAAACTTGATCTGGGAATTTTTATTCATTCAGTTATTCCCGGAGGGCCAGCTGATTTGGAAGGATCTCTAAAGCCAGGTGAATAGTGTAAATAAGATGAGGTGTATACATGTAAGAAAAGACCAAACACATATGTAATATCATTTCCATCTCTGGCTTCAGGCATCCCATTACCTTCTAGATAATTTCTGAAAACTGCTGATACTTCTTCGTTAAACGATACAAACACCAAAATAATATGAATCAAAGTAAAAATTTTAAAGCTTGAAGTAGCAGAAAATTAAAGTTACATGTAAATATAGGGGGCTTATTTGCCACAGTCTCTCTATAGATGCTTTGTAATTTAATTTTTTTAAAACTCCAAATGCATACTTTGAATTTGGAAAAAGTGAATGTAACCATATAGTGGGGGTGGGTGGGGTGGGTGGTTATTTCATATCTGGTTTATTTGGTTTGGGTTTTGTTTGGGTTTTTTTTTTTCATTTTAGTCTGTGCCTTGAACTGAGCTGCATATTGCTTATTTCACTTCTTGATTTTTGCTTTTCTGTCCATTTTTTTTTACAGCAGAACAGAATGTAGAAATAATAATATGGAAAAGTTTGGCATTTTTAAAAGAGGAAATACTCATAACCAGTTCTTGTAGTTTGGTTTGGGTTTTGTTAGTTTTTAGAGGGGGCTTTGGGGATTGGCTTGGTTTTGTTTTAATGATTAGGGTTCCTTATTCCAGCATCACTTGAATGTTAATAATTTTTAATCCATGCATTGTGTAGAGATTTTCAGACCTGTACTCCATGTTCTCATTGATGGATAAAAATGCAGATGTTAGTTTGTATCTGAACAAACCCTTTTGTGCAGGACACCGACTAATATCTGTAAATAGCACAAGTTTAGAAGGCGTCAGCCACCATGCAGCATTAGAAATTTTGGAGAATGCACCTGAAGATGTAATACTTGTTATCTCTCAGCCCAAGGACAAGCTATCCAAAGGTATGGAACTGCAGTTACTTCTGTAAGCAACTCTGCTAGTATATGCTTGAAATTCTGTTCTGAGGCTGAATGAAGAAGTGTGTAAAACTTTTACCTGGTTGTAAGCTGAGAAATTTGTGTCATGCTGCAGATAAGAAGGTTACCAGCTATTGATGACTGTCTTTTCTCCTGGTTTTCAGCATCATGTAATGCTGCACACATCAGTAATGGAACCAGGGGTTATTTGAGGAGGCCATCGTCGGTGCAGGACAATGAGGCAGAATCCTCTTCAGAAGAGCACAACCAGCCTCGTGGTCACCAGAGACCTGTTTCAGGGAGTTTGTCTGGCTTCTCGGGTGGCAAGCGGGATGGAAGTGTGAGCTCCCAGGATTCCAGAACTGAGAGTGCCAGCCTGTCTCAGAGCCAGACAGCCGGCTTCTTTGGCAAACGTGCAAGTGGTAGAGCCCAGCAGGATCCTCAGCATTACAGTGATTCCCAGTCTGGGCTTTCTAAAATGAACGAGAAGAGAAGATCCTCGTCAGACAGTACACGAGCCAAAAATAAAAGGCCTGGGGTAGTGGAGCCTGTGGAGTATTCTGACCGAGGGGATTCTGACATGGATGAAGCAACTTACTCCAGCAGTCAGGAGCAGCAGCCAGCTAAAAAGGCATAGTGTATTTCATATGAAATTTCCAATCAATATAATAGTGGTAGTGAAATATCTGATTGTGGGTGTGAATAAGGGGAAAAGATGTGGGGGAAGAACAGCCTAGCCTGAAAGTTATCCTTCTAATGGGAAATGGTAATAGATAGTTTCTAATAGTTTGGTGATTTTGTTAAAAAGAATTTGTTCAAAAAGAATAACGTGAAATAACTTCCCAGCTTTCCAATGTCAGGAGGTGGCCATGTCTTACCAGAGGCAGATTGTACCTTGGGATGAATGTATAGCGCACTTGTTCATTCTGTAGAAAACCTCCTTTCAAGTCTGTGTATTTGCCCAATATGTTCATAGTCTAGTGACCACCCCTAGAGGTAAGTTTATTAACCTGACAGATGTTTTTAAACCAAGTTTTTCCTAGATTAAAGTAGTACTGATGCACCTGGAATGGTAGGAACAGAATTCAGTGTCATTTGGGATTGATCTAATCCATGGAAAACTGCTTTTGTGTAGTGAAGTTCAGCAGTGAACCATGCTCTCTGAACAGACACAGCTTGCTGTTTCACCTTTCCAAAAGAACACAATGGCAAGTACTACAGATTAATTCCTAACTTGCAGTGATTCCTTTTTTCAGCTGCTGGAGGTTATTCAGTCAAGTTGTGGCAGCTCCTGCAAATTAATCCAACACTCTCAAGCTGCTGCTGTAATGCTGAAAAGCTGCAGTTTTTATGTTCTGTGACTAACTTACTTTTGACAATAAAGACTCAGCTGCTGAAGGCCAGGCACACTTCTGTGCTAAACCTGTTCAATGGCAGCAATGGAAGAGTTAAAGCTATGAGCCTTACTAAATGGTACTTTGCTATGTGGATTCCTTTTGGCTGCATCTGACTCAAAAACACACCCTTTAGGGTCTTAACTATAAACTTCTGTTCTAATGGCAAATCATTCTCTCTTTTTGTTTTGTTTGTGGTTTTGTTTGGTTTTTTGTTTTGTTATTGTTGTTGTTTTGGTTTTGTTTTATTTTTTTAATAAAGGAATCTTCTTCAGCGAATACAGCAAACAAAATGAATTCTAAAAAGGTTACTGGAGCACTTCTTAAACCTGGAGATATCTTTGAGGTTGAACTAGCCAAAAAAGATAACGGCTTGGGAATAAGTGTCACGGTACTGTTTGACAAGGTTTTTAGATGTTTTCTCTTTTTCTCTACTCCCAGCAACCCATTAAATTGATATATTACAAGGAAGCATATTTTCTGGAGTCACTGTTAAGTATATAGTTTTACTGGTGTGGGATTAATCTTAGCAAAGCTGAAAAGTAAATACTATTTTATATCCCTTTTCTTGTCATCTGCCCTTTTAAATAACTCTTGTTGTTTTATGGTGAAGCCCCAAATTCCTAATAGAATCTTATCACTGCTTTCTGAGTACAAAAAGCAAGGTGGTCTTTGTCCCTTGCTACCTAATAATGTGGCAGATTTACAATGGAGAGAAATAAGACCTTCCCTGACTGGCATCACGGGCTGTCGAGGCAGTAGTGTGACTTACATGAGTACCTATGCACATCCACACACATACCACGTTCAGGGTTCTCCCTCTGCTGGATAAAAGACAGAAAGCAAAAAAACTACTTAAATTCAAGTAAGACCAGGCTGACACTGCTTTCTTGCAGTATGAAGCAAAAATATTTTTTTTAATGCACTCATTTCTCCTCAGGCTATAAAATTTTGAAGGGAGTTTATGTTTAGGGCTCAACACAGTGCAGAGTGGCACTTCAGAGAAGAAAAGAATGATTTATAACTGAGATGCACACATTTTTCACTGCTCCTGTTCTTGTGTTCAAAAATATATTTTGGTACTTTAATGTAGAGATATCTCTGGTTGATTGATCACCAGACTACACAATAATTTAAGAAAGGAAAAATTGTTTAAATTATAACAGTAAAGAGCAGTTATTAGCTCAAAACTTACGGCTTTCACGGCTGTTTATAAGTTGGCCTTTACCCACATGTGGCCATAAGCCTAGACATGTAGGTGGAGTCCCAATTCACAAGCCTAGCACTGTTTTCATATATATGGCTAATACTGTAAAAGGAGCAGCATGAAACTTTATTATTTCATCATCCCAGACTATCCAAAGTCATATTGCTTTGTCAAGCTTGTAACTTAAGACAGCTGGAAGAACAAAGTTCAGCAGGAGTTGGTTATAGAATAGCATCAAGCCCAGTGTATGCATGCATTGGCTTTGTAGAAAACATTAGAAGATCCCAACCACTGCAAAGATTTCCCTTAAAGGATGACTAAAGGTTAGAAGGGATTTCTAAAGATCATCTAGTCCACACTTCTGCCCCTGCAGTAAGCAGAAAGGCTAAGGCCCTCCAAAAACAATGCCATTTGAGCTTGAGCAGATTTTTTCAGCTTAGACCTTCAAACTTGTATGAGCTGAGAGAAGGCAGCACTCCTTAGTTTCCTATTACATGAGTTTGGAGTAGAGCACTGCATGGGTATGCATCTTCTGCTTTAGCATGCTCCGTTCTCACACATACCTGAGCTTCAATACGCATGCAAACATGTAAAACTTGGCATAATGCAGACATGCTTCTGCTGAAGAACATTTATTTGTTGTAGGTGCATTTGGATCGTGATGCATCATGTTTTTACAATCTTCCCACCCCAACTGAATTCATAATAAATTGCATGACTGTAAAAAACATGCTTTGGGTTGTTTTGGTTTTAATAGTTTCGGTGTTCTTCTTACATGCCAGTAGCCCTAGTGCTTCCTGAGTACAGTTTTCCTTGTGTGACACTGTGTTTGATTAGTAAGTATTTTAACTGCAAGAAGACTAACATCCTGGTTTTGCTTTCCATTTAGGGAGGTGTAAATACTAGCATAAGGCACGGTGGTATTTATGTGAAAGCAGTTATTCCCCAGGGAGCAGCTGAAGCAGATGGCAGAATAGAAAAAGGTAGTATTTCAGTTCTTTCAGTTGGGACTGTTAATGTGAAAAAAGAACAGATAACTGTCTGTGATGGACTTGACCATACACTGTGGCCTAGAAGCTATAAGCTATATTTGCCTTCTTTCATTGTACCTTTTTAACTGGGAATAAGAGCTGTTTTTCTAAGCTACTGCATTTGCAGTTGTCATTTTAAATACTGCAACTGCAGAACCAACAGAAAACTGCTGAGACTCTGGAAGGGAAAAGTAGGAAGTAGGCTGTAATAGGGGGAAAAAAAAGTACAAAAATCCTGCAGCCTGTGTTAATGGAGAACATTTCTCTGTTCCAGCCACGGGGAGAGAGGACTTTGTATTACTTGTGGCCTTCTTGAATGGCATGCTGGGCACCTCAATACAGAAAACTGATGTAATTGTTACGGCTTTTCTTGTTTGAAAGCCAGGCCACATTCCTTATTGAAGTAAGAATTCCCACTGTAGACTTAAGATTTGCTTTTAATAGAGTCTGAGCTCTGTGGCAGACTGTCATTCTGCTGTTAACACTAGCTTTGACGTGGGGTTATCCCACAGAATCATAGAGTTACATAGGTTGGGAAAAACTTTTAATATCACTGGGATATTAAAGTATATTCACTACTCAACCATATAGTTTAGTTGTCAAAGTTCTCTTCTTGACTCGGCATGTGGAGGGGAAGGAGAATTTCCTTCAACAACTGTCCTTGTTAGCTGAGACTTGAAGGTTTCTATGCATCAATAGGTTTTACAGATGATGTTCTGCCTGCTTTTTCTTAAATTATCAGTCAATCATTTGTAGGTGACCGTGTGCTGTCCGTCAATGGGATTAGTTTGGAAGGTGCTACCCATAAGCAAGCTGTTGAAACGCTGAGGAACACCGGGCAGGTAAGTGGCTGCTGGTTCTACTCCTGTGTATAGTAAACCACATCTTCACTCATGGAGAGAGGTAAAAGAACCTGAAGAAGACTGGAATTCGCCCTGGTGTCCTGGTTGCTTTAGGTGTGTTTTCTTAGACTCCTTGGCTGCCTGGGCCTTGAGTCTTGCTGCCCACCCTAGTGAAATTCTGGCTCTGTTCGGGTCAGATTTCTACATGGAATTGGATTTTCCTTCTTCCTGGGCTTCATAGGAAGGAACCCCAGGTGCATGGGTTGGAAAGCAGCTGTAGCAGCATGCTACAGACAGGTCCCAAATCTGCCTGAGGAGATTTGGGAACCACTGAGGAGACAAGGGCTTCCATATATGCAGCAGTGTTCGCATGCTGTGTCGGTAGCTTTATTTGAGTCTTGGGCTTTTTGGATAGCAGTTGGTTCTGTCAGTGGTACCTCCTCATTTAATAGTGTTATTTATGTCAGCTGCTTCATATGTGGAGGTACATGCACACCTGGAAATAGCCAGTGAATGTACACATTCAGAGCTGCTAAAGACTGATATTTGCGCTCACTTTATAAAATGCTCGCATTGTAAAACTCTATTCCCTTAATGCATGTGAAAATGTCACTCACAGCCTTATTGGAAGAAAACCCCGTGTTGGCAAGATATTAGTGTCTTCTTAAGACTGTCACAGCCCTTAAAATAAGGAACAAATGGAAGATGTATGGGGAGAGAAGTGTCTATAAAGTTCGTTCCTGTAAAACTTAGGGCCCTGACAGGTTAGAAAGAAACACATACTCTAGACTGTGCTATCTGCATGACTGTTGCTAGTTGAGAATGTTTCATCTCTTTAGGTGGTGCATCTGCTGTTGGAAAAAGGTCAGCTTTCAGTGGCCAAGGTTCATGCTCCAGTAACACCACAATGCACACCTCCGAATCAGGTGGGGCAATGTCAGCCACAGGAGAAGCCAGCGACAAAAACTACAAATGCCAAAGAATACAGCTTTGTCACTGCAGGTCAGGTCACACAGGACAATTGTCTGAACTTTCGAAGCATCCTTTGGTTTTCAGAATACTTTTCTTCAGATCTTCTGTACCAATCTGTACCGAGCTCCTGCACATAATGCAGTCTCTTCCTTTTTGTGCTGTATCATTTGCTTTTAAAATTCCCTTTCACATCTTAGTAATTGTATTTAGTTACTGTTAACTGTTTGCTCTCTCACAGTTCCTTGTTTTTTCCCAATTTCACCAGTCTTGCAGGACAGGGCTATGGCACAGTTGGAATAAAAGGGGTGCTCCTAAGGAGTGCCAAGGCGGGGTTAAATACTTGTATATAAATGAGAGATTCTGTATGTCCTGCTCTTCCCGTCTAGGTGAGAGAAAATATCAAGAGCTTGATGAAGAGAGACAAGGGATTTGTTTAGCTGACTAGAGTTTGGCATATTTCAGCACCTCTTGCTGGAGACCTGTGAAAGTGGAGGGAAGTCTACACAGATGGGGAAACCACTGCAGATACCTTTGGTCTTCCTGCATGGGATTTATCCTGTCTGCCAGGAGCTCTGGTTGCTGCTCTTATTAATGTCGGACCAGTGGCTGGGAAGGGTGTTTCACTCTGCTTTAACAGACTCCTTAGTGGACTTCCTGGGGAACAGTATTTTGGAGACACCCTGGCTTTCTGTATAGCGTGGATGCTGTCAGGACAAGCCAGCAGTCATAATCAGCTTTTTGTTCTCTTTAACTTCTAGATAATTCTTGTGTCTAGTAAAGTGGAAGAACCCTGTGAGGAGAATAGTGTGCATCTCATGTCTGGACTAAAAATGCCAGGCACTTTTTATATGGTCAGTGTGCTGTCAGAAATAATAAGTTAATGTTTCTTTTGCAGAGAACACATTTGAGGTAAAGCTGTTGAAGAACAGTTCAGGCCTTGGGTTCAGTTTCTGCCGTGACGATAACCTTACCCCAGAGCAACTGGGCTCAACTATTGTGAGGGTGAAAAAGCTCTTCCCTGGGCAGCCTGCAGCAGAAAGTGGGCAAATAGAAATTGGGGATGTCATTCTGAAAGTGAACGGGGCATCCCTAAAGGGTTTGTCCCAGCAGGTTTGTACCTTAGTAGTGAAACTTATGCTGTGATAGTACTGCAAGTCTTGGGGGTCTGCATCTAATAACAAATCCCATTGTGGCCATAGGAAGTCATCTCTGCTCTGAGAGGAACATCCCCAGAAGTCTCTCTTCTCCTTTGTCGACCACCATCTGGTATACTACCAGACATCGATCCTTCTTTATTGGTAAGGTGTATGGCATACGATGTTTATGGCAGGGTTTAATGGCTATTTGTAAGATCTGGTGGGTGGGTTAGTTAAATGGATAAAGATGGGGAGGGTGCTCACAGAAACATGGTCCTTAAAGTAAATCCCTGAGGTGTGTACTAAGCATTTTGTGGAAATGTGAAAAGAATGCAGGACTTTATTTAATTTTCCTCCTGCCTCCATTTTGTGGCTTAAGACACTGGAAATTGGCTTAATTCACTGATTTTGTGTCAAAGTTTTCTTTGCAGCCCAGTGGTTTGAAGTTGATCTCAAATAGGATTTCAATCTTTCTGTAGCCTATGTTATGAATATTCTGTGAAACACCAGTTTGTCTGATTCTGATGCACATAAATCCAGGGGAAAATAAAATATTTACTTACTGGAAATTAAAGATGTCCCAAATAATATCTTAAAATGCTCCAATAACTAAATTGAAAGAACAGAAGGCCACTTTCAGATACTTGGAAGACATGGAAATTTAAATGTGTTTCAGCAAAAGAGAATGTAGCAGGTAATCTGCCTGAAAAGCAGGCTTTCCATAATACAAGGAAGTGTAAAACTAAGGGAGACAAATCTTCAGTTTAAGTTATTTTAGTATTATTTTCAAACAATCAAAACCATTCAAGTCTGATGAAAAACTTAGATGTACAAATGCAAACCTAAGTGAAGTTAAAATAGGAGATAAACAACTGAACAAACTAGTAATACAAATAATTAGTCCTGTAATTAAACTGCTTGTAGTATGGACTAACTTTAATAAGACAGTGCATATATTAAAAGAAGAGGAAAAAATAAACAAGTGGCAATTTTTGTTTATAACGTTATCAGATCGGTGTGTTCATGAACACAAGAATTTGGCCATAAAAGCATAAATGAATCTTTTAAACTTCATGTGTCTGCTAGCTGACATCATTCTTGGGAATTTGTGATTATTAGCAAAACTGTTCTTCATCCTCATGGGAGTAAATAACTTGACTGAACAGTCTCCATTGGACATAAATTACCATAGGTTTTGTAGTCCATTATGTAGCTTTTTGCTGGAAGGGTTCCATATTTCCCTCCTGTGTGAGAATTATTTGACTTCAGTTGTCTTTTAAGCATCAGCAGTGTATTGTAGTTGTAAGGGATTTCACAGTAATTGCCTGTATGACTGCTGGGCATGGCTTAAAGGCATCTTGTCAGTAGGTGCTCTGGTACTAAAGCCAAGAGAATATTTGTTTTCCGTAGATGAATTTGCAGTTCCGTAGCAGTATATGTTTCAAGGGCTTACAAGCTTTATCTTGGCCAAGTTGTGTTGAACTCGGTGAAACTGCGCTATGATATGTTTATGAAGTTTGGGCAACATCTGAATGGAAGGAGCCACTGACTATTTGGCAATTTTATGCAGTCTTTACAACTTCTTTTGTCATCAGAACTGGAATTTCATGTCCTTGCTCTCTTTAGACTCCCATCCATTCACCCCAACAAGTATTTCCCGATGTCAGCAGAGAAGTTTCTGGTCCATCAAATGGAGAACAAGGTGACAGCTCAGATGAAAATGAAACAACTGATCTGAGCAAGAAAGGGCTAAAATCTTCCTCTAGAAGAGACAGCTACAGTGACAGCAGCAGGAGTGGTGATGAGGAGGTGATAGACTTGCCAGCACAAGTGGGCCTTGGCTGGAGTTCTGCGCTACACCAAACTTCAGATGAAGCTATGACACAGGCACATAGTCAGTATGAGGCACAAGGTGGTCAGGAGGAGGCTGTTCGCACCATCTCATATCCTGATCCAGAGGCTCCTAGCAAGTCAGAGCTTGAGAACAGGTATACTGTTTATAATGATACTTGTAATATTGAAGAAGGTGTTTACAAAAATAGGTTATTGGACTTTTACATCTTGCTTTTTAAATCTGCATGAAGTCAATATTGGTCCATATATTCATTTACGGTTGACAGCTGCATTGTACAAGCTAATCATTGGGGTTTCTGCTTGTTTATCTGTAGTGATTTGCCACTGGATTTGCCACTGATCCCAATCTGTAGAACTGTTGCTGATGTTACCACATCCATTTTAATAAATGACTGTTACGGTACTACTGCTTCTGAGCTGACTCCGCACCTGGGAGAAGTGGATTCATTACTCAGCCAGTTGGAAAAAAACGCTGAAGAATATGAGCCGGTAACTTACTATTTCTGTCTTTCAGTGGCATAAATGTACTTATTGCTGTGGCCAACTGAAAGTTGTTTTAGCCTTAGCATCAGAAGTGAGTGAATAGCAGTTAGGCATATTGCTTTACAAATAGGATAGTTGTAGGCACATTCATGTGCCATTTGTAACCAGTGAACTGCAGCTGCTCATAACAAATTCCACAAGCGTTTTCTGTCTGGACTCCTGAGGAGTTGATATATTTCCTTATGTGAAATTGTAGGCATCCATACATACATAGGTAGATGTGTATATGTCTATTTCAGGTGACATTTCAGCCTGGAAAACTTGGCATTAAATATGGAACCACCCCTGATCTATGTACTCAGAAAAAGCTTAAATGGCAGATACCTTGCTTCTGCCCTGTCAGTTTTTTGTGTGGTTGTTCAGAGATCATAAGATAAACTGGGGCAGCGGGGATATCAGGAGACTGTTCTTTGCAGCATTTATATCTGTGAATTTCAAAGGCTTTCTGATCTGCTTCAAAAGGCAGCATATTTTTGAGACTCCTCTGAAATAGCTTCTTGCCACCCCAGAAATGTCTTGTGTATCAGAAGGAACTTCTGCTTCCGTATGCTCACATATTCCATTCACAGATGGAAAAAAAATGAAAGTTGAGCCTTGATACGTCTCAATTGTGAGGGTCTTTCAGGTTACAAAGCTGCTTTAGCTCATACTCCATTTTGACAGGAAACTGTCCTTTTCTTAGTCCCTTTTTCAGAAGGTTTTCTCAAACCTTCCTGGGGCTCTATGAGTTTCTATGCAAATGAGGCAGATCTATGTCTTTCAAGTCAAAATTAATGGAAATTAGAACAGGAAAAACATGACCATGTGCTCAGTTCCAAGATAAGCTATGGTACTGTATCTCCCTGTAGGAAAATACATGCACCTGTTTTCTTCAGTTCAGCAATTCATAGAATCATAGAATAGTTAGGGTTGGCAAGGACCTTAAGATCACGTAGTTTCAACCCCCCCTGCCATGGGCAGGGACACTTCACACTAAACCATGTCACCCAAGGTTCTGTCCAGCCTGGCCTTGAACACAATCAGGGAAGGAGCATTCATAACTTCCTTGAGCAACCCATTCCAGTGCCTCACCACCCTCACAGTAAAGAAATTCTTCCTTGTATGCAATCTAAACTTCCCCTGTTTAAGTTTGAACCCATTACCCCTTGTCCTATTCCTACAGTCCCTAAGGAAGAGTCCCTCCCCAGCATCCCTATAGGCCCCCTTCAGATACTGGAAGGCTGCTATGAGGTCTCCACGCAGCCTTCTCTTCTCCAGGCTGAACAGTTCCAACTTCCTCAGCCTGTCTTCATACAGGAGGTGCTCCAGTCCCCTGATCATCCTCGTGGCCCTCCTCTGGACTTGTTCCAACAGTTCCATGTCCTTTTTATGTTGAGGACACCAGAACTGCACACAATACTCCCAAGTGAGGTCTCACAAGAGCAGAGTAGAGGGGCAGGATCACCTCCTTCGACGTGCTGGTCACGATCCTTTTGATGCAGTCCAGGATACGGTTGGCTTTCTGGGCTGCAAGCGCACACTGCCAGCCCATGTTTAATTTCTCATCAACCAACACCTCCAAGTCCTTCTCCGCAGGGCTGCTCTGAATCTCTTCTCTGCCCAACCTGTAGCTCTGCCTGGGATTACTCTGACCCAGCTGTAGGACCTTGCACTTGGCATGGTTAAACTTCATAGGGTTGGCATCAGCCCACCTCACAAGCGTGTCAAGGTCCCTCTGGATGGCATTCCTTCCCTCCAGCCTATCAACCAAACCACACAGCTTGGTGTCATCGGCAAACTTGCTGAGGGCGCACTCAATCCCACTGTCCATGTCAGTGACAAAGATACTGAACAAGACCAGTCCCAACACTGATCCCTGAGGGACACCACTCATTACTGATCTCCAGGTGGACATTGAGCCATTGACCACAACTCTTTGCTTGTGCCCATCCAGCCAGTTCTTTATCCACCGAGTGGTCCACCTATCAAATTGATGTCTCTCCAATTTGGAGACAAGGATGTCGTGTGGGACACTTTGCACAAGTCCAGGTAGACATCAGCTGCTCTACCCCTGTCCATCATTTCTGCAGCCCTATCATAGAAGGCCATCAGATTGGTCAGGCTTGATTTCCCCTTAGTGAAGCCATGCTGGCTGTCACCAAGCACCTTGTTGTTTTTCATGTGCCTTAGCATGCCTTCCAGGAGAATCTGCTCCAAGATTTTGCCAGGCACAGAGGTGAGACTCTTCCTGATTGATGTGGTTTCCTGATGTGAATTCCTGATGTGATGTCTTATTTGAAAAACACAGAGCCATTTTTATATATAGCAGCTAGTTGAGGGTAAAATAAGGTGCTGGGTTTGGTGAGTGCCTTCACTACTTTTAGATTATAAACCTTTGGCCCAAGGTTAGCTCCATGCAAAACAGTAGTCCATCTGAATTCATTAGAAGTTGCTAAGCTGAGCCTGCTAAGACACATATTGGTATGGTCCAAGCTTGTGTTCCATTTAAACCAATAGGTAGAACCATTTTCTATTTCTAACTGTCTTAAATTCAGTAAAGTGTTCAAATTGCTCCTGTTTGTCTGTTTAAAGTGCTCTTTTCTTCTCCTAGGAAGTAGAGCTTCGAGTCACTATGACAAAGTCAGAAAAGGGCAGTCTGGGTTTTACAGTGACCAAAGGTAGCGATAATGTTGGCTGCTATATTCATGACATTGTTCAGGATCCTGCCAAAAGTGATGGGAGACTACGACCTGGAGACCGACTGATAAAAGTGAGATGATTAATGTTTTCAGATACAGGGATTACATGAAAAGGACAACTTTGAGTCAAATGCGGTTAAGGAACAAAGGCATGCACCTTACGAGAGGCTTAATTTGATAGTACTTAGACAAAAGAAGTATACAAGTATGACAACATGACGAGATTGCTGAAGGGAGTTTATGGTATGTCCCACAGCTAGGCGTGTGTGCAACTACTATTCATGACAGCAAAAAATGGTTTAAAAACATTAATTGATTAAATAAGATGGTTGCCCAGATATTCGGAGGAGTTGTTCGTTAAATACATCTATGGCAAGCATATTGTTCAGAAATAAAATTTAAGAGACTCACTGTAGAAGGGTTTACTGGGTACGTATCATGTCGTACAGATGTTCATCATAGAATCATGAAATAGTTTGGGTTGGAAGGGACTTTTAATGGTCATCTAGTCCAACCTCCCTGCAGTTAGCAGGAATATCTTCAACTAGATCAGGCTGCTTAGTGCTTTATCCAGCCTGACCTTGAATGTTTCCAGAGATGGAGCATCTACCACCTTTCAGATCAACCTGTTCCAGTGTTGCACCACCCTTGTAGTAAAAAACTTCTTCCTTATATCTAGTCTGAATCTACCCTATGATAACTGTTTTATTCAGAACCTAACATGGAGATCTGTGTTGCTTTTATTTTCCCAGGTTAATGACATTGATGTCACTAACGTGAGTCACACCGATGCAGTAAACTTTCTCCGCACTGCCCCAAAGACTGTCAGATTAGTGCTAGGGCGTGTTTTGGAGCTACCGAAGATGCCAGTGCTGCCTCATTTACTGCCTGATATCACACTAACGTGCCATGAAGAGGAGCTAGGTAACACAGTAGTATACTGTTTTTTCCTCTAAAGCAATTTTTTTCCCTTCAGTTACAAAGAATAAACCTGATTTCCTCCTCTCCCCCTTGTTTCTTGCAAAGGTTTGTTGTTATCAGGAGGTCATGACAGCCTTTACCAAGTTGTGTATATCAGTGACATTCTCCCCAGATCGGTTGCTGCCAGAGAGGAGAGTCTCCGTGCACTAGATATTATCCATTATATTAATGGAGTAAGCACACAGGGGATGACTCTGAAAGAAGCCAAAAGAATGCTGGAAACATACCTTCCAAAAGTGGTGCTTAAAGTGACCAGGTATGTTTTGGAAGCAAATGCATCCCTGTACTCTTAATTTGACTGCAGGCTTTTAGGAGTATATGGACAAAACATGTTCCTAGTATGACAACTAATTTGCAAGACTGGTACTAGGTAGCATGCTATTGAGGACTGATGCCACCGAAAGGGTCTCTGTTCACAGTTGTGCTTCAGTGGAGCAGAATGGTATTTAAAAAGCATTTGCTGTGCTTTTTATTTCTCTGGAAGACAAGGGTGTATTCCAGCTATCGAGTGCAAGTGTTCAAAATACCATTTTCAAAATATGCCACAGGTGACTTAAAGCATGATCAGCAGCTGTAACAGTAGTACATACTTACATCAATATCTGATTATTACCATGATTTTTTTTTAATAAAAATTTCTGTTAACATTTTTTTAATAGAGATGGTCATGCAGTGCTTCCAAAATCCAAAAGCCCTGATAGCTCAAATCCATGGCCAGTGAAAGCTAATGGTAAGATTTACTTGCTTACTTAATGCAGGTGAATTGCACATATTAATAAAACTGAACAAACTGATATGGAGGCCCTCCACTTAAAACTGCCTTCCTGTAGATGACTTGTCATGCACATGTTCATGACAAGATGAAAGGTTATTTTTAGGTTTCAGTTATTTCATCTACAGGTTTCTTCCTTTGTAAAAGCACAATGTATATGAAAACCGAAAACTTCACTAGTAGCTAGGTATATATCATCTACTGGTTCCATTTTCATAAAATCATAGAATAGTTAGGGTTGGAAAGGACCTTAAGATCATCAAGTCCCAAGCCCGCTGCCATGGGCAGGGACACCTCCCACTAAACCATGTCACCCAAGGCTCTGTTCAACCTGGCCTTGAACACCGCCAGGGATGGAGTATTCACAACTTCCCTGGACAATGCATTCCAGTGCCTCACCACCCTAACAATTTTTTCTCATTTCTTATACTAGTAATGAGATATTTAGGATAGCCAGTAGTTCTCTGATATCATAGTATCTTTAGCAAGCGAAAGGTACCTTTGAACAAGGACCCAGATGTCAGACGATGTTAAACAAAAAATAACCCCCAAAAGTTAGTAACAGGTGACTGTGGGCTTGTGTTTTGTACATTTCAAGGGAAGAGAAATCATGCCTTGTTTCCACTGTATGTTGTTAAGCTGTTTATCAGCATTTCTCTTTCCTTAGCATTGATTACTTGTAATAGCATTCATAACATGCATTGAATGTAACATTCATAAAACTGTTAGAAAGTATAGTCCATCAGACATAAAAGTCTTGCAGTGTCCAGCAACCAAGCAGAAATGTTATTTATTTCATAACATTAAATATGTTGTTTCTTTAGTAAAAATAATTGCTTTGGGCTAATTTAATTTCTGTGGGAAAGTTGCTGTGAAATTGTTGGATTTTTTGTTTTTTTTTTCATTTTTGCTTAGGTTGTTCCTATAGTGATTCCTGTGATAAAACAGAAAAGACAACTAATGCTCATGGGCCCAAGGTAAATATTACTTTATTGTGCCTACTGTCATTAGAAAATCTACTTTACCAAAATTTTAAAAATAAATAAATAAAACAATCTATGAATGGATGGATACAAACCCAGTGTCAGTGGGTTTGTCAGTTGATGTGAATAAGCAATGATCATAATAAATATGATAAATTGATCTTCTCCTTCTTTGGGACTGCTTTATCAAAAGACACAGGGTCTTATGCGAAGAACGCAAGGCTCTGATCCACAAAACTCCATTCTGTTCACAGTTTCTGGCAATGTTTGCATGTTACATTTACTAGATGGTTCTGCCCCCTCTGTCTCCCTCGCCCCTTATTTTTTCCTGAGTAATAGTGTGTTGTGGGACCAAAAGTATTGAAGCCTGAATGTGTTTTGTAGGCGTTATAGTAATGTTAAATGCATCTGTTAATGTAATGTTTAATACATGTGGGTTTTTTTTTAGTTGCCCTAAATTTTTTTTATTCTTTTCATGTGCAACTTCTAACACACATTAAAGCTGCCTACCCATCACCCAGCTATCTCAGATGAGAATAGGGTTTTGAATTAGTTGCTAAGCAGAACAGTGAACATTTTAAGGCTTCCTTGCTGCATCAACAAACTTCCAGAGGAGTTAATTTGTATTGTTCTTTGCTTTCTTAGATAAACGGCAATGGCTTCCTGGGGCCTTCCCAGATAAATACAGAAAACAACATCCATCACACAAAAGGCCTAATGAATCTCTCGGGATCTGGAGATGCACCTTCCCTTGGCTTTACCAATCAGATAGCAGACTTTTCTGAACAGAGTGACAGATCAGGTAAGAGATGAGATGGGGGACAGCATTAATCAGTGTTTAGTGTGTACATGGAAGTGAGTCAAGGCATTGTTGAATTGCTGAAATAAGTCAATGTTAGGCTGGCAGTCAGTTTTAGAAGATCATCTCCAAGTTGCATGCTCGGCTTCAGAGAAATTAGCTGATGTTGGAGATTGTATTCTGTGTAAGACAGAAATGAAGGAAAGCCATGATAAAAGTTAGAAATAATGCAATGTTGTCTGCCTCTATTTTTTCTGAGAAAACATTCTATATTAGGAAAACTTGTCCTTTTATACTGTTCTCTTTAAAAACAGAGGTTCCAGATGATGAGTATTACGATGACGATGATCACAATGAAGTTGTCCAGTATCTGTTGGATGTTGTAGATGAGGAAGCCCAGAACCTCTTAAATCGTAATAATGTGACCTCAGAGGCTCAGAGTCTTCTACATCTCAGGAAGGCCACATCAGAAGATCACTTGCCAGGTAACATAAGCCATTAAAAAGGCATATCATTGACAGCAAAATATTTCTTGAAACAAGGTGCCAAATAAATTGATTTGGCAGGAAGGAGAGTTTACACTTAATTGATGTGTGAACTGAAAGTTTCTCAAGTAAAACACAGACAAATGGTTGCTGATTCCAGTGAACTTCAGTTGCAGTTTAATAAGGCAAGATCTGGTTTGATAGATCTGGATTTTGCGAGAAAGTAATCTGGGAAAATTAGTGCCATACAGGAGTTGTCTTTTCAGTGGAATTCATGCTATTCTGCAGTTAAAGTCATGTTGAAATGCTGAAGCGCTTCAATGTTTCATTGATTACTGATAGCACAACTTGGAAATGTGTTGAGATCTCTCGAAACAAAAAAAATTGCCAACCTGCTCTTTTAGAAAGACAGCTGTTTTCAGAACCTGCTTCTGTACACCTTTCATATCCATTGTTCCAGCTCCTCAGCTCCAGTAGTTATTAACTGAAATTTAGCATGGAGCAGGATTTGTAGTTCCTCTGTGGTCTCACGCTATTTATGCGTGCTCCAAAAGTGAGCTCAGCTGAGGAATATTATTGGAGCTCCACTACTTCCAATTTCCTGTAGGTAGAATCTGGCCTTTGCAACTGAAGATGAATTGAATACGTAAGATACTGCAGCAGAGAACTACTGTAGCAGACAGGTACAAATCATATTTTATCCGGCACACCTTAATTAGGTCTTGTTACTACAAAGAGCAAGTAGAATCCTGGTTTAGACCTACTGCTGGTCTAAATGTAACTGAATGGAAGAAACATTACTGACATGGGAATCTGATCCCTTCTTAGCACTAGGCTGTTTATCCTTTTTGGATATCCTTTTTTATATCTTTTTGGCACAGATATTCTGTTAGCTATGCAAACCACTTCACATGGAATGACAGATGTTCCAGTCTGAAAAGAAAGGAGCCTAAAGTCTGATCATTCTATACAGCTGGACCTCTTTTCCAACACAGCAAAGGGATTTAATAGATGTTTCTTGGTTATTCTGGTGCCTGTATTCCCTGTGTAGTGCCAGATAGGTGTAACAGGATTTACATCTATGACAAGGTGACTCCTGGGCATCTTTGGGTAAGTTTATGCTGTATCTCCTGATTTTCCTGTTTCAGCAGAGATGAATGGAAAGCTGACAGAAGACAAGTCTGAAGACACAGATTGTGATGGGTCGTCTTTGCCTGAAGATTTTTCAGAGGTGGGATAGCAAGAACATTTGTTTGGCAGACATTTGTTTGCTGATTTTGCTTTCTCAGATGCTGTTTTGATTTCTTGTTTTCCTGATTGGCATAGAACTTGTGAAAATAACTTCACATGTCTTTCAATTTAAAACATCTTTGTCAATAGTAGTTGTAAATGGTGTACAAACATTTTTTTAATTGCGTAAGATTACCATAAACTAATTATATAAGAGAACAAAGCATAGCGTTATTTTATACTGTTTCTCGTATTTTTTGTTTTTAATAAAGGGCTAGAATAAACTACCTTGTTAATGTTATTTTGAGCATTTAATCTAAAAGATTTGCTTGATTCCTGCTCAGGGAAGAGAAGTAGTCACAATGGATGCTGTGCAGACTTAGGGGTCCAAAATCTAAATTGGAGATTTCTTTTCCTCCTACTTTTTGCTAGGATCTGTTCATTAATTTGAACAACATCTATATGGGGTTTATCCTACATTGCATGTGCTGTTTTACATCTGTCACTAGATGCCTGGGTTTCATCTCAATATTTGAGATCAGCAGAACACTGTCTGTCCAGCACATACTGGCTGTTGCAGCTCTCTGTCCAGCTACTAAAGCTGAGAGTCAGATCAAGTATCTGGCTCTGTATTGGTGTGTTCTAGGAGGCCAACAAGTAAAATTTTCTGAGTATGGAAGTGGAAACTTGCAAGCTAGCTTAATAAGTATAAATGGGTTTGTAGAAGGTTGTTTTTTTTTCACGGGAAGGGTCAAAATGCTGCCTTCTCTGCTGAGTCTTCATCATCTGTTGAGGAAGGCGTATATAGACATACGCCTTCCTCTAAATACATTTATAGGTAAAGCCCTGTTCTGCTATATATAGGAGTGGTGGCTTGTGAGAAAGCAGAAGTTTTCACTATCAAACGTACCTCATAAAGGGGTTTTTAATATAAGAAACAAAGTAAACTGGAGAAAACATAGATGGCTCTACTGCTGCTGTGAATCAGGAATGATTTTAAGGCAGCTTTTTGGCGTTGTTACAGTAATGCCTCTTTCCAGTCATTCAGTGTTCTTGTCCTCTCTTATTTTGGGTTAATGAGATGTCTGAAAGGGGAAAGTCTTTCATTATGTGCTGCTTTGAACTTAGTACCCTTCAGAAATAGTCCATGTAATTGTTAATTATTTAAAATTTACAGTGGGTGAGTGTTATAACTCTGTCTTTTAATGTGTTTTAAAATATTTCTGCCACTAGCTAACACATGTAAATGGATATGAAGACTACTGTGAAGTAAAAGCTATGCCAGAAAGGTAAGATTTCTTTAGTAGTGTTGCTTGAAAGCAAACCTGTGAAGTCTGAAACTCTGAAGAGAGATATGTTATAAAAAAACAACTCAAACTAAAACAAACCCAGTAAAGTATCTGTGTGAAGCCTTGTTGCATTGCTCTCTGCCTAGTCTTGTTATTTCAAAGATTGTAATTTGTGGGAATATTAGTCAGCTTTATGTGGTTTACTATGTGGTTTTATTTATTCCTTTGATATGTGGTTATAACAAGTAACTGGGCTGTGTTCAAATGGCACCAAATAACTTAATTTGCATTGTACTAACAATTTGGTACTTGCATGTGAAGAAAACGTTCAAACGATGCTGTCTTCAGTTTGAAGGTTTACAATCTTCAGTAATATTACTTCTTCTGGTTTTAGAGCACAGAAACTCAACTGCATAGTTCCACTGGTCCATCTGTTCCCATTTGAGTATTTAGGACCTACTTTTTTACATGGAAAGTTTAAAGTGTATATACTTATTTTTATACTTTGATGTTGTTTCTAGGAAGTTTTGGGTTGAGGCTTGGCACAAGCAGCATCATTATGACCTAAAATACTTAATACGTTTACCACCATCCTCAACAAAGCTAGTAAAATTGCAACGGAAAATACATATTCTACTGTATAGGTAGTGAATTATGTGAATGGTCCAAACCTGCTTTTGGGTGTTCTTTCACAGAATCACAGAATGGTTTGGGTTGGAAAGGACCTTAAGATCATCTAGTACCAGCCCCGTGCCCCAGGCAGAGACACCTTACACTAGACCAGGTTGCCCAAGGCTCTGTCAAGACTTGAACACTGCCAGGGATGGAGCATTTCTCTGCTTGGCCTTTGAAAAGTAATTGCAATGATAGAAAGTAATTGCAATAATAGCTGTTACCAGATTCCTGTCTTCCTGATTTTTTTTTTAATTAGGTTGAAAATGTGTTGGTATTTTTCTAGGTGATCTTTTTTACTTCTATACCTTGTCTTCTTACAGGTCAACTCCACAACCTCCTTTGAGTCAAGCAGATGAAGATGAAATCACGTGGGGAAGTGATGAACTGCCAATTGAATCAGTCAGCCAGGAACGTGTAAATAAAGGCAAGAACTTTAACAAATCATCAGTGGAAATCTGAGGATCACGTTAAATAGAGAAAATGCCAGAAGTGAATTTTAAAATGTCCTGTTTTGAAGGTGTAAAGACACATGTGATGGGAAATCTTAACAGCTCAGCAGCCCACTGGAAAGTATCTTTACAGCTTTGCATAAATGTGCAAGAGTTGATAGGAACAAGTATTGGCAACATTGCACCTGTACTTGTAGTAGAGTTGAAACCAGCTGAGATGCTTTCTTCCATAGCATCTATCTGAGAAAAGCTGTAACTATAGATACTTGACTGTGATCAGATTGATATATCACGTGCTTTGCATACTCCATGCTCAAATTAGGCAATATATTTTCTTTGTCGTGAGTCTTACTTCTTCCACTGCTGCTCAGTGTGGCAGAGTGGAACGCTACTCAATTTGACGTGTTTGGCAGAATCTAGTCTTTACTTCTTGGGATGGCATTAGTAAAGTCAGTTCCTGAAATTCTTATACAGCTGCCTTTTATCTGTATTCATTAAAAGAAAAAAAGGGTAATCTGTGTAAACCTTTAGACTAAGTCTAAATTAAGGATATTTTTAATTGTGATACCAGAGAGACTCTCAGTTTATTAATTTTATTGTACTTCAGAGAAACAATGAAGACCTCATACAAAGCAAGCTTTATTGGAAAAGAAAGATAGATTTAAGCTATCTAACAATTACCACTTGAAAGATATGTTGAATGTAAGTGCTAAAAACAAAGTCACAGGCTGTTATATTTAAGTGAAGAGTTCTGAATTAATCCCTGTGTGCATTTATCAATTTTGTAGTTTATTGTGTGAAGAACTTGTGTTTAAAATATATCTGAACGTTGTTTCAGTGTGCTTATTGGAAGTTCAGGGAAACAGGCCCTTTGGTTCCTGGATTTATCAAAGCTGATTTTGCGTCGTGCTGATTTTGTTAGTTAATGTGGTTTTGCTTGTCAAACTGAGAGGATATCTATGTATTCTCTCTGGTGTATTGAGGCAATCTAGAGAAAACTGGTAATACAGTGGGGAACAGCAACAAGGAAATCCAACATTGCACTACAGTTTCCCTAGTTTTAGCTATTTTTATTTATATTTATATCACTCAGTCCTGTTGTTCTGCTAGATTTCCCTTTAGTGACAAATGACGAGATCTCTGCTCTCTCTACTGTGAACGTGCTCCCGGGTGGCAAGTACTCAGGAGCTAAACTGAAGTCAGTGATCAGAATGTTGCGTGGATTGCTGGAACAGGGAGTCCCTTCTAAAGAGATTGAAGTGAGTAACTACTTGTCCTTTAAAGTCCTGTTTTCTAGTATGAAACAGAATGGTTGACTCATCACTGCCTTAAATACCACAGCTCTTTAATTGGCAGCTCTAAAGGGATTAAAAGACTTCTTTTACCAAAAACTTCTCTCCCTTGCCTCCCCCAGTAACTGCTGAGAAGTAAGATTAGGTTGAACTAGGAATTCAGTTCAAAAGTGTGTTTACATCATTCTTTCTTCTGGTAAATTACCAAGAGAAAATGATGTTAACAGGCAGAGACAAGGTAAATGCTGTGAAATCTACCTGCAGAATGTGAAAAGAGTCTTAAATCAACCATAGATCATCTTAAGGTCCTTTCCAACCCTAACTATACTATGATACTATGTTATACAGTATTTTTTGAGAGAATGAGAAATTATTTACTGGATAATAGTTTTGTTTGTTTCATTTTCTTAACTATATGAAATTAGATTTCTTCCTGTGACTGAATTATTATTCATCTCTACATTAGGATTATTTATTTCTTAATGATTCTGTCTGCTAAGTACTTGGTTACAGAACTACTCTTTACACTTGTTACCATTCAGCACTTTCTAATGTGTATGTAATTGCTTCTATACAGAACCTTCAGGAGTTGAAACCTTTGGATCAGTGTTTGATTGGACAAGCCAAGGAGAACAGGAAGAAGAACAGATATAAAAATATACTTCCTTGTAAGTCCTAACTAATCTGAAGTTCAGTGTTGATATTTCATTACCACCTGTCTGATCAGATGAATTGGGTTAGAAGTGGCATGTCCTAGTTGTGCTACTAAGAAGGGAAAAAAATTGCCACTTATTTTCCACACATTTAAAGCAAGCAGTTGTAAAGCAGTTTGAGTAAACAGTAAGCTACTATAGTAGGTTGGGATGGATGTTGACAGATTCTTCAGGTGTTTCAGCAGGTTCTATGTCTTAAACATTGTATACATATAGAGCCAGACAAGATTTTTTTCACTTTTACCTATGTGAAACTGGAAAACCAGACATGTATACTATTGTCAGTAAATTTCCTGCAACAAAACTCTGTTTGCTAGGTGGGAGATGTGTGGAGAAACAAGAACTGACAAATGTTCTGAATGAGAAGTATTCAACCTCAGTTTCAGAGGTGCTGCAGTTTGAATTGGATATCCTGCCTGTCTCCTGATCTAGATTTCTCCCCTAGCTATTTTTTTCTTTACTCAAAGAGAAGTATCCTAAAGCAAGTATTGTAGTGTTTTTTAATCTTTTTTTTTTTTTTTTAATAAGATCTGGAAGCATCTGTGGAGAGAAGTACTATGTGAGTGTGTAAGGCTTAGCATCTCTATTGTTTGAAGGTCTAATTATGTGCATGCATAACATGAAGGTATTTTTGTTGTGTGGGAATTGCAGATGATACCACTAGAGTTCCCCTTGGGATTGAAGGTGGATACATCAATGCCAGCTTCATTCGCATGCCAGTGGGGAATGAAGAGTTTGTTTACATTGCATGTCAAGGACCTCTCCCCACGACTGTAGCAGATTTCTGGCAGATGGTTTGGGAGCAAAACTGTACTGTGATTGCCATGATGACTCAGGAGGTTGAAGGAGAAAAGATAAAATGCCAGCGTTACTGGCCAGATGTACTCAATAAAACCACCATGATAAATGATAGACTACGGCTTGCTCTTGTAAGACTCCAGCAGCTCAAGGGCTTCATCATTAGAGTGCTGGAGCTAGAAGAGATTCAAGTAAGTGAATCTGCATGTTCAGATTTTTTTTGAGTGTTGGCAGTTTTATCCTCATACTTGTGCCTTGCCTGCTTTCAGTTGCAGTGTCTAATCAAGAGGTAACTTGGGGCTTCTCCTTTTTGTTCAGTGGTCATTACTAGTCAACATTTCCTCATTTCAGCTTGTGCTATTCTGTGACCTTATAGAAGGCAGCTGGATAAGGAGATTATTTCATTATGCTAATAAGACTCTAAATGTTGGTGCCTTTGGCCACATAAATATTTATAGGGATATGAAATTCACTGCAATCTGGCTGGTTCATTCCTTTGTGTGATCATCTCAGTCTGCACAGCGTTCCTTATACTATTTAACTATTTGCTAGTTATTTTCAGTTTAGCTCATTGTTTCTCTTGTTTTATAGAACTACAGAACACCTTCATTAGGCAAATACCTCTCTTCTGAGACTGTTTCCTTTGAGAATTTACCTTTTGGGTTTTTATTCTTCCCATGTGTTACATTTTGTTGTTTTTTTTAAAACCTTAGACAGGTGAAGTACGGCACATTTCCCATCTGAACTTCATTGCCTGGCCTGACCATGACACCCCTTCTCAGCCAGATGACCTGCTTACTTTCATCTCCTACATGCGTCATGTCCACAAATCAGGACCTATCATAACTCACTGCAGTGCAGGCATTGGACGGTCGGGGACCCTTATTTGTATAGATGTTGTTCTAGGGTTAATCAGCAGAGACCTCGATGTGAGTACCCAAGAGAATGGGCTAAGCTATGCTTTTGACTTGCAGGACATGTGTTCCACTGGATCTGTCCAATTGTTTAAAGAATATGCTAAGCTTTTCAGAGTAGCATATCTTAATGGAACTTCAAAGAGGATGCAGAAGTGCAGTACTTGTGAAATGCTTCTTTGTTGGTGATCTATGGGGTGGGGTGCTCAGACTTCTGCTGGTCCTTGGCTCAGGGAATCTTCTTGTTGGTCTTGTTTGACAACTCAGCAATCCAACATTGGTAGATGCCCCTTGAGATATCAGAGTTTATGTTGCAAGAACATCTCCTGCCATGGCAGACTTCTGGTGTATGGCTTGGGAACAACAGTGTGTTGCCATGATGACTTGGGCAATTGAAGGAAAAGCTAAAATGCCTGCCTTGCCTGGCTGGATGTGCTCAGTGGAAGTATCGTGTTAAATGGTGCTAGAGCTGAGAGCTGCAGCACTCAGTTGGTCAGAGATCCATGAACTGTTGGAGGGCAGCTAGAAACCAACCAACCAACTGAATCAAAAACTCATTGTACAGACATCTCAGCTGGAGATGAGGGTATGTAAATTAATTTTTCCAGCACAACCAAGGATATGCATTTTAGGGTGATCCACAGGAGGGTGGTAGCTTCCTTATGTTTATGTTCTTCAGTGTCCTGGTGCGTTTGTAGAGAAGATGATCTCTGTCATGCTTAGTTTAGTGGGGTTTCTAAGAACTCACAGAATGTCTTATAACTTTATTAACCTGGGGAAATAGCGTTTTCTTAGGTTGGACTGAGAGGCTCTATCTTCTGCACACTTAGATCCCAGTAAGAGTAAGCACAGAGAAAGAAAACAAGAGAAGGAAGGTATCTGATTTAGGAGGGCCACATACATATTTACCAGAGACAACCCATACCGGTTATCTACCAGACATTTGTAGGCTATAGTAAATTGTTACTTGTTTCACTACTAAATGTTTAATGTACCTAGTTGGATTCCTTGGTTTGATGCTGGGAATATTTTCTTTATATGCACATAAGTCTTATTTTTAAAAATGTTTTAACTTGTGGTTTGTTTTGGTAGTTTGACATCTCGGACCTGGTGCGCACAATGCGTCTGCAGAGGCATGGAATGGTTCAGACAGAGGTGAGTCTGGCTTCCCCAGCTATATGATAAAGGAAAGACACTGGAATTCTAACTCTGATATGACCAGGAAACTTTGCGATACACACAATGGTTGTCTTTGTGCCTTATAGTGTAACATCTATGTTGAGAGAATTATATCAGATTCATCAGTAAGTAGCAGTATGTATTTAACAGTTATAAACACAGGCAATTTTTAACATGCTCTGCTGTTTTCATCTGTGTTTAATTAAAAAATGTCCTGAAATCCCCTCTGGGGAGATTTTCAAACAGAAGTTAAATTAATGTTTTAGGAATAATCTAGATCTAGAGCTAATTAACTTTATCTTAGACATGGACATCACAAGGTCTTGTTAAAATATGAACTTTTTCTTTGAACATGACAGAATTGTCAAATCATAGTTTAAAAAAAAAACAAACAATCACAAGGAAAAAAAAAGAAATGAAACCACAAAATTATGGGCCCCATATCACATCCCAAAACACGTATTATTCCCCATGCCTGTACTGCTAAGATTAAGGTAAGTTGCACTGTCAAAGAGTTCTGTATTAGCTGGTATTGATGCAAGACCTGTTGAAATTCACTTGATGTTTTCATTCCTACTTATGTAAAGTACTTAACCCTGCTTGAGTTAATTTGAGTGTGAAAGAAGGATGAATGTCCCATATAAAATATACCTTTAGTGGCTTGCCTTTACTTTAAGTTGAGTTTGCATATTTCTCCACTGTGCGGTTTGTTTTCTGAGTTGTTTGGGATTTTTTTTTATTTATCTGTAGAATTACTACTGAAATTGAGTGCTGTGCAGGTGAGAGTGAATTGCTTTGGTGATGCAAGCATTTTTCACATGTTCTGTGCTTTCCTTTCCCTTACAGGATCAGTACATTTTCTGCTATCAAGTTGTTCTTTATGTCCTGAATCATCTCCAACAGGAAGAACAACAGAAAGACAAATGAAATAATGCTGAAGCAGAAGTGCTTTTAAAATAAGAAAGCAGGGAGGTCTAGAGGCTCTCACATGTTCTGCCAATATTTTCCAGTCCCTTTCTTCAGTTGCTGTCAGATGTCTTTTCTATAAAGTCTCTCCATCATTCCAAATAAGGTATATAGCTATGAGGAAAAGGGATAGCTCATGTGGTACCACTAATGTCTTCAGTCGCATGGACACGTATGTGAGATTTTTGTATAGCAGTAAATAATATTTAATAAAGCTGCATTTTTTTGCAGTTTCCTTAATATGTAGTAAAATAATTAAGTAAAAAATATTTTAATTAAAAAAAAGTAAAGAAGAAGAAAAAAAGTAATCTTGTAATGCTTCCTGCATTTTTGCAACTGTTTTGGGGTATTTGTTTCTTATGGGGTGGGGGAGTGGGAGGGATGAAGCAGTATTTTTGTCCTGGCAAACATTATTACAAAGACATTTTAATACTCTCTTTTAAAAGCTTGTTTATGGCAGATTTTTTGCCCTTTTAGTATAGTTACAGCTATTTTATAGAGGGTATCTTGAAATCTGCATTTAAGCTTTGAGATACCTGTTAGCATGATAGTAGTGAATGTTTACTGTATCACAGTTAATAAGGTTTACTTCATAGAGTTTCATGTATATATTTATACACTTTTACAGAAAAAGCTGAATTATCAGGTGTCTAACCTTATAACTGATTAGGCATCTCCTCTGTAAATAAAAAATGCACCTAAAGTATACTGATGAGTGGGTCTGGGTATTTTTGTGTCCTTGTGACTGATTTTTCTTGGCCTTGCAGGTCGTCCTTATCCTTCATTGTGGTTGCTGCCCTTAAGAAATTTGCAACAAAAGGGCTGTGCATGCTTTACATTTTCAGTGTTCTGTTTTTCAATGTCTTTCTGTTCTTCAGTGTCCATTTGAAAAAGCCTTCAGAACTGCATGTTCCTTTCTGGACAGTTTCCACGGGATGCTGAAAGGAAGAGGATATTTTCCTTCCCTCCTTGTTTCTCAGCATTGACACCTGTATCACCTGGGCATTGACACCTGTATCACATTTTTTGGGTGGGTTTGCACCTGGATGCTATGGCAGTGATCTGAAAACAGTGTCATCTACTCTGCTTAAAGCAACCAGTTTCGAGGTGGGAGGTAGGATATCAGGTTTGAAGTCAGTGTTTTTGTGATATTGTAAACACTCAAAGCTGTTTTCAAAGGAAATCCTCATTTATGCTTATGAGAACCTTTGATGATGAGTAACTGCTATCAGCCAGCGCAGGGGACCATTAATGGGTTTCAGCAGTATTCCTGTCACAGCAGTCCTTACCAGAACTGCACCTTGTTACTTGTGCTGTCAAGGAGGGTGTAAGAGTACCAATTTGACAGCATTCTGCATTGCAGTGGTGGAAATAAGTTCAGAGGCCTGTGATTATCCAAGGTTTTCACTGTTCAAAACAGCTCAAAGTGGTGTGGTTTCCCAAAGCTGAAATTGTCACCATCTTACTTGTTTAATGGTATTCTAGCTAACAACACACAATTTAAAAAAAAAGAGAAGAGCCTTTTTCATTTGCCATAGTAATACTGTGGGGTTTATTCCTTTCAGCATGCCAGCACAGTTAAAAAATTGAGCATTTTTTCAGAGCGGTTTAGTTTGAGGAAAGAAAACTGATTCTGTGTAGACAGAAGCAAAGGCAAATTGACTGGCCATGTTGACAAGACACCTGTATGAAGGAGCTTTAAAATGAAGTCAGAAGATATTCAACAGAAGTTGCCAAAAGGCAAAGTGAGTAAACACAGCTAGTTGTTACGCTGCTGCTACTATTATAGTAGTAATAGTGAGTTCAGAGAATTTGGGTATGTCTGGTATTTAGAAACAAAAAAAAAAATGGTTATGGTAACTAGACAGCATGATTAAAGCAGTTGAATTCTTCAGTTAGATATTTTCAGATACATGCCAAACAATGCAGAAACAGAAACTGATTTTTTTGTATAGTTTGCTACATGAAGCCCACTTTGGTACAGTAAAAACAATTTGTATCAGAATACAGCTTATGGGAAACAGATCATCATGCCAAGATTCCAGGATTTGCTGCTTGTCCTCTCATATATGACAATCTCTGGTATGGTATTTTATACTCAACTGGCTTTTAAATGATGGGCAAACAGAAAAGCAGAGGATAATTAACTTGACTTAATCTCCCCATCCTCTGAAAAAGGAACCCCCTCCCCTTTCCCCACCTTTCAGTCTTTTCAGTTTCTCCCATAATTACCCTTGGAAGGTGAGCATATGATTAATGAATAGACAGACCTATTTATTCACCTGATAATGTATTATATTGTATTGATAAGACATTGGAATAATGTATGAGATATTATATTGGACCCCAGTCCCAGAAGTCCAGTTGGAAAACCCAGCTATCCCTACTCACTTATTAACTATTCTAACTCTTCTTAAGAAACTTGTGGAGGAAAAGCATCATTGTATGAACAAGAATAAATGTAGCCCTTCTATATCCACCTTCAATCTATTTGTTCCAGCTCCTTCCATCTGAAATCATCCTCCCAGTACCGTCGGTATGTAGCTGAAAACAACATCATGCGGGAACAATATGGGCTTCCTACATTGAAGTTTTCTTGACCAAATTCCTGACCTTGTGTTAATAATAATACCCTGACTTTATGTTAAAACAGATGGGTCCCAATGGGAAGCATTCAGGTTCCTAAGAAGTCATGCCATTTATGGTGAAAGGTGGCATTGGCCTCTTCTGAGAAGTGGTCTGAATTTCTTTGGGTTTTTGTCTCAACCTTGAGTTATGGGATATCTAATAAAGATGGAGTCCTCCCTAGTCTAATACTTGTTGAGGGCACTGGGAGGGTGTTTTTTGTCTGCTGAGCAGGTGAAACTTGCCATCTGTGACACGTGATGTGGTCCGTTTGGTTGAAACAGACCCCACAGCTCAAAACTGATTATGAGAAAATGGACATGCTTATGCAGTGTGATTGTTTAAGCTCAGTTTCTATGGATTCCTGCTTAGAAATATCCACCAATACTTTTTCTCCACAGGACTACCTAAAATTTTTACACCCTCTTTGAAGAAATGAGAAGAAAAATTACTGATAGGCTATCTCCTTGAATGGTGTGCTTTCTTAGGCTGCTGACTATACAATCTGGGGAGTGGAAGGGAAGGCAGAAGAAAGCCTTCTGCAGCTGGCATTCAGACCTGAATCTGAGCATCACTTGTGTTTTATTTCTGCTGCTTGGTGTCAGCCAGCCAAGTGAGCTCTGTAAGGAGCTTTGTTTCCTAATGAGATGTTAGGGAAGGAGTGCTCGGTTTTGATTTAATGAAGTGCTGGAAAGCTGGCTAAGAGAAAGTGATCTGGAGGATAAATCATTGGGCTGGGAACATATTTAATTGCCAATTTCCTCAAGTGGGTCCCAGGAAATGGGTTATGTCTTCTTTGTACTGTGCTAACCTCCATAATATTTTCTTTTCTCTGATAGGGCTCTGACTGTTACTTCAGCACAATAGCCAGGTTCCCAAACAAAGCGTAATCACTAAACAAAGTTGACCGCAGAATCAGCCATTTGTTCACTAACAAGGAACTTTATATGGACAATTTTGCTTCCCAGCTCCCTTTAAAGGCATACCAGGTATTTCCACAGTGTCCTCAAGAACAAATCCACTGGGATAATGCATAAAAGAACACGTGGCTCTTCCTACACCTGTCTCTATAGACGGCTCCTTTGTGTCACGTGCTTGCGAGGTGAGCAGCTCCAGAGAGGCGCCTTTAACCCCGGAGCGAGGAAAAACCCCGCCTCCAGGAGACTCAGTTCTGAGCGGCGAGAGGCACCTAGGCAGTCTTGAGCCCTCGAGAGACCTTGCCCGGGAGGAGGCAGCTCCGCTGAGGCGAGCAGGGCCTCACAGGGGGCGGTGCCAGGAGGAACGGCCCCGCCCTGAGCTGGTAAAACCCGCCCCGGGGAGCGAGCGCTCGCCTTAGGGCGAGGGCCCGGGCTGGGAGCTGGGCCTTGACCGCCCCAGGAGTGACAGCGTCGGCAGCAGGCAGAGCCGATGAGAGTGGAGGGTGCAGCGCAGAGCTCGGAGTGTAGAGAGTGCCTGCACTGGTCTCGGGAGGCGGGGGTGCGCTCTGGTGGAGGTCCTGCAGCAGGGGCTGAGCTGCGGGACGCTGACAGTAGCTAAAAGATGGCAGGGAAGCTGAGAGGGAGCTGGACTGCTTGCTGCAGGCCCAAGCTGCGCGGAGGCCACAAGTGTCCATCACAGCGCATACAGAAAACAAGGAGGGCAGTAATCCGGGAAGCTGGGAGCTAGTAGCCAAAAAAAAAAACAAAACACACCAAGATAGGAACAGCCTCTTGCTTGCAAGCCCTTGTTCTCATGGGGGACTTCAACCATCCTGATACCTGTTGGGAGGGACAGCACATACCGGCACAAGCAATCAGGGAGGTTCCTCGACTGTATGGAAGACGGCTTGCTTCTGCAAGTAATAGAAGAGCCGACGGAGAGAGGGAGAGGTGTCATGCTTGACCTCGTGCTCCCCAACAGGGAAGGGCTTGTTGTGATACTGAGAAATAAAGGGTTAACATTGTGCCTGCTTGCTTAAGCAGTCGCTGTGCTTGGTGAAGCAGAACCGTGAAGCAGAACCATAGGAGTCAAAGTTGCTAGCATGGTGAAGCAGAATTGTAGGAGTTACAGCTGCTAGACAGAATTGTAGTAGATAAGATTCATAGCTTAATATTTGACATTCTTGTTCAAATGATATCTTTAGAAAGAAAAGGAACAAAAGATAGCCAGAGTAACAAAATTTACGAACTTGACAAGTTTCTATTTTAAGATACATAAAACCAGCTTGTACCGAACCTGAGGTTTGGACAGGAGCCGAAACCCTATTGAGTCTGTGTGAAAGCAAGAGGTTACTTGCGGTGACGAAGAGGAACTACAGGCCTTCATCCTCATGACCCCCTAACGACCACCACCAGGAGGCACTCACAGGCACACCAATGGGACAAATGCCAGAAAACTAATTATAATACTAGACGGGAATAGGTTTTGCATATGTATTAGGCGTGAAGCAATCTCATGTTTAGGCAATCATTATATGTAATATAAATTAACTGAGTGGCAAAGGGGGGGGGCGCGCATGCTTTTGGAGGAGAAACCCCCATGTGCCTCAGCATGCTTTTGGAGGAGAAACCCCCATGTGCCTCAGCACTGAACAAAGCATACCTACTTTACAACTCTAACGAGTTGTGGATTCAATCCGCATATCAGTTGGAAATCTGACGCTCCAGGGCAGCCTTGGTTGTAGCTGTTAAATACAAACTCACTCCTCTAAAGGAGATAACAAGGTTTTATTGAGGGAAAAAGTCAATAAAGCAAAAGCAACAGCACTGGGCGCATGACCGTAGCCAGAGGCGCAAGTGATTAGTATTTGTTACAGGTTTATATACTTTCATTATTGCATTAGTCACATACATATTCGTAATTCCCACGTTTAGGCAGGGAATAACTAGTTCCAGGAACTTATAAGTCTCCTCGTCTTGGCGTCTGCACACTGCTCTCTGGTGACTGTGGGCAAGGGTCTTGAGAATGAAGTAAGCAGTCTTCGTCTTGTGAGTAGGGGTCTTCAAGATGAAGTAAGCAGTCTTCCTCACAGTGTACTTTCACCTTTGGCACAGTTGGATGCCCCAGTAATCACACAACTAGCTGAAACCAGCTACATCTGTAATTCTTCTGATAACTAGCAAAGATTTAAAATAGCGTGACCTTCCTGCAAAATTTATTGCAGGATATCTCAAGCTAGCAGATGTTTGGGAGGCTGTGTCTCTAAACTAACTGATAAAGTAGAAGGATGGTGTGAAATGACTCATTCATGTTTAGTGGGGCCACTAAATTCTGTTATCTCACCACAGACTTACAACACAAGCATTGTTCTTTAAAGCTAAAAATACTTAGAAGACTAGTGTGAAACAATTCATTCATGTTTAGCGGAGCCACTAAATTCCACAGACTTACAACATAAACATTGTTCTCTTTCTACAACCTAAGTTAAGCTAAAAAGTGCTTTAACTCTGTTTTCCAGGCACTAGCTTTTCTTACATCAAGTCCCCTTTCACCTTTACAAATTTTTTTGCTATGTGACTCCACTTTGCTCAAGAGTTCTGGCCCTTTTTAACTTACTGTCTAATCTTGTGTCTTTAGCGAGCTTTTTTTCTGTTATTGTAAGCTCATGCAGTTTTATCCATATAACCACACCTATGATTTGCGAAAGCCAATACATTTATGTGTTTATCACATAGCGATCATGAGATGGTCAATTTTGAGATCCTCAGGACAGTGAGAAGAGCGTGCAGCAAGCTCACTGCCGTGGACTTCAAGAGAGCAGACATTGGCCTCTTCAGGAACCTGCTTAGTAAGGTTCCATGGGATATAGCCCTAGAGGGCAGGGGGGCCCAAGATTGTTGGTTGGTATTCAAGTATCACCTACTGCAAGCTCAGGAGTGTTTCATCCCAACTAGAAGGAAGTGCAGCAGGAGGGCCAGGAGACCTCCTTGGATGGATAAGTAGCTGCTGAGGAAACTTTGAAGGAAAAAAGAGGCTTATAAAAGGTGGAAGCAAGGACAGGTGGCCTGGGAAGAATACAGGGATGTTGTCCGGGAAGCTGGGGACCAGGTTAGGAAAGCTAAGGCCCAGTTAGAATTAAACTTGGCTAGGGATGCTAAGGATAACAGGAAGGGATTCTATACGTACGTAATAACAAAAGACAGACTAGGGACAACGTGGGCCCTCTCTGGAAGCTATCGGGAGACCTGGCTACTCTGGATTTTGGAGAAGGCTGAGGTTCTTAATGACTTCTTTGCCTCCGTTTTCACTGACCAATGCTCTGACCACACCAACCAAGTCTTGGAAGGCAGACACAGGGACTGTGAGAATGATGACCCTAGGCCCACTGTAGGAAAGAATATGGTTCGAGATCATGTTAAGAACCTGAATGTGCACAACTTCATGGGACCTGATGGAATCCATCCATGGGTCCTGAAGCAGCTGGCAAATTAAGTTGCTAAGCCACTGTCCATCATATTTGAAAAATGACGGCAGTCAGGTGAAGTTCCCAATGACTGTAAAAAGGGAAATATAACCCCTATTTTCAAGAAGGCGCAAATGGATGACCCAGGGAATTACAGACAAGTCAGTCTCACCTCTGTGCCTGGCAAAATCTTGGAGCAGATCCTCCTGGAAGGCATGCTAAGGCACATGAAAAACAACAAGGTGCTTGGTGACAGCCAGCATGGCTTCACTAAGGGGAAATCCTGCCTGACCAATTTGGAGCCTTTCTATGATGGGGCTACAGAACTGATGGACAGGGGTAGAGCAGTTGATATCATCTACCTGGACTTGTGTAAAGCGTTCGACACTGTCCCACATGACATCCTTGTCTCTAAATTGGAGAGACATCAATTTGATGGATGGACCACTCGGTGGAAAAAGAACTGGCTGGACGGCCGCAAGCAAAAAGTTGTGGTCAATGCCTCAGTGTCCACCTGGAGATCAGTAACGAGTGGTGTCCCTCAGGGATTGGTGTTGGGACCGGTCTTGTTTAGCATCTTCGTCGCTGACATGGACAGTGGGATTGAGTGCGCCCTCAGCAAGTTTGCCGATGACACCAAGCTGTGTGGTTCGGTTGATACGCTGGAGGGAAGGAATGCCATCCAGAGGGACCTTGACACGCTTGTGAGGTGGGCTGATGCCAACCCTATGAAGTTTAACCATGCCAAGTGCAAGGTCCTACCTACACCTGGGATGGGGCAATCTGAGGCACAGCTACAGGTTGGGCAGAGAAGAGATTCAGAGCAGCCCTGTGGAGAAGGACTTGGGAGTGTTGGTCAATGAGAAACTTAACATGATCCGGCTTCAGTGTGTGCTCACAGCCCAGAAAGCCAACCGTATCCTTGGCTGCATCAGGTCAAACTCTACTCTGCTCTTGTGAGACCTCACCTGGAGTACAGTTCTGGTGTCCTCAACATCAAAAGGACATGGAACTGTTGGAACAAATCCAGAGGAGGGCCACAAGGATGATCAGGGGACTGGAGCACCTCCTGTATGAAGACAGGTTGAGAAACTTGGGGCAGTTCAGCCTGGAGAAGAGAAGGCTGCATGGAGACCTCATAGCAGCCTTCCAGTATTTGAAGGGGACCTGTAAGGATGCTGGGGAGGGCCTCTTCATTAGGGGCTACAGTGACAGTACAAGGGGTAATGGGTTCGAGCTTAAACAGGGGAAGTTTAGATTGGATATGAGAAAGAAGGTCTTTACTGTGAGGGTGGTGAGGTGCTGGAATGGGTTGCCCAGGGAAGTTATGAATGCTCCTTCCCTGGTGCTGTTCAAGGGCAGGTTGGACAGAGCCTTCGGTGATAATGGTTTAGTGCAAGGCATCACTCCCTTTCACAGAGGGGTTGGAATTTGATGATCTTAAGGTCCTTGCCAACACTTTCTATGATTATATATCTGCTTTATGTTTCTTTGTGGGGAAGTACGGGTTCAGTTGAGTTCTCCTCCATAAACTGTAAACTATTTTTATCGTTCTTCATAAAGTTCAACTGAATGCTTTGCTGTGAAAAATATGGTACTATGACAGTTTTTCAGCCTTTCCTCCCTAAAGAAGCTGCTGTGTAAATCTGTTGTGTTACCTCTTGTGTCTCAGACATCAGTAATGGTTTTGGTATTGGCTTTAGGGTGACTGTCAATCTGAGTTTCAAGCTCTTTTAACCTTCCCCAGACAGCACTGCTGCCTGTTAGGCATAAACTGTATTGTTCTTTTGAAGCACTTGACAAAGTCTACTAGTTTCACTTCACTTTTCACATCACATGTATGTTAATTGCTGAGAAACTGTGCATAAAAAAGTCATGAGATACTCCATACTTGAATTGTCTGTACAGTAATACTGTAGATAGCAAATACATTTTCCTGGTTTCAGCTATTAACAGTTATTTTCCAGTTATTTTAGTAGCTGGCACAGTGCTGTGGTTTTGCTCTAGTCTGGAAATAATGCTGATAACCACCGCTGGTTTTCGTTCTTGCTGAGTAATGCTTACTTCGATCAAGGACTTTTCAGTCTCTCAAGCTCTGCCAGTGAGGAGGGGCACAAGAAGACAGGAGGGAGCAGAGACAGAACACCTGACCCAAGCCAGCCAAAGGGGTATTACATACCACAGCACATCATGCCCAGTGTAAAAACTGGGGGGGTTAATCAGAAGTTATCGATCACTGCTAGGGTCAGGCTGGGTTGAATGATAAAGGGCTCAGCAGAGATTGGCACAGGTGCTGGCTTAGGTAGCTGCTAGTCCTTTGGGATACCTGCCATGAGAGTCAGTGTCACGTGGGGGCTCCTGCTGCCTTGCTGTTCCAGGCAGGTGAATACTGAATGGATTTTGTTGTTCCTAAACAGCTAAGGCCAATCTCTGCAAACACTCATTACATTATAGTGATGAGTGCTTGTGGCTCTAACAGGTCTCTCTGAAACCAACAGAGGTGTTTATGGGAGCATTCCCAGCATTTACAAGCTTTTTCAGAACTCAGTGTCTTGAACTGTAGGGTTCAAGGAAGCTCGAGCTGTTGCTGTGCACTAAAAGCGGCGCCCCCGCCGCTGTGGCCTTCTTGTCATCCTCCTTGTCTCTGTCTTTTCCTGCCTCGAGTGTCTGTGGGGTGGCTGTACTAGATCAACCAAATCTGGAATAAAGCATCCCGCCGAGGCCCTTCCTGATGCTTGCAGCTCCTAATATACTTGCCTTGCCTATGTTTGTTACAGACTTCCCATAGTGGCGTCGAGCCATGTCTGGTGAAGTAGTTGGGCTTGGTACAGTTGACACACTTTCACTATTGGTAACTGAGGTAGGTTCATTTGTTGGGTTGAGAAAACTTGGCTTCATACACTCATAAAGTAGAGGGTTTACAGTGCTGTACCAGTGGATCTGAATAGGCGAGATATTGCTGTAGTGTTCAGAATTAAAGGTTCTGATCTATAGGCCACTGTATCTGTTGGGTGAAAAACAGTTAGCAGTTACAAATTGTTCTGGGCAGAATATGGTCTTGACTACCAGAGTTTCCTGGACAGATGCCACACAATGCCAAAAACATTGCTAATGGAGATCCCACACAGAAGAAATTCTCTACCTTAAATTGTAAGACATGTGGTTCTGAAATGGTGGATGCCTTTAACCATTGTAACCTCTCTCTTATCTCTTTCAACCAGTTTTTAGTTATATGAAGTTCTTCAAGTAAATGTTGCTCTTCATAGCTCATCCAGTGGTCTTGAAGCTCCTCCTCTTCCTTCTGCACCAAGTTTTCATAAAACCTGACCGGGTTCCAGCCAGTCATGATGTGATGACACAGCCGAGTGAGTGGGACACAATTGAGACTTGCCCTCCTTTCTCCTCAAAGTCTTGATTTCGGGCACAGATGAGTGTGTATAGCTGGTTCAGCTCTTGCTGCAACCCTTTCACTGGTTCATCCCTGTAAAGAGGACGGGTGTAATACATCATACCCATTGCATTGCTGCTCAGCATATCCCGTAAACCTTGTACTTTAACTGGAGTAATGGAGTCCACAGTGTCTTCATCAAGGGTAAGTTTTGACTTCCATTCAACTGGAAGAAATTCAGAAAGTTTTGAGAGATCAGAAAAATACTTCTGTTTTTCTTAAAGCATCTCACATCATAGCTGTATTTCTGATGATCCTTCCTTGGTCCATTTTCTGCCCAATAACATGCAAGCAAACAGAATGTGACTAATTTATGGCGGCTTGTTTCTGTTCGATTGGGTTGGAGAACTGGCAGTGTAAATGGGAGGTTGCGTCTGCCTGTGTGCAGGCCTGCTGGATAGGTGGGAAATGGTTGTAGAGAAGAGTACGGAAACGAAGGCTCCGATGTCGTTGCTGTCAGGCAGTAGAATTCGAGCGAATGCAGCAGTGGCGGTTAAATCCTTTTCGGGTGACTGTGTTCTGCCTGCTGGGGGGCGGGGGGCATCCTGTCTAAGGTAAACTTCACCCTCAGCATGGGGGAGGCAGCTTTTCTGAAGTCACGGTGTTTGATGACGCAGTGCCGTTTCAGGTACCCGTTAAGGTACCCCCCCCCCCCCCGCTCCCCTGTGCTCCAGGCGAGGGATGAGTACAAGTAATTAAAACGGGTGGTATATCCTGCACAGAACTTTGGCGCTCCGCAGTGTGTTTTCACAGTGGTGCTTTTTGACAGGCTTGAAGCCAAGAGGTGGCTTTACGTTGCAGATTGCAAGATGACAGAGCCCTGAGCTTTGGGGAAGCAGGACGGGAAGGTTGACTGCTTCGTTAACAGCTGAACTCTTCTCTGGCTCTGACTACCTGCTCTCTCTGCATGTGGGGAGACTGGGAGCACTTCAAGTGGCAAAGGCTTAAGTTTGCGGCATCCTTTCCCTTTCCTTTGTATGATGACTTACTGGCATGATTTACTGGCCTGCTGTATCAGCCCGTTGCTTTAATAGGCTGCGTGCTAAGAGGGGCTACAGCATAAATGTTAGCGCCACTGGCTGGCTGTGAAGCTTGGCTTGGTTCCAAGGCTAGGGCCACGCTTGATGTCTTGGAGGTCACACAGCCGTTTTCTTGGGTGGCAGGAGGGCACATGGGAGCAGGGCCTAGCAGTATGCCCCAGGCTTAGCAAACTGGCTGAGAAATGGCAAGTCTGGCACTGGGCTCAGTGCACGGCATCCCAGACCTGTAAGGTGAATGGGGCAGAGAATGAAGTCCTATACAGTGATGGCTCCAAGTGACCGTGAGGAAGAAGGAGCAAGGGCTGAGTCCTGTGGGGTAGGCGAGAGGAGCATGCCCCACAGCTGCTGTTTGAGGCAGGCATGGAGCCAAGGTGTGCACCTGCCATTCTGTGGCCTCCCTTCTCCTCCATCATGCGCTTTGGCTTTTCATTTGTGAGGATGCTGCTCAAGATGTAAAAGTGCGTCCGAGCATTTCAGCGCAGTGAATAAGAAGGAGGCCTCTGTATGCTTAAAGATCAGTGGTAAAGGCTCTGATTATTGCTCTTTTTAAGACATTTAACAGAGAGTAGGAGTGAATACAGCAGCAGAACTTAACTCTTGCAAGGGAAAGGTTGCATTTGACAGAAAGCCTGGTGCTCGTGGTATTTCTGTGGTTTTGGTGGCAGAGGTCAGGAGGGGTATCCATCTCGGTCCAAGAGATTTCAGCTTTGTGGCTGTGTAAAGGCTTTTATTCAACAGTGAAGCCTGAACGAATACTCACAATAAATAATGGGAATTATTCTGTATGGGACTGAGAGGTCGCATGTCTCCAGATCCATTTGGCAAACTGGGCTGGAGGGTTTACTGTGCTAGGTAGCTGGCAAAAACTGTGGGTGAAAATTTTGGTGTTGATTTCTCCTTTGTAAAGAATACACTTTCTGCAAGCTCCGTAAATTACTGACGGGGTGGTATGATACAGAGCACTGTAGGGTTTTGGGTATTGCTCTGTACGAGGCCTTTGGGCACTCCTCCATCTGCTTGGGTTTGTTATTTCTCACGTGCTGTATGTTTCAGCTAGTGAAAGGGATGTGACATTGGGGATGACGCTTGTTTGGCAACAGGAAAATCCTGCGTTCTGTCCTGAATCCTTCAGCTTCAGTGCTGTGATGTTGAGCAGCTCACCTTGTGTGTTTGGATTTCACTGCTGTGAAGGGTGGAAGGGCAGGGAAAAGAAGGTGAGAAAACATGGCTGTTGCTACTCTTCAGCATTTTGGAAACTGTGATAGTCATGACTGAGAAACTGATGTGCTGATATGCCCGTCTCTCTTCTGCTTCCTTCTCCCTTCAAATGTGTGCTCTGCTGCAGCAGTTGCAAACTGAGGATCTTCAGGTGAATTAAGTTATCTGCACACTCTGTCAGTTGCAGTTACTGAAAACTGGTGGATAAATATTTTGTTGTTACGGATGTGAAGAATTTCCAGTTGTCTCATAACTTGGCTTTCCAAGTGGCCATGATTAGTATGATTGCACGTATGCAGAATGGATGCAATTTCCTAATCTTGGTATGCAGGTGAATCCGGTAGCATAGTCAGAGCACTCTGAAATGTGTGTGTGTTGTCCTGGCGTCCCTGGTCTCTTCTCTCGAGTCAGCCCTGCAGGGAAGGGTAAATGATGGACAACAGTCTGAGAAGCCCTCTGTTCCCACCCCTAAAGCCAAGTCTTTGCAGCTAAACCCAGAAGAGTCTTGAAAAGAGGCCGTACTGCTCATTTTGGTAGATAAAAAGAAGGCGGTGCTGTGCAGAAGTAAAATATGGCCATATCCACGTTTAAAATGCTGTAAATGCAGCAAAACATTTTCTTCTAAAGGGAGTAATGCTGAGCCTTTTCACTGAGAAGCTATGATGAATGATGCAGCTTGATTTCATTCCATGCCTTCTCACAGCTTTCCAGAGCAGGTCTGAAACCATGCTCATAACTAATTTGTTTTGCAAGTCCTGTTGATAGAGGCAAGTTGGTGATGCTGCATTGCCGTCAGCTGATGTAGGTGAGGCAAAGTCTGAAACAGTGTCTTGTTGGAGTTCATCTGTCTCAGGAGGGGGTATCCCTCCTGAGCTAAAACACCCTGTGAACACCTGTCAGTTTTGCTCGTACACTGCTAGCAGCCCTGCTTGTAGAAACTCAGCCCAGTTTTCTCCAGAGCAAAATGCCTAGCTGATCCCGGGCATGTTTTGTGGGCTGCTGGGGGGGTGTTTAGTTCACAGTTCTTTATTGCCTGGACTTTCTGAGCCTGGATGGAGTCTGTTGCCTTGCGACAGGCCTGCAGGCGAAGCTCCCCCACAGAGCAGAAATGCTCACAGGGAAGTGGATTTTTCAAGTAGGTTTGTTGGGGTTGGGTTTGTTTTGTTTCTTCAGTGGGGGTTCCAAGTTGTAATAGGCCCTTCACAGTATCATAGTATCACAGTATGCTAGAGATTGGAAGGGACCTCGAAAGATCATCCAGTCCAATCCCCCTGCCGGAGCAGGAACACCTAGATAATACACAGGAATGTCTCCAGGGAAGGAGACTCCACAACCTCCCTGGGCAGCCTGTTCCAGTGTTCCGTCACCCTCACTGAGAAGAAGTTTCTTCTCAAGTTTAAGTGGAACCTCTTGTGTTCCAGTTTGTACCCATTACCCCTTGTCCTATCATTGTTTGCCACTGAGTAGAGCCTGGCTCCATCCTCGTGACACTCCCCCTTTATATATTTATAGACACTTATAAGGTCACCCCTCAGTCTCCTCTTCTCCAAACTATAGAGACCCAGCTCCCTCAGTCTTTCCTCATAAGGGAGATGCTCCACTCCCTTAATCATCTTAGTTGCCCTGCGCTGGACTCTCTCCAGCAGGTCCCTGTCCTTCTTGAACTGAGGGGCCCAGAACTGGACACAATATTCCAGATGGGGTCTCACCAGGGCAGAGTAGAGGGGAAGGAGGACCTCTCTCGACCTACTAACCACCCCCCTTCTAATACACCCCAGGATGCCATTGGCCTTCTTAGCCACAAGGGCACAGTGTTGGCTCATGGTCATCCTGTCGTCCACTAGGACCCCCAGGTCCCTCTCCCCTACACTGCTCTCTAACAGGTCGTTTCCCAACCTATACTGGAACCTGGGGTTGTTCCTGCCCAGATGCAGGACTCTACACTTTCCCTTGTTATATTTCATCCAGTTATTCCCTGCCCAACTCTCCAGCCTGTCCAGGTCTCGCTGGATGGCAGCACAGCCTTCTGGCGTGTCAGCCACTCCTCCCAGCTTAGTGTCATCAGCAAACTTGCTGATAGTACACTCGATTCCCTCATCTAAATCGTTGATGAATATATTAAATAATACCGGTCCCAGTACTGACCCTTGAGGCACTCCACTAGTTACAGGCCTCCAACTAGACTCAGCCCCATAGACTACAACTCTCTGGCTTCTCTCCTTCAGCCAGTTCGCAGTCCACCTCACTACCTGATCATCCAGTCCACACTTCCTCAATTTAGCCGTGAGGATGCTGTGGGAGACTGTGTCAAATGCTTTGCTGAAGTCAAGGTAGACCACATCCACTGCTCTGCCATCATCCATCCACCGTGTTATTTCCTCATAAAAGGCTAAGAGATTGGTCAAACATGATTTCCCCCGGTGAAGCCATGTTGACTGCCCCTCATAACCCTCTTATCCTTGATATGCCTTAAGATGGCACCAAGGACAAGGTGTTCCATCACTTTCCCAGGGATGGAGGTGAGGCTGACCGGTCTATAGTTACCCGGGTCCTCCTTCTTGCCTTTTTTGAAGACTGGAGTGACATTTGCCTTCCTCCAGTCCTCAGGCACCTCTCCCGTTTCCCAAGACTTGGTAAAGATGATGGCGAGTGGTCTAGCAATGACTTCTGCCAGTTCCCTCAGCACCCGCGGGTGCATCCCATCTGGACCCATGGATTTATGGATGTCCAGATTGCTCAACTGGTCTCTAACCCATTCCTCATCGACTAAGGCAAACCGCTCCGTCGACCTGACTTCATCTAAGGTCTCAGGGGTACAGGGCTCTTCAGGACTGCCTGCAGCAGAGTAGACAGAGACAAAGAAGGCATTCAGTAACTCTGCCATCTCTGCATCTTCTGTCACCAGGGCACCCATTCCATTCATCAGTGGGCCTACATTGCCTCTGGTGTTAGTTTTGTCTGCCATGTACTTGAAAAAGCTCTTTTTGCTGTCCTTCACCCTTCTTGCCAGGTTTAATTCTAAGGATGCCTTAGTCCTCCTAGCTGCCTTCCTACATCCTCTAGCAGCAGCCTTATATTCCTCCCAAGTGGCCAGCCCCTCCTTCCATGACCTGTAAACTCTCCTCTTCCACTTGAGCATACCCAGCAATTCCCTATTTAGCCACGCAGGTCTCTTGGCCCTCTTCCTTGACTTCCTACGTGTCGGGATGCTCCGATCTTGAGCATGGAAAAAGCAGTCCTTGAATGTCAACCAACTATCTCGGGCCCCTTTACCTTCAAGCAGCCTTGCCCATGGGATTTCCCCTAGCAATTGCTTGAAAAGGCCAAAGTTTGCCCTGCTAAAGTCCAGGGTTGCAATTCTACTTGGTATTCTACTAGTCCTACCACACAAGATCCTGAACTCCACCATCTCGTGGTCGCTGCAACCAAGGCAGCCCTCAACCCTTACTGCTTCAACCAGATCCTCCTTGTTAGTGAGGATGAGATCCAGCAGCGCTCCTCTCCTGGTCGGCTCATCCACCATTTGCAGGAGGAAGTTATCATCCATACACTGGAGGAACCTCCTGGACTGCGGCTGGGTTGCGGAGTGGTCCTTCCAGCAAACATCAGGGAAGTTAAAATCCCCCACGACGACCACGGCCTGTGACTGTGAGGCCGCTCTCAGCTGCCTGTAGAAGGCCTCGTCAACTTCCTCACCCTGATCTGGTGGTCTGTAACAGACACCTACAACAGTATCCCCCCTGCCAGCCTGCCCCTTAATTCTCACCCACAGACTCTCAACTCACTCATCATCTGTCCCTGGACAGAACTCGGTGCATTGTAGTTCCTCCCGCACATAAAGAGCAACCCCACCACCCCTCCTGGCTGGCCTGTCTTTCCTGAAAAGGACATAGCCCTCCATGACTATATTCCAGTCATGTGAGCTGTCCCACCACATCTCTGTAATTGCCACCAGATCATAGTCTCCTGACTTAACACAGGTTTCCAACTCCTCCTGCTTATTTCCCATGCTGCGCGCATTGGTGTGGTGTGAGTCCTGTTTTAACTCGAAAGGAAGCCCAAAACAGCCAAGCAGGTGAGGAACAGAAGAGTGTCGGGCAGACTCACTGAGTCTGTTTCAGCTCCTCCTCATAAGGCAGCTGCTTGTAAGTAGGTCCTGCCACGTGTTGTTATAACGTCACAAGCAACATTTAAGGTAGACTTGACGGTCACATGCCAGTATTAAAGGAAGAAAGGTGGAGAAGCCCAGAACTTTTCCTAGAGGAGAGCGCTGACGTACACGTTTGGCTTGATACGTGTACTCTGCAAGCGCAGGGTAATGGTCTGCAAAGTCGGATTTGCAGAAGGGCACGCCGATTCTTGCCATAATCTGTGTCTCTGCAAGCTCTTAAACGCACAAGTTCAGGCTGGGAACCTGGGTTAGGTGGAAAGAGGCTGGGCAGTATTGTGTCCCCAGTCAGTACAGGCAGCAAAACGGTTACTTGGGCTTTCAAGCTGGAAACGACGGTGCAGTTTTGAGTCCGAGTTCAGTGCTGTTTGATGGATCTCAAGTCTCCTGTAGGAAGTGGTATACTGAAGATCCATGAGCTCCACAGGTTCAGCTGCACCAAAATGAAATCATTCAGGCAGTATGTTTTGGTTCAGGATCTCGTGCCTGTGGCTCTTTGAGGAAAATGCAGAAGAATGTGGAGCTGTGTGTGGGAAGATTGAAAATGAGGCAGCTGAACGCATTGCACAAGGCGTGTTACACTAACCTCCCATGGAACAGGCTGGAAGCTTGTTTTGGTTTGTGCACGGCTGATGGGGAGAAAGATCTAGAATTCTTGTTAATTTCTGTGCCTTTTGATACGGTATCCTTTTTGTGAAATAACAGCATTCCACTATTTATGTGTGCAGAGCTTGCCCCTGGAGACCAGTCGATCACCCACCAGCGCTGTAGGGGATCAGGCTATCCTGACGGAAAGCTTTCTTCAACAGGAACCTGACACAGGATTCTCCCTTTCCACAGAAAATCTTCAACCAAACATCACAGAAGACTGTGGAAGTGGCAGGGAATCTCAGAAATTGAGTTGCAGGGATCAGCTCTCACCGAGCAATCACCTGGTGAGTAGTTTCCGGCGTAGGGTTGAGCAAATCCTCTTGTTCAGCGAATGAGCAATTTGTGGAACTGGTAACTCGCACCGCATCAGAGATGTGTTCATTTATTGTTTTTTAGATTAACAGAGTGTATTTGACTGAGATGATTTAATACTGCACTCACAACCTAAGGGGGTTACTCAGCAAAGCCTGCAGGAGCTGCAAGGGCTGCTATGAGGTCTCCACACAGCCTTCTCCGCTACAGGCTGAACAGCCCCAACTCTCTCAGCCTGTCTTGGTCTGTTGTGGCCTCCTCTGCACTTGCTCCAACAACTCCATGTCCTTCTTCCGCTGAGGACAGCGGAACTGTGCACGGTGCTGCAAGTGAGGCCTCACAACCCTCCCCTTCTATTTTTGTGGGGTTCTGTTGTGGGGTTTTGTTTGCTTTGCTTTGGTTTGGTTTTGTTTGGTTTTTGGTTTTTGTTTTTTTTTTTTGGGGGGGGGGGTGGTTTGGTTTTGGTTGTTTTTTTGTTGTTTTTTTTTTTTGGGGGGGGGGGGTTAGTTTGGGTTTTGGTTTGTTTTTGTTGTTTCTGTGGTTGGCTTTTCGCATCCAGTTCCCAAGGAATTTAAAAATGGCTTCGAAGCGCTCGCAGGCTCAGTTCTGCACTACTGCCCCTTAGCACGTTCTGGAACCCCCGGGCACGCCGCGGCGCGACGGAGCTCCCATTGTTAGCTCACATTATTCGCTCCCCCTGCGGCGGGGCGGGGCGGCTTATCCGCATCAGGCCGGAGCGCCGAAGCGCGGCCAGCAGCGGCGTCACGGAGCTGCACGTTAAGGCGGACGGGAGCAGCTTCCCGGCGCCTGCCTGCAGCTGCCGGGGACAACCCGCGGGGAAGGGCGGGCCGGGGCCAGCAGCCGTTGGTGCTCCCCGCAGCCCGTCGCGGTCGTCGCGCGGCGACGTGAGCTCTGCCACCTCCCGTTGTGTAAGTTAATAACGGAACAGTTGCTTTAGAGCAAGACGGGAGCTCCTGACTGAATTAACCAGCTAGGCCAGAAGCCGTCGGGGAGGAAAGCTTGTGTTTACATACACAGCTTGTTTGCAGAAAGTAAAAGCAAAGGCGTTTGTACCTTGTTGAAATAGGTTACAGTAGTAATGCCCGTGCACCCTCAAATGGATGCTGCATCAGTACGGTTGAAAAGCTGGCCCTGTCAAAGGCACCTGCAAACCCTGGATAGTTCAGGGAAATGTAGATTTTACTGCTGGACGCTCACATGCTTCATAGCCCTGTCAAGGATAAGTTGGTGACAGAGCAGGCTTCCCCAGCAGCCTGTTTAGTCAAACATGGGCATGCATCTCTCTGCATATGTTATTACCCTGTGACATCCGTGCAGTGGCTGAACGTTTGGAGACCAGGAATGTAGAATTAAAGAAACACCAGTTAAAAAGAAGTTGGAATTCTTTCAGTATGTGCTTCCTGCTTCTCCTGCCTTTGTTTATTTTTAAATTCAAGTGGACCTCTTGTTCTTTTAAGGCTGTTTATTTACCAGCAAAAGTGACATTTTTCACGGTTCTGAGGAGGGAACAAATATTAAGGGTTGGTTTGCTTTCAGATCTGTAAACTTAGTGTGCACATCTACTACTTAGTCTCGCTAGCTGCAGGTTGAGGTGGGTGCCTGAGAGGCATCCCGTCTTTCCCATCCGTATCTTTGTATGGCTTGCAGAAGGGTTATCCCATGTTATCTTACCTGGGATTAAAACCATGACCCAGAGATCAGCTCCTTCATCTAATCATCAAAGCATCTGTGCTCCTGTTGACTGTCACTTGCTCTAAGTGGGTTCACAAGGTTTCACATCATGCTAGTGCGGCCTCTTCCCCAGCCGTAAATCATTTTGCTCACTCAGGAGTGTGAGATGCTGCAAATGAATGTCACAAACTGAAACAGAAATGTTTTCAGTCGTATTTCTTCCTGTTGGAGATTTGTTGCTTCTACTGAGGTGTTCCTGCGCTTTAATCTAGGCTTGCTCTCCATGTCTTTGTGTTTCCAGGCTTGTTTCTTTTCTTCTGCTGTTACAGGGGTGGGAGGGGGTCGCTCTCTTGCAGTAATTGATGCAACGTCCTTCCCCTTGTTTTCTCCTTGCTTCCTCAACACTGCTGCTTTGAATTTGTATTTGGAGTTACCTTTTAATCTGTAGCTGTATTTTTAATGCTTGTTTTTTTCTCTCCACTCCTTCCCCTTTCCACAGCTGTTTCCATTCATCACAGGGCTATCTGGCTGTCTGAAGGGAGTGCCCTGATGGCATATTTGAAGTTGAACTAACTGTAGTGGAGCCTATAGCCTGGCTTGTCATACTCTTGGCCAAGCCTGTAGTTCTCTTTAAGAGCTGCCCTGAAATGCAGCATCACTGCTGGGGGAAGGGGAAAATGGATATCTTGGTTCTCCCATTCATCCTGGAATTCCTGGGATGCCAGTGGGACAGCTCAGGCTCTGTGCATAGCTCCCTGGAGATCTTGACCCAGACCCCTTGCTTTAGGCAGGTATTCATACAGCTGCCATGTAGCTCGCTGGGTTGAATGATGAAGGGCTCAGCAGAGATTGGCACAGATGCTGGCTTAGGTAGCTGCTAGTCCTTTGGGAAACGTGCCATGAGAGTCAGCGTCACGTGGGGGCTCCTGCTGCCTTGCTGTTCCAGGCAGGTGAATACTGAACAGATTTTGTTGTTCCTAAACATCTTAGGCCAATCTCTGCAAACACTCGTTACAATATAGTGGTGAGTGCTTGTGGCTTGTTTGTGGCTCTAACAGGTCTCTCTGAAACCAGCAGAGGTGTTTATGGGAGCATTCCCAGCATTTACAAGCTTTTCCAGAAGTCGGTGTCTTGAACTGTAGGTGTGTTTGATGCAGAGATTGTGCCTCAGCCTGCCAATATTGAGGATTGTGCAGAAATCTGTCAAACTAGTGAACCTCAGAAATTCAAAGGATTTGTTGTCTTGCGGAAGAAATCTGTTCTTTAGGTTACATCTAACCTTCCTGTTGTGTAGTATTTCACACCATCGTCCTGAACGTAACTGAAAGACGATTTAGGCTGCTGGGGAGAATTGAGGGATTCACACAGCTCTGAAATACCTGCAGGAGAGTGCAGAGGGGTGAGTCTTAAATTTTGCAGTGAAAAATAACTTTGGAGACTGTGTGCACCGAAACACACAGACAAAGGAAATTAACAGTTGGGGTTTATGTTTTGTTTGCTGTAACAGGCATTCTGGACATCACTGTACTGTAATGAGTCGCTGCTTTGGAAACCCAAGATTTTTCACGTTTGCTCGTTTGACTTTCTCTTTTTTCTCTCTGCTGACTCTGAGGAAGGACGTTCCTGGGTTGGCCTTTGTGACCATTGAAGCACAGCTTGAGTGACATCTACTGAGCACAATGCGTTGTTCTTTTGTAAAAAAGATGTTTGATACCTCTTTTCGTCTTCCAGTTGAAGCTACTCCATTAGTATTGACGTGACTCACCTGAAGGCGTCATAATGGACAAGAGCAGCGACAGGTATGGATAATTTGATGTATTCGTGGCTTCCCAAGTGCTGTGCCAAATTCTGAGAGGTTTGAAAACAATAGTCCCCCCATCAATGCAAGCATCGTAATGACTGAGTGGGAGAGGAGGAGTTTCATATCTAACATTCTGTCTTTACGAAAGGCATCAGTTCTTTGGTAAACCAGAATCTGCTGCAAAACGGACAGTGATTAACACTGGATATCAACGTGACCCTCGTGTAGATGTAGCGCTTAGGGACACCTTTCAGTGGTGGACATGGTAGTGCTAGCTAATGGATGGGCTGCATGATCTTCATGTCCTTTTCCAACCTAAATGATTCTGTGATTCTCACGGATGAGAGCAGTCCCTTGTCCCGTGGAAACTACTCATCGCAGGGAGGTGAGGTGTTTGTTTACAACATACCTTGCCTCGATACTTCCTGCACCAGCCCCACTGCTTCGCATCCTGTCCTTTTCACAGCCTCAGCGTAGCAGGGGGCAATGTTGCCATCCCAGTGATCTGTGTGAAGCAAGCCAGCCTTTAAAGTAAGGATTTCTGCACTCATTTGGATTTCTGCACGCATTTGGATTGAGAAAAGCAATGCTGCTTCATATGGTTATGGAATATTTTATGGCATTTGGAACGATAAGTGGATAATGCCAAGGAAGACGATGCAAATTGCTCCCGATGGCTGCCAAAAGCTAGTAGGGCGCAGCCTCTGCTGCGGTCTGGTTCCTGGGAGAAGGTGATTTCTCTTTGAAATCTATTTTCATCAATTTAAATATTGAAGGAGAAAGGGTTGTTTCAATTTCTTTTCTCAGAAGTGTTCGATTCCTAACATCTGTAAAGCAGTTTCTTTCGTAACAGGCTGCATCCAACTTAGTCTTCTGTTGTTGTTAAAGTCGTTGGGTTTTTTTTTTGATTCTCTCAGGTATTTTACTCAGTTTCTTCCCTTTGGCCTGCTGCTGCTCTAGCCTCACCGTAGCTATGCTGTGTGGTGAAATCTAACTGCTTTTCATGATTTGCCCAGCAAGGATGTGCTGCTGGCAGTCAGCTTTGGCTCTGGAAAGTGCCAAGTTTAAGAAGGTGCTATGAAGCAAGGCTATGTAAAAGTGCTTTGCTGATTCAGGGTCAGCAGAGAATTTTGCTGCCTCAGCCTTCTTCAGACTTGCCACTGCTTACAGCACACAGCTTCATTCACCTTGTTAAGCTGGTTTTTGTGTATGCTTCCACATATGGGTTTCTGAATTTTGCTTGCCTTCCAAGTGTATTTGGAAGCAGAAGTTCGGGGATCAGGTGAATCTATTTCTCCAGGTACATGGAGCCCTTAAAATTGTGTGGTTTATGGTTTATAACCTGTGCTTGACAGTAGCACAGGCTGCATGGCTATTCCTGGACTACTGGTGGAGAAAGACGCAAGATGTTCTACTTTACAGCAAAGAGATTTTAGGAAAGCTTACTAGCCATGCATTTAATGATTTTAATATCGCTTGGTATCTATTCCTTCTTCATTGGTACTCTGCTTGATTGTTTCACAATACTTAAGCTTCTGGGATTTGTGCCAGAAACTTAATGGGTTATCATCTCTTTATTAGTGTAATGTCACACTGCATTTTTTCTTGAGGTAAGGGATGCTGTATTCCCCTTTGAACAGTCCCTGATTCGGTTTTGTTGGAATCTTGCAACCAGCGCTAGGTACTGATTGCTACTGTTAAGTTTTTTCTTTCTGTTGGTGTTTCTTTTATTTAATGCTTCTTGAAAACACAGTGTGCAAAGATTTATTTCGTAATATTACCGCCATGCGTGCCCACCCAGCCAGCCCCCTAAGTAGCATTGTAACAGAAGAGACCCGGGAGCAAGGAAATTTCACAGCAGGTGAAAATTACTGACTTCCCCAAGCTCTGGGGACATGTGGAAAACTCTCAGGTGCTTCAGGAGGACTCAGTTGAACAGAGGAACAAGGGAAGAGATTTGAAAATCCATGGGTGTGTGAGGTGAGCAGGACTGAACCAACACTCAGGGCAGACACTGTTAAATGGAGAGCAAAGAGATGCCACACTTCCGTCTGGAAGTACTGGGTTGGGCAATGTATCAGCACCTGCACTTTGTATGGAAACGTTGTCACTTTAGGCTTGAAACCTCTGAGTCGTGTTGTTTGTTTTCCCTTTCTCCCATGTAAAATTGTAAGTATATGGCCAGGTAAGATGGTGCTGTGTACATAAAATACATCTAATGTTCCCACCACCTGTGCTTCATCACTGATGCCTGAGGTCAGTAGCCCGGCATTTTCAGGAATTCAGAATTGAGAAACAACGGCATCCAGGTTGCCTGCACACCTTTGCTTGTTCTTCTCTTGGATTTGAATTTCTATGCAGTGTTTATTTAAATGAGAGGCTTTATCTCTGGAGACCCCCATTTTTATTCAGCGCGTAAGTAGGTAAGAATGGATCTTCTAAAATTCACATGCTCATAAACAGCTTAAATACATTTGGAATTAGGATCACCAGTAGGAAGCTTGTCCTGTTAGGTTTTTCAGAAGTATTACTTTGGTAATCCTCTTCACCTCAGAAGTGCCCTTTTGAGTTAAGGATAAGCTGCAGAGTACAACAAGCTTACGTTATCGATTTGTTTTGTTTGCATTGTACCTAATGGGGTCAGTTTCCTTCACTCGCAACACATCTGTCAGAGACAAGGACCTGAAAAAGGGGACACTTCTATCCCTGATCAGTGAATAAAAACACAGGTGGGAAAAGCTAATGTTGAAAAGAGAAGCAAGGGCGGGGCGGGGGGGGGGAGTGTCTACAGGTTACAGGGTATGTTCTGGCAGGAAGCTTTCTTCAGGGAAACGCTCATTTATCAGACTTGAAATGTTCCCCAGGAACTTAGCGTTTTTCATCAAGTCTTGCAATGAAAATGGCGTTCATTTTGTTGTTGGGGCAATGACAGCACTGGGGTAGAGGCTCGAGGAGCTTGTTACGAACACTGACTCCCCTTCTCTTGTAAGCGGGTATTTCACTGCCAGGATAGGTTTGTCCTGAAGACTGCCAGTGGTTCATGGTCATGTCTTGGTCAGTGCCTGGGTGTCAGTGATTCTAACATTTCTTAAGTGCCCTTTTCATCACAGTGTATCTGTTTAAGGAATATGTTCAAAAAAAGGCCAGCAGGTACCTCTGTGCCACAGTTCTATTGGGTCATCCTCTTGATTATTTGCAGGTTTGCAGTCTCTTCAGAGCCTCAGCAGAAGTCTGTGCTCTGTGCTTTGAAGAAATGGATGGTAGGCAGTGTGAAGCAGGGTTAGGTTTTTTAACTGTCTCGCAGGGTTTCATAGGCATTAGTGAGACAAGCACTGAAATACAGAAGTTGAATTATGGCATGGAGAAATAAGAAATGTAACTGCATTCAGTATCATAGTGAAAAGCCTTCTTTTCAATGGCTTCTTCCATGACTACAAGACTGATTATGCAGGAAAACATTAAAGCATTGACCCGTTAAGAAAATGCTGTTTAAACCTCATACCGCAGAGCAAATGCAAGACTGCTGCCTACATCTAGGGGGGGTGTAGATACAGTTGGCTCGCTGGTTTGCAGCACATTTCTTCAATGCTGTGATATTGGATAGTGTACGTTATGTCCACATCTAGCATTGGAACCTGCTGCAAGCCCTGTGACATATGCTGCAAGCCATATGACATATGCTGCAAGCCATATGACAAGTCACACCCCTTGAAATTCCCTAAGCAGGGGAATTAAATCCTTTTCGGGTGACTGTTCCTGTCTAAGGTAAAAGCTCGGCATGGGGGGGCAGCTTTTCTGAAGTCACGGTGTTTGATGACGCAGTGCCGTTTAAGGTACCCGTTAAATGCCTTGTTAGCTTTTAGGATGCTTTAACGAGCATGTCAGAAATGCCAAGGGGAGAAACTCCTCTCGTTGCTCTTTAGCCCCCCCCCCCCCCGCTCCCCTGTGCTCCAGGCGAGGGATGAGTACAAGTAATTAAAACGGGTGGTATATCCTGCACAGAACTTTGGCGCTCCGCAGTGTGTTTTCACAGTGGTGCTTTTCGACAGGCTTGAAGCCAAGAGGTGTAATTAAAACGGGTGGTATATCCTGCACAGAACTTTGGCGCTCCGCAGTGTGTTTTCACAGTGGTGCTTGAAGCCAAGAGGTGGCTTAACGTTGCAGACTGCAAGATGACAGAGCCCTGAGCTTTGGGGAAGCAGGACGGGAAGGTTGACTGCTTCGTTAACAGCTGAACTCTTCTCTGGCTCTGACTACCTGCTCTCTCTGCATGTGGGGAGACTGGGAGCACTTCAAGTGGCAAAGGCTTAAGTTTGCGGCATCCTTTCCCTTTCCTTTGTATGATGACTTACTGGCATGATTTGCTGGCCTGCTGTATCAGCCCGTTGCTTTAATAGGCTGCGTGCTAAGAGGGGCTACAGCATAAATGTTAGCGCCACTGGCTGGCTGTGAAGCTTGGCTTGGCTCCAAGGCTAGGGCCACGCTTGATGTCTTGGAGGTCACACAGCCGTTTTCTTGGGTGGCAGGAGGGCACATGGGAGCAGGGCCTAGCAGGAAGCTTGCCATCAGACAGCAGTTTTCCATAGCTCACATTGTGTCAGGAAGCCACTTTTGCAGTAATTGGACCTCTTGATTAACTGTTTCAGGAAAGCCATGGCTCTATCTTGACCTTCAGTAGGGGATCATCGGTGTGGTATTTGAGAAAATGTCAGTGGTGGGGAAGGCAAGGCTCTTCCCTTCCAAACTGGGACGCTCGAGAAGTTGAGTGTACTAAGAAGAACATAGGAATTGCATGTATGCAGTAGACTGTGCGGTAGGGTAGAAAGAGGAGGGAAGAGAGAAAAATAATGCATCCACATAGTGTGCCTGTGAGTAGAGTAGAAGCAGGAGAGGAGGCCAATGCCTGCATCCACATACTGTGCCTCCGTGCTGCTGCTTGACAAATGTCCATTAATAGTCCCAGATTTTGCAGGAGTATTTCACAGAGGTGGTGTAGTTTAAAGTCTCTGGCTTTCCGTGAAGTTATTCTGCAGCGCATGTGACGCAGCTTTATTGCTGTTTTGATGTGGGGCTGGCGGAATTGAGTGTATGCGTATGTGGTTGAGGAGGAACAGGGGGATTTGACCTGGCGCTTTCCAGATTTCTGAGACCACCACTTTAAATACATTTGCACGATTGCTTTAAATGCAACTGCATGGTTTGGCAGGTAAGCAAGCAGCTTTCTGACTGCCCATTTAAAGTAAAGACTAAGTTTTCAAGCCTGTTTATAAAGCTGGCAAAGTTCAGTCTCTGAAAGTGGCAACACCTTCAAAATAGTAGATTCTTTTTTACCCTCAGGTGAAGAGTTAGACAGAATCACAGAATCGTGAGGGTTGGAAGGGACCTCTGGAGATCATACAGCCCACCCGCCCTGGCAAGGCGGGGCCACCTAGAGCAGATGACGCAGGAACGTGCCCAGGCAGGTTTGGAATGTCTCCAGAGAGGGGGCCACCACTACTCTCCTGGGCAGCTTGTTCCAGTGCTCTGCCACCCTTGATGTAAAGAAGTTCTTCCTCACGTTGGGGTGAAGCTTCTTGACTTTTAGTTTGTGGCCATTGGTCCTGCCGTTGAGCACCACTGAAAAGATTCAATGGACGGATAGTTTTTCCCTTCCCACCTTTCTTGATGTATGGTATCAAGAGTAGAAAGCCCTGAGAAGGATGCTTGCTGTACCTTGTATGTATTATAGCACCATGCGGTGACATGACGTAACTGATTTGCCAACTGTAAGCATCCTGTTCAAAATGACTTTCATGCTGGACATGCACTGTTGTCTGAAAAGCACAGTAGGTACTTGTTGGTAACAGTGGTGTAAAGCGTTAACCATCCTTTCTTTCTCTCTTTCCTAAAGCTTATGCAATGAGGACAGAAACCTGCTGCATGCTAGAGAGAGAGAGAGACGAATTAGGGAGGCTCAGCAGGAGCAAAACAAGCTCCCTGAGAAGCCTCCCGTCTTTGCAGCACCCTACAAGGTAATGATGGGGGGGGGGGGGGGGGTGTGGGGATGTGTGTGTGGTGGAGGGAGAGGAGGAAAGATGGTTGGAGCGTAAGAGCAGAGCTGTGGCTTCTGCATATGGTGTAGCAGAGTTGAGTGTGATACGTGCAGAACCAGCATCTTCCCATCTGCTTAACTTAAGCTCATCAGAGTATGTGTTTAAAGCTCTGAAGATGGTGCAAGCGCAGTAAGGTCTTTGGGCTGGGCAGATTCATTTGGAGGCTACTTCCTGTAGTTTGGGAATTTGAGGGAGAGCACCCAAGAGCAGCTTGGCTGCCTGTCTGCGTGCAGCTGTGATAGAAACAAACGGGTCTGCTGTTAGTGTTCCTGAAGACTGCAGGCACACCTACAAGTTTGGCTCAGAAGAACTAAGAGTGAGCAGAGCAGTCCCACTTGCTTTGGAGGGACCGCACTGCAGGATCAAGATGAGCTTGCCTAACTTTGCTTGTGGTGATACATGGTGATGCAATTAAGATCCTGACGAATCTCTCTTACAGAGCTGAGTCTCCTGAAGTTGAGGGTCCGTGCTTTTTCCATTTCTGCCTCTGTTCTTCTGTTGCAGACTCATAAAGGAGATGACTTGTCAAACCAAATTCGGAACGTGCTGGGCAATTATGAGGATGTCATGGGGCTCATCAACTCCAAAACCCAATGGAATTTCTTAGGGCTTCACGAAGTCCTTCCTCCGGTCTCACCTGAAGCACCTCATTTCCCACACTCCCTTGATGAAAATACCAGCCCTACATCACCTTCATTCCATGACACAGCCCACCATCCACCCACTACGGCTGTAAGTGCTCCTCCTGCTCACCGCTCAAGTCCCTGCGAAAAGGCACAATCAAGGGCAAAACCACATTCAGGTTTGCACGTGCAGAGCGGCAGCTCATCCGACGGTCAGAGCCAAAGTCGCAAACGCAGTTGTGGTGACAAGGAAAGTCACGAAGGTCTTCATCGCAAGGGAAGTGACAGGCGTGCGGCTGGTGAAGGTCGTGCTCATGATCTGGACTACTCCATTTTCTCATTTTCTTCATTTCTGACACCTTTGCCTCCTCCACTGGAACCTCTGTCACCTGTGCGTTCCGACCTGCACGTCAGTTCCAAGTCAGAAAAGAGCAGCAAAAGCCAGGAGCTGACCTACAGTCAAAGAAAATCGTTTCAGGACCTAGTGACAGGATCAGAGGAAGAGGAAAGTCAGGACGGCTCAGACATTGACCTGAGCAGCAACACTCGGCCTTCCTCTCGGACGGTTCCTACAGCTTTGCCATCAAAGCCCAGCGCGATGCAGCAGAAACCAACTGCCTGTGTGAGACCAATGGATGTCCAAGATCAGGCGCGAGAGGAATCGCCAGGTCTCAAACCTCTCCTGGAGGAATACCATAGAGAGCCCTTAGAAAAGATCTCGGATCTGAAGGTGAATGCCAGAGCCAAACTATTCAAATCAGAAATCCCTTCTGAGCCCGTAAAGGTGAGTTAGGAGACTCTGTTGCTGGCAGGGTAAGCTCAGCTATGGGAGGACAGGTCACCAAAGGGCAGAGACTACGAGCAGCATTGATGGCTGTGCACACTTTATCATTTTTAGAAGGTGTATTTTAAGAGTGCCTTTTGCCAGTACATCTGGGGGAGATACCTGGATGGTGAAAATGCAGCACTCGCCATGATTCCGTGTCTGTTTTATCAGTGAGGCTGCAGCAGGCCTTATGGTTAGAGCGACTGCTTCTGTTGCTGTGACTTTTGTCTTGCCTGTAAAGATTGTTGAAAAGAAGAAGGGGGAAATGATACGCTGAGAGGTCAGGGGATGATGTACCTACAGTCAGTGCATGCAGAGCGTCGGTACTCAGTGCTGGTGAGTAGAAGTCCCATATGTTCGCTGAGTACTGGGACAGCTGACTGTGCAGGGAGTTCTATGGTCACCTGGTAGGATGAAGGTTTTTGGGCTTTTTGGGGTTTTGGGTAGTTGTCTGTTAGGGTTCTCCTAAGTGAGTTTGTACGATGTAACTGTAGACCCTCAGGGAAGTATCAATGTAAACAAAAAATATCCTGAAGATTTCTACCAGATGGACTTAGCCCTTGGGAAGCACGAGACCATTCTGTTTCCCGCTCCATCGAATGTTTTTTGAGCAGTTTCTCGAAGGAAATTTAGTGCAGAAATGGAATTGTAAATCATAAGCAAGATCCTGAAAGCCCTCTAAAATTCTGCATTCAGGGAAAGACTGGAGGCTCTTTCTTGTCCCCCAGCTATGAGCAAAAGGAGCAGAGCACTTTTGTGTTTGTTGTTGTCAGCAGAAGGCATCCTGGGCAGCAAGCTCGAGCATATCTTAGTTCTAGTCACTGAACTTGTCCTTTCTCTGCCAAGGACTGAGAGCTAAGGCAGCTGGGCAAGGAGAGAGGTGGAGAGAGTTTTGTGTTTTGCCTTTGTAAGAGAAAGGGAGAGTGTGGGTGCCGTCTGCCTTTTGTGGAAGAGGGTGTTGATCAGCTGCAAGTGGCTGTAGGCAATTTCTTGTGGAAAATGAGAGTTCCATATTTTTCCTTATAAAAAGGCTAATAACTCTTTCTGTGTGAACTTTAAAACAGAAACAAATTAAAAAAACAACCCCTACAATTCCTGAACCTGAAAGAAGTCAGAAGAAAATCTTGTGTTAACTACCTGCCTGTACCTCCTGTACTTGATGCAGTTTCGCTGCTTTTGTTTGCTCTTCACCAGTGTTGCAGTTTCCCCTGTGTAGCCAGCTCTCCTGTGGCTTGCAGGGGCCTTTTTTACGGCAGCAGCTGCAGTTTTGTTTGCCCTCTTAAGAAAGGGTAGACGTTCCCCCTGCATCAAACACTTGTGGGAATCGGTGAGCGGATGAAAGAAAGAGATCTGTTGAACAAGTGCACTGTGTCTGCAGCAAGTGATAAACATCCCTTAAAAACATGCTTAAGGACCGCCCATGCTGATAGTTTGCTTGCAGGATGGTGCCTGCCTGACTAGAAATTATTTTAATCACAAGGTTTTATCCTGAACTGCACAAGTTAGTCATACTGCTTTTCAACTTTTCTAATCGCAGTTGGTGTTCCCTTGAGTCCAGGAACTGGCATTTAAGAGTCCGGTGGGTTATTCTTCCACTTACAGCCACCTTTACTTTGCCTGCTCCCAGTTTAGGGCTTTATACTGGCTTCTTATTCTGCTGAGTGCACGTGGGTGCACAGAAGGACACAAGTTAGGAAGCAGGGAGAATCCTGTCAGCTGGACAAGCGCCACTGTTTAATGAACTCCCTTTCACTTTGGTTCTTTCTCATCTTTATTAGAATATATCTTCTACTAAAGACTTGAAAACAACAGGCTTTGTAGAATAAAGTGCCCTTCTGATGGGGCTTTTTAGCCTTTTCTTATTAAGGGACTCCCGTGGCCTTTGTAGAACTGTTGGTAAGCAAACGTTTGATGAGTGCCTCTGTTTATCTCTGTCAGCTGGTAAACAAAGAAAGAAACTCATGCTGCTTCCTTCTTTTTATTTGCTTGTAGCCCTTCCGCTGGGATGCCCAAGCCGTTAAGGAAATTTTGAAGGTAGGTGCTCTTAAATAATAGATCTAGGTGTTTGTGTTTTGTATACATTGAAGTAGTGGTGGGGGGAGGAGGAGGAGTATCACCGCGTGCATGGCACTGCTGCTGGACTGGGCTTCTCTGTCGCTGTAATTACGGTACATTTGCGCAAATGTGAGCCAGCTCTTAATGCAAAACTGCCTCTGCAACCTGTGTCAGAGATGGCTTTGTGGGCAGCGCCCAGGCTGCCAGTACTCAGCTGGGTCTGAGTACATGGGACCCTTTCACCGAGCACAGAGTGCAAATAAGATAAGTGTTCCAGGAAAGGCAGTGAGGGTGGCAGGCCATATGAATTCCTTTATTTCTGGGAGTGAGTATTACACTCTTCAGGATTTAAACTTAATAGGAAAGTCTGTCTTGTGTGATTTCAACAGAGTGGTTCTGAATTTCTGAGCCCCAGCTTCCCCAAAGGCTTTGTCTAGATTGACCCCCATTAAGGTGTTTTAGCGTATGTTCAAGACAAAGATCGTTGTCTGTGCTAGGCTGTTCACGTGTTTGTTGCAGTGCAAGCCAAAGCTTTAGCCCAGTCCTCTGTGTCCAGCTGTGGTGCCAGAAGAGGCAGGTTGGAGGTTGATCCCTATCTCCTGGCTGTGGTCTGTGTGCTCTGCTCTCAGCCGGACCATGGCTTAGCCCAACTAGCTGGTACCTGGGTGAGAGTTAGGGCAGGGCAACAGGGCAGCAAGGCTCCTAAAGACATAGCCCATCAGGCAGTCGCTCTCTTTGGTTTGAAACCACATCTTGGAGCTCTGCAGCAAAGGCATCTTGGTCAGTCAGAGCAAAAGGCAGTGTTTCAGGTAGAATAGCATGAGGAATGGCTGGCAGTCAGAGCTCCCTAGCTGACCCCCTTGAGTTTTGAAAAGCCTTTCAGGGGGGTGTTGTTGCTGTAATAGGAACATAATAGGAAGTTCCTGAACTTTGAAAAAGTCCAGAGCTACTCGTAGACAGGTTTTATGTCCTTTTCCCTTTATTAACTGTGATAGCCTAATGCAAACATAGGAAGTATTTAACTCTCTACAAGCTTCACTGAGATTGCTGCTAATTGGGCAATGCAAGTATGCTTGGAGAAAAGGAGCAAGTGCTCATGACGGTCTGGCTCGCTGAGCTCAAAGAGGGCTTCTTGCTGTGGTATTGCCTCTTGGGTTTACGATGGGCTCAGCTATTTATTGTACGTGAATATAAATGTCTTTGAGGTACAACTTCAGTTGCCTGGATCAGCAAAAATACTGTAACCCACTTCTGTCATTTGCTTTCCAGGAAATGACCCAGTCATGGCCACCTCTTCTGACAGATATTCCTACTCCTCCTACTGCAGAGCCTTCCAAATTTCCATTACCAACAAAGGTAAACACCCTCTTTTTGCCAAGGCTTTTGATAAATTAGAAGAGAGCTTTCCAACTCTTGCACGTGCTTTCATCTGATGAGCTTTCCAACTCTTGCACCTCCTTTCATAGGTAAAGGCTTTTAGGAGAAATTATCTTTAGAAGTCACAATGGATTTTGAATTGTGTGATGGTTACTTGCCATGCATCACTTCTGTCCGTGCTAAGCTACATCAGGCAAGCTTAGACTATTGGAGACTTCGGAGTTATTCTTTGTCACGTTGCTCAAAGTATCGATTACAGTAACAAACACAAGGAAATCGGATCACTGATACGGTGCTATTGAGAGATGATGTATTTGATTCTCAATTTGCACCTTGTGCTTTCTTTCTAGGAGTCGCAGCCTGTTGGATGTGTAGCACAGAACCAGAGTAAGTAGAAATCCAAAGGAAAGCACACTGTTCTATGTGTGTTGACAGATGGTTTTGAGTGTCATACATTGAGAACATCAAATGCTTACCTTGATTAAGGGACGTGGTTTCCTGTGCTTTGTTAAACATTGATGAGTTTAGAAAATGCTGAAGAGACTGTATGCATTCCTTACCTAGAAATTAAGGCAGCAGTTCAGCAGAGAACAAACAGTATTTCATTTGGAAGCCCCATTTGGAGTGATAAATAATCTCAATGGCAATCAGTTACGTCCTGGAAGAAAGTGACTTTCTAATCTGATGCTCAGAGACCATAGGGTAAAATACGCTACCGGTGAGGCAGATAAACCCCACTGATTCTCTTTTGATTTACAGGACAGTACGATGGACCTTCGGATACGTTGCCTCGTTCTCAGACAACAGTATCGTAAGTTACCAGACTCAGTTGCCATCTCTTGGTTGAGATTGTAGAGTCTTGCACTCAAGCTCTGTAAGGTCTGTAAAACTCAACCCTTTTTGTGCTGTTCTGACATTCTGCAGAGGAGCCTCCCCTGGCTGGTAGCGTGGGATAGTGTCTTCCTGAGTAGTTAGCTGCTGCTTTAATCCATTCTTTCTTTTGCTGCTCCTTCTTCCACCCCAGCTTTCTCCTCCTGAATGACTTCTGGGACTTTTCTTTGCACTGTTAAACGCACTAGTTTCAACTGCTGCAGGCTCTGCCTTCCTCCATAGACAATATTTTTCAGCTCTTCTCAGCTGCCTGTAAAAATCCCTTTTGAGCCTGAGTCAGTTTTCCAGGCAGCAGAGAGAGAAGAGACTTTTACTGTAGACAAGAATCTGAAAATACGCCTTTCTTAGCGCAGAGGTCCAGAATTGTAACTTTGGCATGGTACGTACCTCTGTCCTTCGCCAACATCCCCTCTCTGCTCAGCGTCCGTGCGGGCTCTTCAGAGCCAGTGTACCCACAGTCAGCAAAGACAGCTGAAGTGGGAGGAAGAGGGTGGCTTAGGCTAATGTCCAAAATGGAGTCAAGAAAGATTTCCCCAGGGACTTCCTCTGCACCTTTCCCTTGAACCGATGCATCCCTTCCTCTTTGTTTTTCTGTTTTCACTCGCACAACAGGGCTTGCTTTCTTTGCTGTTTAAAGCACACGTGACTGAAAATCCAGCTGCCTGGAGTAGCTTGCCTTACCAAGTGTAGCTGGCTGAAAACAAACAGCGCTTGTGCTGCTTAATTAGAAGCAGCCCTGAAATCCCAGGGCGCTCGTGTGCCCAAATGAAGCATTCGGCTTTACAGTGCGTGCAAGGGTTTCCCAGACGGCTTTCATTCTTGAATACAGCCCGAAGTTAGCACCTGGCAGCGCTGGAATGGAAGAGCCCTTCTTTTAAAAGGGGAAACGTCTCACTCATTTGCGGCGATGCATCTTTAGCCCAGCTGGCGGGGAAGGACCAGCCTTTGCTTTCAAGCGATGCTGATTTTAGTGCTCCTTCTCTCACTAACAGAGCTTTTATATAGCTTTGGAGGGAGATTGATGGTGTGTATCTAAGCTGGAATAGAACAGGTCCTGCAAATGAAAACTTGGCGTCTGTTAAGGCATGAGCTAATTAAGGCAGTCTAGTTGTTGAAGCAGATTGATTGTCTTTAAGGAGGCTAGTTCAGAATTTGTTGAAACCTTGTTTTGGGGAAACTGGCTTTGTCTGTCCTTGCAGAAATAGGACTTATTCCAAGTTTTAGTGTTCTTCCTTGATCCTAAATTGAACTAAAGTAGTTGCAATGTTCTTTTATGCCGATGCATTTTATTTACCAGCAGCTCAGGTGAAAAGGCAGACATTTTTATTAGGAGCAGTTAAATCAGATTTAAAAGAAGCTCTAGGTAACATTTCTTTGCATTATCCTCCTACCTCAAAGGGAAATGTATCTTTAGCCCACAACTCTTAAAGCAAGCCAAAATCACTTTCAGAACGTTTTAGTATCATTTTGAAGAACTGTTTCCCTTAACGAGTTGGAAAAGAAAAGAATTCATAGAGCTGCCGGTAGACATTTGTCCAAACTGCCCAGAAGTGGCTGTGTTGTTGCTATTCTTGCTTTTTCCCTTTTGTGTCTCGGTGGACTGGCAGCGAGTTTCGGCTCTAGCCCACGTGTGAAGTTGGAGCGTGCAGGGTTGCTGCAGACTGTGTGCCGTTTGCCTTCTGTAGGAAGTTCAGGGGCCTCGTTTTCCAAGGTGGTGTCTCATAGCGCTTCCCTTCAGTGTTTCCTGTAAAAGAAGAGGCAAGAGGTGAATTCCACTGAAAAGGTGTGTGAGGAAACGGGCAGCAGAGGAGACGGGGGGATGGAGGAGGACAGCCACAGGGCAATGGCACAGGCCAAATGCAAAGAGAGCACGGTAGGCCTTTGGGTGTAATCAAAGTCTGTGTGCGCAGAGAACCTCTTGTGCATCAGGGTAAGGTACTGGGGGACTGTGGGGTTGGTACCTTTTCAACAGGCATCATCTGTGTGGCAAGGGTTGGCTCTGTACTGGTAGACACAGGAGACCTTTGGGGTTTCTTCGCGCCGTCCTGCTCCCTGGACAAGAGTGGATTTGTCACATCTGATTTGTGGAATTGATGATGCTTTCTGTCCTTGGGGACTCAGTGCAGCCCAATAGCACGCCAGTCTCTTAATGTACAAGGATCAGAGTTCTTCCACCCTGTGCTGCTGCGTTAGTGCGCTGGACAAACTTAAGCGAGGAGCATTCCTCTCACAGAGCTTCATCTTTGTTGTGTGTAGATGGCAGCCAATGATACTGACATCCTTTTCAAAATGTCCTGAGATTAGTTGAAAAGTACAATATAATGTTCCTAGATTGTGTGTTACCATTTTATCATTCATTAACGGCAGGGTTTAGCAGATAGAGAATGCCAAACATTCCTAAAGAATGTGGGAGGTTGGTTTCTTTTGGCAAGCACAAACCAAGTCGTTTTCAGTGTCTGGTACTTGAAAGTACGTCTGCCTTGGCTGATACTTATCTTCTGGTTGTCTTTCAGAGTGCTGCTCCAGGAAGACCTGCAAGTCAGTGATAGCGAAGACAGCGATGACAACCAAGTCGGTTTTAGATGTTTTATACGCTGGGCGCGCAGACATCCCTTTAAATCATCAGGCCTTGTTGCGTTGTTCCGAATGCCTTAAGCTAACCTTTACTCTCATTCTCCTCCTTCTTTTTTGTGAACAAAACAGGTTGCTGACAGTCCACTTGCTCCTCCAAGGTACAGCTTTGTTCTTGAACTAACAGCTAGACTAAATAAGAAGGGAAAAACAAACTACGTCTTAATATATGGGGTGCATGGGTAAGGGGTTCCTTGTTTCTCCTGTAGATACAGGATTTGGTGTCTAGCTGCCCGAAGCTGCTGTTGAAAATTGGCGTTAGTTGTGTGGGGTTTTACAGAAAGCTCCAATGAGAAATGAATAATCCAGGCATGCTGGATTTTTCTTATCAACCAGAATTATATTTCCCCAAGTTCTCTTGCCCTCCACCAGAGTATCTGAAGATCACCCTGGAGCCAAGGGGGTTCTCAGTTGTAGTAGTGCTGGGTGAGGTGTGAGTCCAGTTTTAGTTTAGAAGGAAGCCCAAAACAGCCAAGCAGGTGAAGAACGGAAAAGCGTTGGGTAGACTCACGGAGGCTGTTTCAGCTCCTCCTGATAAGGCAGCTCCTTATAAGTAGTTCCTGCCATGTATTGTTAGTCAGAAGCAATATTTAGGGTAGACTTAACGGCCACCTGCCAGTATTACAAGAAGTGGAGAAGCACAGAATTTTCAAGATTTTCAAGAAACTTGCCTCCAATCCATACAAATGTGTTGATTCTGACGTATGGAACAAATTTCAAAGAGAAAAAAAAAATATTCACAAGCCCATTTCGAAACAAAGGACTGCATCCAAGTCATGGCTCTTCCTCAGTTCCATTCACTCCTGTTGCCAGTGCTGGAGGAAAACACTCCTGAAGAGAGGAGAGTCTTGCAAAAACTGCTGCTGCTTGACGTGGTTGTTAAAGAAGCAGTTCCAGCACCTTGCCCAAGTAACACAGATGAATTGAAAAGTTTATGGGAAGAATATAGAAAAGAGAAACCATCCTGGAGTGGATGTTTCTGTGTCGTTAGCCTTTATGGCACCCTTTTCTTTTGAGGGATGAGGCTTTCAGAAGAGCACTTGCCAGTTTTGGTTCCTTTTTAAACTTTGGTTGGCTAAATGCAGCTGCAGACTGCAGCAGTCCTGCTCAGAGATTTCTCTGACCTGGTTATAGAGTTGGAGGTTTTATTACTTCTAGAGGTTTTTTTATTCCGGTGCTTTATCTTTTGAGCATGGCACTGTATTCCTTGGCCTTATCCTTTCTCGTCTCAGTACCAAACCAGGGGTTTCCGTTTTAGTTTTGAATCTTGCCATGTCAATATAATAAGAAATTTCACCTATGCTGCTTTCTAATTTTATCTCATGGTGGCCTTGCAGTGTCCAACAGTCCCAGCCCAAGACTGTAGCATCAGCACATTCCAGCAGCTCGGAGTCGAGGAGCACCAGTGGCTCAGGGAGCACCAGTGGCTCAGGGAGCACCAGTGACTCAGGGAGCACCAGTGACTCAGGGAGCACCAGTGACTCAGACAGCTCTTCAGACTCAGAGACAAGTGGCAGTGAAGCCAAGGAACCTTTGAGAGCGTCAGCGCCTGAGGTGAATGCAGATAAAATGCAGAGGCTGCTTAATACAGCCTCTTGCCTCAGCCTCCCCGCTGTCTGAATGCAGCCAGGACAGGAGACCTGAAATCCTCTCATGGCTCAGGTGTCCCTGTGACGTCTATGCTGCATCATCAGACTTTTCCTGCCCTTTGCTCCCCTTCTAGAATTGATCAATTCTATAGCCCTTGTTAACAGCATAATTAGAGTTTTACCTGCTTAACCTTGAAGTGTTTGTCTAGCACTCCTTGAGGAATTAGTGACTTCACTGGCAAAACATAAGGAAGGCGCAGATGAGCAGCACAGCTCGTCTGGGGTGTCTGGGACCCACCTCTGCTCACGGGGCTTTTCTGGGTGCTAAAGCTATGGACTGCTTCAGGATAAGACCACTTTCCTGATAGGTTAAGAGGAGCCCCTCTCTCAGTGCAGCTCCTGTGCACAAGTGACAGATTGAGCTTCTCCCAGATTGCAACTGAAGTGATCAGACCTGCAGGAAGGGCTGGAATGTGCTTAGACTTGCTTCTGTTGGATTTGGCTCAGATAGTGGTGCACTGGCAATTCTGAGGCTTTTATTGGGAAAAGCAGACAAACGGAATGTGGTGCCTTAAGGTTTCATTACTGAGAGCGTGCATTTTCGAAAAGTCTGCTGCGGAAGTGCTCGTGTCCCATGGTTTCAGACAGTTCCTCCAGCTTGCAAAACGTTCTCAGGCCAGTGGGAAGGGAAGCGCATGCCTATATCCTATGGACCACAGCTGATGTAAGCAGTCTGCTGACAGTTTTGAGGTACTCTCACAAAGCCCAGAAACCCTATAATTTATTTCTTCCCCATCCGCCAGCCCTAGCTTTCCTGTCTTTTACCTGAGAAGCACCTCAACAGGGAAAATTTTATGTGCAGAAAACAGACTTTGACAAGGAGTATCTCTCTCATCTTGCATCTACGCGCTTTACCATCCAGCAGTTCAGTTACAGACTTTGCCCTTTGCAACGTGGGTGTCTTTGGAAGGAAGCAGATGTTCTGTGCTTCTCTTCTTTCACCAAATGCTGCCTGCTTTGTCCTGAGAACCCTCCATTGTAAGACCCTTCTTGCTCCAGTGAAGTTATTTGCCACTGTTTGCCAATGATCAGCTCTTTGCCACTGATGGTTTATCCTTGTTTTATACAGCAAACTGTTCATCCATGATGCTCGAGGAGCAAGTTAGTGCACACGGCCTGTTTGTTTATAGTTAGTTCTTCCCATGCAAAAGCACAGACTTTGACCTATAGGCAATAGTTCCTTCTTCTTTTTAAACAGAAAAAGAAGTCTAGTGTTTGGAAAACCTAATGAAAACCCCTAAACCCATGGGAAAACAAACTGGGTTTTAAACCAGTTTTCTAGGTAGTTTCACTCAAAGAAAGTTGAGGACATGTCTTGTTTATCGACGTGTTCTACAGCGAGTTGAATGTGGATAGAGAAGAAAACCACAGCGGAAGGGACCCAGGAGTCTCGGTAAACCTTTCATGTACTAGAGGCTCTCTTTTTGGAGAAGAACTGTGGTTCCTCTTGGAAGCAGAGTTGTGACTGAGGAGAACTGATGTGGGCAAGAGCATAGCTGTGCTCTGGTGTCCAGACAATGAGCTACACATTTGAGTGAAGCTGACACACACATGGTAGTTTCAGCATGGGTCCCAGAGAATTGTGTCGGATTTGCAGCTTCTGTTGTCTGGTTTAGGGTTAGTTGGCTTTATTGTAATATGTCAGACTGCTATTAGATTAGGCAGGGCTTGTAGCAATCCCGTTCTGTTATCTGACTGACTCCAGAGGCCTTCAGACCTCGGTCATTGCTTATGCCTTGCTTGATGCGGAGAGAAGCGTGTGTTGGGCTGTGTAGGCAGAGGAGTCGGAAGAGGCCAGACTTGATGTGCTATACAATTCTGGTAAATGGTTTTCTCATGGTTAAACCACAGGAGCCTGACAGCCGACCTGTCAGACTGCAGAGAGGTGTGACAGCTGGCACAGCTTCTTGTCGCTTTGAAAGCACTGCTGCGTGCAGGAAGTTTTGCGCAAGCGTTGCGAGGACAGCACCTAATCTGTTTTTACAGTTGACGCTCTTTATAGATGTTGTCTCAGTTTGCAGCAGGGCTGGTTAGTGGCAAACAAAGATGAAGCTCTCATGTAGACTGGTGTCTTAGTGAGTGACAGGCAGGGCTAGCAGTGATCCAGGAGTGCTGTGCAACACGTTTGACTGATCCTGTGGAGAAATGGGGTCTGTGTTTCTGAAGCAGGTGTCGATGTGCACATGCTAGAGCATCCAGTCTGTAACTGAACTGCTGGATGGTAAAGCGCGTAGATGCAAGATGAGAGAGATACTCCTTGTCAAAGTCTGTTTTCTGCACATAAAATTTTCCCTGTTGAGGTGCTTCTCAGGTAAAAGACAGGAAAGCTAGGGCTGGCGGATGGGGAAGAAATAAATTATAGGGTTTCTGGGCTTTGTGAGAGTACCTCAAAACTGTCAGCAGACTGCTTACATCAGCTGTGGTCCATAGGATATAGGCATGCGCTTCCCTTCCCACTGGCCTGAGAACGTTTTGCAAGCTGGAGGAACTGTCTGAAACCATGGGACACGAGCACTTCCGCAGCAGACTTTTCGAAAATGCACGCTCTCAGTAATGAAACCTTAAGGCACCACATTCCGTTTGTCTGCTTTTCCCAATAAAAGCCTCAGAATTGCCAGTGCACCACTATCTGAGCCAAATCCAACAGAAGCAAGTCTAAGCACATTCCAGCCCTTCCTGCAGGTCTGATCACTTCAGTTGCAATCTGGGAGAAGCTCAATCTGTCACTTGTGCACAGGAGCTGCACTGAGAGAGGGGCTCCTCTTAACCTATCAGGAAAGTGGTCTTATCCTGAAGCAGTCCATAGCTTTAGCACCCAGAAAAGCCCCGTGAGCAGAGGTGGGTCCCAGACACCCCAGACGAGGAGCTGTGCTGCTCATCTGCGCCTTCCTTATGTTTTGCCAGTGAAGTCACTAATTCCTCAAGGAGTGCTAGACAAACACTTCAAGGTTAAGCAGGTAAAACTCTAATTATGCTGTTAACAAGGGCTATAGAATTGATCAATTCTAGAAGGGGAGCAAAGGGCAGGAAAAGTCTGATGATGCAGCATAGACGTCACAGGGACACCTGAGCCATGAGAGGATTTCAGGTCTCCTGTCCTGGCTGCATTCAGACAGCGGGGAGGCTGAGGCAAGAGGCTGTATTAAGCAGCCTCTGCATTTTATCTGCATTCACCTCAGGCGCTGACGCTCTCAAAGGTTCCTTGGCTTCACTGCCACTTGTCTCTGAGTCTGAAGAGCTGTCTGAGTCACTGGTGCTCCCTGAGTCACTGGTGCTCCCTGAGTCACTGGTGCTCCCTGAGTCACTGGTGCTCCCTGAGCCACTGGTGCTCCCTGAGCCACTGGTGCTCCTCGACTCCGAGCTGCTGGAATGTGCTGATGCTACAGTCTTGGGCTGGGACTGTTGGACACTGCAAGGCCACCATGAGATAAAATTAGAAAGCAGCATAGGTGAAATTTCTTATTATATTGACATGGCAAGATTCAAAACTAAAACGGAAACCCCTGGTTTGGT